TTCTGACCCCAGGATCGATCCATGGCTGATGAAAAATTAAAAAAATACTTGACATCAGCCAGACTCCTACTGAAGACCTTGAGCTTAGCAGCCCAGTGCCTAACTCATTGAGCAACTCCACTCTCTCATATTTATATTAATACATATTCGTCCAGTAAATTTTTGCACTGCCATTCACAAAATGCTGGCATCTCTTTATCTCTGATTGATAAAAATTAGAATTTAATTTATTTAGAATTAAAAGAACAAGAATTAATTAAATTTAAGTCAGAGATAAACAAAAGTAATTTGATGACCTTGAAGTTTCACGCCTTAAAGCCCCAACAAACAAACAAGAATCAATAATTTTCTGTAATATACAAATGACAAATTTTTGTCACGTGGCTGTTTGTGATTGTTTGAGAAATGACGAATTTTCATCATGTGGACGAATGTGTCAAGTAGTCCAAATAAAGCCATATTCATACCCAACAGTTCACAATACACTAACCACCCATGGAGAAGAATGAGAAAAGGTAATAGAAGTTGAAAGGTACATTGAGGGAATAAATATAGGAAACTAAGAGTTGTTTAATTAAGCAAACCATTGTCTGCCTTTATTAAATAATAGTTGAACCAATCTTCACAACTAGTGAACTAATCATTTTAAGGTTTTTTAATATTCAGAATATTCGGAAGGTTTTTAAATAGGCAGATAGCATAACATCATATGCTAAAATAATATCTAAGGGCCAGAAATTAGAATACAGTTGAAAATGACCATTTTAAAAGTTGAAAGCTGTCACCAATTTGCTGAGAGAAGTAGAGATATTGTCTTAGGCCTGTTTAATTAAACTTGGTGTTTATTTGAATATAATTAATAATAGCGACTGAAATCAAAGAACTATTACATCTTAATTTGCTGGTAGAAATGTCTAAATATTTGGGTAATTCAAAACAAACAAAAAACAAAACAAAAAACAAAAACAGATGATAATTCAACCAACACTACTTTGAACCAAGTTTTACTAGATCCATGCTCTTTATTATTTAAAAGTTCCATAGTACAAGAACTGACTTTCTGTAAGTACCTTTATTCTTAAGAATCAGTTACAATATCATGGGATTCTTGTTAATGACCACAATCCATTTTATTCACTATCTCATTGCTTTCATTATACCATTCTATAATTTTATAACCAATGAATTATTTTGTGTTAAAACTTTCTCCATTATATTAAGTTTTACTATTAATCTTTGTAATGAGTGAAACCCTGACTTTATTCTCTTATAGTTTCTTATTCATTACCAAAATAGTGTAAAAAAAATTGATAAAAAATATATTTAATTTATAACAATTCAAGACGAGTCAAAACGTAGATTATAAATTTACCTACTTTGTCTTCGGTAATGATTGGCCAAAGAACCACCATAATCCCTCTTTGCTAGCAGTTCTATTAATCTGTTGTCATTAATAATAATAATGAGTTAAATGTAATCGAATAGTATTAAGTACATTATAAATGTCCAGTAGTCTTAAAGGTCTGATAAAATGTAACTAGAAAATCATTTTTTTTTCGCATCGTTCAAAAATAGAAAAATATGGACAGAATATTTTTAGTAGCACAAAATGTGGGCTTTCTAAAAATGAAAACAACGCACTTCATTTCTTAAGGAAGCAAAATGGTAATGATGATGAGTATTTATAGATTATCCAGTAGTAAAAAATATAAGCTTAAATGAAAAATAAAGTTAAGAAAATGAATTTGATAACATAAAAGTTTAGAATACGATTATCATGAGGTATATATGTAAGCTGGAAACCAGGATAATTTTTTGGAATAGAGAGAATTTTGTGATTTATTTTCCACAATAATTCCATATGTTTTCTAATATTAATGATAAACTTATTTTATGAAAAATTCTCACTGATGTTTTTAGTTGACAAGTATCCATATGCCTGCCAATTCCAATGAAATTAGTTCATTACTTTTATATATTACAACCTGATTCAGTAATTTTCTGCTTTGAAAATTATTTTATATGTTATACATACAGACAGTTATTCTTCATAATTTGATTAATGTTGTTTCATTATAACTCCATGGTCTTTATATGGATTTATTTTAATAATATATCAATGGTTTCTAATGTTATGATCTTAAGTTGGAAAAATGAACTTAGTGTAAAATATTTTATGAATTGTTAATAATGTAAATATTTTGGTAAACTTCTATTTATTGTGTTTAAATATAATGATAATGTTGAAATATAATGTAGTGTTCAAATTTCTAATGTGTAGAAACCTTTTTTTCCCATGTAAAAACACCTTGATAAGCTAAGATAAGCTTATTGTGATAAATAACTCTAAGGTAGTTGTTTAAACAAAAATGTATTTAAATGAAATAACTATATACTAAAGATTTTTAAAGGTTCTTTTATTACAATATTTAGTGACAACATGAAATTTTTTTGACACCAAGGAAAAGGATGGTGATTTCAGTCTTACAGAAAGAAGAAAGCCATAAATATCGATAACCAAGTTACTTATTAAATTATGATAAAAATTTATTCTGTTAATATAAATGTATCTATAATCCCTATTGGTTTTAGTTTATAATTGCAATTCATGACTCCTGAACTTTTATGGTACAGTTACTTTTACTCTAGAGCCTCTCCATCCCCTCCCTTTGTTATTCCATTGTAGCAAACTAATTTAGGTTATGATTTTGACAAGACATGGTTGGATACCACTAAACAGTTGTTTTTGTTAAAAGAATTACTTTTGACAGGAGATATTGTAGTATCACTGATATTGCATTTACTGGAAACAGGTTAATTATTTTTAAAAGTGAATTATGCTTATGACTGTTTGTAAATATTAGTTAAAGTTAAACCTGGGTTGTAGAAAAATAAAGTAGATTGGTAAAGCTCTTTCATCCAAATTTGTTGTAATAAGTAAGTATGTTCAAATCATAATTTAGTCCTTTTACCATAATTTACTGTAGATCCCTCTACATATTGTTTATATGTGATGTTGCTTGTTTTTTATTATGTTGTATGTATGCTGGTTCGTTGTCATTGCCGAGTTTTGGTTGGTAATAAAACAAGTTCAATTAACTTGAGAAATATTGACATTTTTAATAAAAATTATAGGTTTGTTTTAAGTTAATGGATCGTACACTCCGTAATTTATTTGGTACGTTTTTTATTATGAATCATAAGTTTTATATTATTGGTGAGTGATTAATTTAATATCGATGATAAAGCACTAATTGGTATATCAATATTTTTGTGGCTCAGAAATCATCTTTTCTTTTTAATTTTTAAAAATTTTCTTTAAAATTAAATTTGTTTGTCTTCAGTTTATGTACGTTTACATTTTTTTTTTTTTTTTAATGATATTCATCACTTCAATGCCTAACATTTAAATCTAAATATAATCATTAAGGGATTTTTATGTAAGTATTTAACATTGACCTCATGTTGTGATTTATCTTTCGTCACATATTTCATCAATAAAATTTAATAAATAAGTTGTCTATTTTGGTTTGTAGTTCAGTGATTTTCAGCACTTTTGATATTTTAAAATTTTATTTTATTTCAAGAAGTGATCTAAAGAAATTTTCAATCTAAGAAATTCCCATCAGTTTGGTATACCCATCTTTTTGACTTAATGATTATTATTTCTTAGTCATTATTATTTATAAAACCAAAGTTGGTCACATATTTTATCTCTGGCCAGTCAAAAATTTCTTTGCTAAAGATTGCACTTAACCTTCTTATGTTATGGTAACCTTTTCTTCTAGTGGGTGAATTTTATTCTCTATAGTTCTATTAATTGAAAGGCTATCATTGTCATACTTAGTGGTAGAGCAATCCTTTTGTATGTCTGCATACCCACTTCTTCAAAGTTATTGATTCAGCTTTCAAGACTTGGTCCATGAAACCTATACAGAAGGCCTTGAATAATTGGTTATTTTTAGTGCAGCTGAGCTGTGAATGTAAGAATTTACTTTTATCAAATTTTAAACATTACTGAAACAGTGTTTTATGTGCTTATTATTCAGTGGTGTCTTGTTGTTGCTGTTACTTCTTTTAAGGTATTGTAGCTAACTTAAATTTAAGTTTGGTTATCCATGGAATTCATCTTTAATTCTTATAATTGTTCAAATTGATTAATGATTTAAAGATATAGCATTATATTAATGTCATGCAATTAGCATAAGAATAGTTTTTATATTTTAGTCTGTAATTAACTAAAGTACGGGTAGTTTCTATCATGTATTGTAGTTGTTTTCATTTTTAAATGCAGCTTTCAGATCTTTCTCATTTTGAATTTCTAATTATAATTATAAAATTGATATGTAAATCATATTATAGCCTGCATGAGAGTATTTTATATGAGGTATTCATTAATTTTTATCAGTTGTCAATATATTTTGTTATCGAGTATCATATAGAGCTTATTATTAGATTAATATTTTATTATAGTGATATTGTAGTTATTTTTTCCCCCATTTATGTTATAATTATGTGATTAAATTATGTTTTGGTCATTTTATGGTTTTATACTGAATATAACGTTTTACTATATTTTGATATTTACTTTTAAAAATATCTCTCTTTAAAATTGTTTTTTACCACTTATTGATAGACCAATAATCAATAATCTTAAGTGATGTATAATGTAGGTGATCTAATTTAGAAGTTTGTGTATTTATATATACATGTATCTCTATAGTTTATTTTTAAATTAGGTACCTACAAAAATTAGACAGAAAACAAGTGATAATGTGTTTGATAAGAGATGATGCTCCAAAGTTTGAAAATATTTTATAAATAGTAGAAATTTTGGTTTATTCTTTTGTCAAGTTGGATTACTATTAGCTATACAAATCATGAAATAGTATACTGTTTAAATTTTAATCTATTCTTCAATAGTAAATTAGATTGATAAAAATATGAGTTCTAAAATCTTGATTTTAGGGCAAATACATATACGGAAAAGAACGAAAGAGATGAAGATTACTCCTCTTCTTGATGAAAAAATTAATATATATGATTCTGAAATGTCTGCAGAAACTATAGAATCTTATGAAAAATATTACAAAAATCAGAATGAATGTAAGAATATTTGTGATGATGAAAATGGTCAGGATTCTGATAGTACAAAAAAAGTGGTTGAAAGTAATGGAAATGAAAATAATGAACATGATTTGTCCAACAATGCAACTCAAAATCTGACAGATACTAAGAAGTGTGATAACGATAATGATTCAGACAGAAAGAGAATAAGGACTGCAGAGGCTGCTTCTGATGCATTGCCATGCAAAAAACGTAAAAAGGAATTTGAGGTAATTATGCTTTTCTGGCACTATTCTTGAATTCAAAATTACTGTATTAGTTATTACTAGTTTAAAATACTTATTGTCATTTTCATTAATACTTAAACATGCTTCTTCACAGTATATATTTATTTGTTATTATCTAATATTTTTATAGTTTTTATGTTTTTCACTACTGGAGGTTTCCTGATCTTTTAATAGTAGTTTAAGTGGTTGTATGTATTAAAAAAAAATTAAGTTTTAACATAAATAGGAGGAATGAAAATATAGTCCCTGCCAAACAGCTGTTAATAATTATCAATAGCATTTTATTGGGATGCACTAAATTTGTCCAAAAAGAAATGACATAACGTATGTTGTTATTGAAGGAAGTTAGTCAACTGTTGACTACATATCATGGGTGATAAATATTCAGGACGCAGTCATTATACAGATTTTATTGGTGCCGATGTTTCAATTCAAACATGTGGTTCAGTACTCAAAACACACCCTGATGAAATGTTTGGGTTGAAACTTCGGCACCAATAAAATCTTTATAATGACTGCGTCCTGAATATTAATCACCCATAACATATGTTGTTGTGGATAAACATATTTGCTCAATCACTGATTTTCTACTTTGGTCTATATTGAAATATGAAATATCCAGATTACGATCTACAGTTTGTTCAGGACATATATTGGGTATAAAGTTTTTATTGAAACACTAAAAAGGTTGAAATTCTATTGGCGGGTTAGATGTTACAGCAGGAGGATTAATTATCAAAAGTAGGTTAGAATATATTTTGTATTTTTAACTGCTTTATGTGAGTAACTGATAATTTTTAAATCCTATTGGTTATCCGTATTAAATATGTTTTTTTATTTGTTTTCAGCCACCAAAATTGCGAGAAGATAATAGAGACATATTTTGTTGGCGATGTCATAAGTACGTTGTTGAAACAGATGTTATCCCTTGTTATTTCTGTCCCCGAGTATTTCATTTGAAGTGTGTCCATATCCAGGAAAAACCTTCAAGTTTTTGGCTTTGTACAGAATGTGATGCAATTAGCATTGCTGAAAATCCAGATAAGATGTACTGGAAAATAAATTTGATTTACCTGAATAATTAAATTTTATGTAGATCTCTCTATTGAAATTATTTCTCTGTTTAGATCTCCTGCGTTAAGTAAACTTCAGAAAAAAGATCTAGCAGAATTATTGATGTTTGTCTTAAAAAGAATGCGTCAACATGAAGGTGTAAGTATCATTTGGTATTTGTACTTTTTGTGAATTAATCATAGTTATTTTGATTTTGTATGATAAATACATAATTAATAGAGTAGACATTTAAAGTTTATGACAACTTGATGAATACAGTTTTTTTTTCCATGATTTAGCTTGATGTAATTACTTTATTTATCTTGTTGGGGGCTGGGGAAGCCGTGCGGGCTAAGGCGCTTGCAATAGGTAACGAAGTTAAACAATGCAGAGCATGGTTAGCACTTGGATGGGTGACCGTCCACCAGGGAAAGCCATGCTGCCCGAGACCCCACCCCTCGGCTTGTGAGACCCATCAGCCTACTGGAGGCAACTCACACCGACCAGGCGTAGGACTTATGATCCTATACCCGTGTACTTAAATCAGGAATCTGGATGTGCTCTAGAAGACCACATCCAACCGGAAAAGGAGTTTTTTCACTATATATTATGGCCAACACTAAATCGATTTTTGATTTTTTCAAATTTTTTGGGAAGTTGTTATACATTTTATGAAATTCAGAAGATTTAGGCAAAATTAAGCTGTTAACAGAGTATTAACAAGAACAAGTGAATGTTTCAAATTGAACTGTATCTACAGTTACTTTAATTAAGTAAATAATTGGCATGACAATTATATTAATCATCCTTATTGATTAAGCCGCTATGACAGGATGGGAGCCGGTGTTCTATTCCTGGGACCCAGACCTTGAAGGGTTTGGTACTGATTGAACATGTTTTATTTATTATTTTCCAGTTTTTTTAAGCAAAACAGATATATCATATGAATAGATCTGTGTGGTCAAACAGAAATATGTAAAGAATGAACAATTTACATGTTTTTGAAAGCACTCGTAAAACAAAAGGATTAAAATCAAATCTTTTCAAAAATGATTATTATATTATAAAATAATTAATTACTGTCCGGACCCCATCCATGTTTACTCAACAATCTATTGTGAATGAATGAATGAAAATAATTTTATTATTGTGGGACTAGTGTCCCTTTAGAACAAGTTACAAGTACAGAACATATATTAATATTCTGGTGTGTCCACAAAATACAATTAAAAATTTACAGGATGATTAGGAATACAGTAAAATTAGAGATAATAAAAAGATATAGAAACGTGTATAAATATAACATAAACAGAGGAAGTAAATTAAGTAAACAAAATATCAATGAATCAAAAAATAATCAAAGTATCTGGGTGTACTTTGAGATTCTTGCAGCTTAGGTTTTTAAGTGCATTTCGTGATCAATTGGATTGGGAATGGAGTAGGTGTGCATTGTGCATTGTAGTAAAGCAGCAATTTAAACCTAAAAATCAATAAAAATGTTTTATTAGGTCCAGCTTTGGCTTATAATAATTTAATAATTAATAATAATAATAATAATAATAATTTCAAAATGCCTCATAAGATAAAGCAGGAGCGGGGTAGGTCAGTAGATAGGGCACTTACTTCCATAGCTTATGGTCCTGGGTTTGAGTCCAGCTGATGGCAGGTAATTACTTATTCTGTTTCATCGACCCTCTTGGGTCAGTCCCAGCCTCTATAAAATGGATTTTCTTAATTAATTAAGAGGGAAAATCCAGTAGTTGAGCGTGATCTTGGTCAGATTACCTCCTTACACAATCGTTGTCTAAAAAACAGTGCTTACAATATGAAACTCATGACCCTTCATGGGTTGAATACAAGCCTTTTTTTTTTCATAAGAGAAAGTATTCGTTTTGTTATTTTGAATGTAATTTACAATATATGAGTGTATCTGCAAAGTTAAAATTGTAGAAAACATTGGTCCTTAATATAATATTGGTCTTTCTCTACTAGAATTTTTTTTTTTTAATTTCTTTATTGAGTATTATAACAATCTGTCTCTTGGACATTGGTTATAGTGAGGTAGGATGACATTCACACTGTATGTACAATAAAATAAAATAAATAGAAACCAAATAATAATCAAAAGTATATACAATAGATAATAAAATAAAATAACCTAAAAAATAATAAAATTAAAACTAAGCAAAACAAAAACACATGCATACCTATATACAATCAGGTGAGGGAACTCCAGGAGAACCCTGCGCTACTCTCCCAACCGCGTTACTGGTACTAAAGCCAGCGGAGATTAATCGAGAGCACTTTAGCCACATACACTCATGTCTTGAGTGAAGAAGTTGGCCATTGCCAGAACTCCAATTTATACAATCTACAAAGGCCACTGCCGTTTCAACCTTCTTGGAGGATTATAGGTATGGGAGGTGCTTGATAGGGATTGTGCAAGAGGATTTGGGTGGTACGTAAGGTTCTGGTGAAATTTGGAGAATTTTTCTGAGATAAGGTCTAGGACAAATGGGATGTTGAGGTCATGATGTAGGGTTTTGTTGGTTACATAGAAAGGAGCATCGACTATTGTTCGAAGGACTTTTGACTGGAAGGATTGGATGCGCTTGATGTTAGAAAAATTTGCTAGAATTTTTAATATCATATTTCGTTCAGAGGTGTTTTTTCAAAGAATGCCCAATATATATATTTTTTTTTGTTTCAGCGACAACTATTATGGTAGGAATTGATTTGATATTTTGTTAATTTTGCTTTTTATACTTTTCAGAGTTCACATTATGAAAATCCTGTTGATCTTGAAAGTTACCCAGATTACAAAGACTATATCATAAAACCTATGTACTTGGCCTTGTTAGAAGCTAATGTTACGAATCTGAAATATTCCAGCTGTGAATCGTTTCTAGCTGACACAAAATGGATGGTTCATAATAGCTATGTTTTTAACACTGGTAAGAAGTTATTTTACAATTTTGAACTATCTATTAATGATCTTAGATTGTCAATAGAAAGGAAATTTTATGTAAGAAAGTTCAGTATAACTCATTGGAAAAATTAAGAGATTTCAAAATCCCAAAATTGATGAATAGACTTAGAAAGATGGGACTAATTGTGTTTTAAAAATTTTGATGACGTCAAGTTCTTTGTAAAATTGTGGGTCCTGCGTTATAATTACTTAAAATGTGTTTTCAAGATGAATTTTGTTTTTTGCTGAAAGCCAGCTAGGTGTCACGGTTGCCATGGAACACTTATCACATGTCGTTTAATTTTTTTAAAAAGTTATAATATTTTTTAAAAATGTTATTATTTTTAATAGAAATAAACACCTTTTGCGGAGTTTTCTTGGAAGTTCTTATTGAAATCTACACTCCACTTTTAATAAGCTTGAGAAAAAGAAACCAAGGATCTTGGATTAGTCTCGGCATAGTTGCATCCTGAAATTGAAACTGCAACTGTCGCACCATAGAATATTCTTAAAGGATATAAACATTTTCTTTGTCTCTTTCACTCTTTGATGAACTATGCATTCATGTAACTAATAGTGTCATAAGAATATATTGTTAAAATTACATTCATTTGTAATTAAGTTGTATTTCTGTTTCTTTATGGTATGTTTTTATTTAAAGCAAACAGTTTTAAATTTTTTTTCCTTCTTACAAATGATTAATAAAATTAGATGCAATTTTTTTTTGCTCAGATTTTATAAGTGGTATTGTCTTTTGTTCTTTGCGTTAAAATTTTGCTTCTTATGATACTTAAATATTCATGAACAAATTTATATTTTCAGTTCACTCAGAGTTGACACTGTATGCTAAAGCGATGATGAAAAATGCTAAGCATGAATGTGATGAAATTATAAACTGCCCTGATTGTTACTTACATGCCAACACCCTTGAAGAAGATAAATGGTTTATTGAGCCTTGTGTGAGTATTATATAATTATTAGCAGAAATTTGAGTTAACTCTTTACATTGGTATCTAAAAAAGAAGTTTACCACTTATCATCCTTGCTCTATTTTTTATATTTGTTTGTATAAATTTAAAAATATTTATTTCTAACAAGGGGGAGAGGAGCTCCTCAACCTCTTATGGGCCATTTTAGCCCTTACAGATTATTTGTATTACACAAGATAAAATTTAACAATAAATTTGAAAGTAGAAAATATCTAAAACATTAAAAAATCCAAAAAAAAATTAAATTTTGTTATATAGTTATTTGAAGAAATAAGTACAATTTGTTTGCCATTTTGGTGGTGTTTTTAAAAATTTCAGCAATACTATCCTCCAATTCCACTTCATTCCGTTGTGCTTCATAGGCATAATATTCAGTCAAGATGTGCCTGACGGTTAAATTGATCCACAGCATCACTGAAAGGGTGTTCCCTTTGTCATTAGGTGCTCATGAGTTAAGTGATTGTCCGATTCGTAGCCTTGCAGGGATGATTTTATCTTTCTGTTCAACTGGAGTTCTGCTCAAATTGGAACTACAGAGGGCTCGATGATGAAACTCACTCTTAACTATATAATATTAAAATATTAAATTAATTTATTGTTTGAAAGAAAAATTTCTTATTAATGTAGTAAAAAAAATAAATAAATAAATCATGGATTTTATTGTTTTCAGGACAAACCACATATTCTCGTTTGGGCAAGATTAAAAGGATTTCCGTACTGGCCTTGCAAAGTGATGAAAGCAAATGGAACTAATGTAGATGTTCGATTCTTTGGTGATCACAATAAGTATGTTTGAGAATATATAATTAACCTTTAGCCTTTTCAGTTTTATTTGTAATGATCATTTCCAATAGGCCTAGCTTAAAATTTTTTTGATTTTTAATATAATGAAGCCACATGCAGTTTGTAGTTACAGTGGGAACTTGATAACCTGAGGTGGATCGGATCACGTCAACCTCATGTTATGAAAAACTAGGATTATTGGAATAATATTAAGAAATAAAATCATATTAAAATGTGTTTTGGTGCGCATACCAAAGATTATAAAACATGTAAATGGATGAATCTAAACCTCATATGAGCGGCCTCGCATTAAACATGGACATATATCATTTTTAAAAAAGGCAATTTCATGAAAAAATATAAGTCTGGAGACATGATTTCATCAGGCTGTTTCACATTTTCCAGTGCATTTTTCGAGTCGAGTAAACCCTTCTGCATTGATGATTTTGGCCATATTTTCTTCATTTTTAACATCCTTTTTCATTACTGACTTAGCTTGATTTGCTAATCCAGGAAAGATTTCGTCTGAGGGTATGTCGTACAGACCCCTTTTTATCAAATTATTAACATTTGTCTCAAACTTCATGAATAACTTCATCTCATCGTAACCTATAAATATTTTATTTTAAAAAATTTTCGGAAATGGGACGTTTTCAATTTGGAGGTTGGTAAACCTTTATTATTTAATTAGGTACTAAAAACTCATGAACACCCACTTGCTTTTCACTTGAATCATAAGATAACATTATCAAAAAGTTGGAAAAAAAGGTGGCCAACAAAAATATTGGTCTGTTTGGCATGACCACACCAAAAAAGTTAAAATAACTTTAGGTTATAGAAATTAAAATTATAGGAAATAAAAATTATATACACCAAACCTCCCAATATTTTTGTAGGTCACCTTTTTATTTTCTCTTACCTATATATGGAATATATAGTAAGGGAAAGTATTGTCAACGGAAATACATGTTTTGAGGTCCCCTGAGTCCAAATAACCAAGCCTGCAAAATGGTCTGTGCGTGTGTGTGTGTGTGTGTGTGTGTGTGTGTGTATGTGTATGTGAACAGCGAATGTGACTGGACATCTTTTCCATACCTAAAAAAGAATATATATTTATATACAAATGATACATAGAGAAAAATGCAATTTTGTTACATGATAAATGGCTACCCAGTGTTTCATTGAATTGTAAGGAGGAATTGGAATAAGAGGGTTTTAAATATGGATAGGGATGGTGCATGGCTGATTTTAAGTGGGATGGAATTCCAAAATGGTGGAGCGGACAATAAAGGAGTGTTGAAATGAGGCAGATTTGTGGAAAGAGGTATAAAGATCAGAAGGACGAGATCTTGTGGAGAGGGAGTGAATAGATGACTTGAATTGAAGGAGATTAAATGCGTAGGACGGTCGATGATTATAGATTATTTGGTAAAGGAATGTACCTAGGAAATATTGTCTTCTGAAGGAGGGAAAGAGGCACCCTAACTTGGCTTAGTAGTGGGAAATACGAGAACGTCTCTGGGTTCCATTGACAAATCTTACTAAGCCATTCATGATTCTTTTTAGTCTGTCTCCAAGTTCCAATGAGAGGCCACCGTATACTACTCAGCCGTTGTCAAGGTGGTGGAAGATGAGGGCGGATACTAGGAGTCTATGTGTGGACATGGGTAGGAGATGGTGGAAGCGATGGAAGAGTTTCAGGGTGGAAATTGATTGTCAGGATATGTGAGAAATATGGTGATTCCAGGAGAGGGTTTGATCTATGAAAATACCTAAGTTTTTAACCGAAGAGTTGTAGGTGATGGGGTGGTCATTTAGGTAGAGGAGAGGAATGTTGTATTGGATCTGAGAAGGGGTTTGGAACCAATGACAATGGCTTGGGTTTTAGTAGCGTTTAACCTTAATCTATTTTCATTTGCCTAGGCACAGATTCGATTTAGGTCTTCTTGTATTTTGGCAAACGCATCATGCCACTCAGAGGGAGCGAAGGAAAAGTAAATTTGGAAATCATCGGCATAAAGGTGATGGGAACAGTGAAGGATTGATTTATACAATACTTTAAAATCTCTCTAGGCATATATGAGCCTTTCGATTGACAGAATGACTAACTCCAATTTCTATAATGTTTATTATTAATTTTAGTGATGTTTCTAGTTGCAAAATTTATACCTTTATTCACAGTTTTATATTTTAACAATGCAATCATCTCCTCTGGAATCAATTTACTCACTGTCTATATAGATATAACTTTTCCAACTAGAAATATCACTAAATAGCATTACTCAATAATGTTGAAATTGGAGTTAGTCATCTGCCAACTGAAAGGCTCAGAGACTGGTTTATAAAAGCAGATGGAGTAACTAGATTTTTAATGCCTACCGTCGATGTAATAAATAGACTTTTTGTAATTTTAATGGTCTTAATGATTTATTATCTTTAAGCTTTAAGCTTTAGCTCTGTTTAAAATGCATTTCAAAAATTTTATAATAGCCCAACAATGCCATAAAATAATTTCTATTCAAAGCGTAGAGCGGTAAGTGAAAGTTTTATGTTGCTCGCACCAGATTTTTTCCCGATTCTGCTATCTTATTATTTTAATATTCAATTGGGAAGCAAATGAGTATTCATGAGTTATTAGTACCTAATTAAATAGACAAAGTTTGCCGATCTCCAATTTGAAAACGTCCCAATTCTGAGAATTTTCATAAATAAAATTCAGATAAAACTTTGAATGCAGATAAAACAGATAGGTTATTCTCATCGGGTCCAGACATCTCATTACTTCCCTTCCCTACTTTTTTCTACTTTATCTCAATAACCACCTTATCCATTTTTTTCCTACAGTCAAAAACCTAGGAGTAACCTTTGACCAGAACCTCTCCTGGAATTACCATATTACCCAGATGAAAATCCATAACTGTCCTTAAATAACTCCTAAGATTCCATGGTTGTATTCCTCTAAAAACCAGACAGCTCCTTGTAACCTACCCTATATTCCCCGACTTCTACTACGGCTGCTTGGTGTATGGTGGGCTATCTGCCAGGCTAGAAATAAGATTAAAGAAGCTCATGAACTGTTTCATAAGATATATCTTTGGGATCCCCAAGCGCTCCCCATGTTTCATATAGGTACACCGAGTTGAAGTGGTATAATACATTGCTATAATACTGGTTTGATTCGGATGATTTTTTTTGTTTTGTTGGTAATTTAAAAGTTTTATTATAAATTTTACCATAAAATATACTTAAAGAGTTAGACCCCAAAACATTTTTATTTTCTTTATAACCTTTTTTTCCAGAATTTTTATGGAAATTTAGTCCACATACGAAAATTGAAAGGACAATTATTAGAACATTATAGGAAAGTTTCATCAAAATCGTTAGAGCCGTTTTCGCGCAGCAGCTATTGTGCATGGAGGAGCCAATTTGTGTCACATGCATCAGTAATTAAAACCCTACAAAATAAAAGAAGAAGCAACAAAATCGGTTCTCTAGTTCCCCAGAAAATCTTGGGACAGATAGACAGACCAATGGCTAAAAATGTGTTTTTCGGACTCAGGGGGCTCTGAAACGTATAGATCCGTCAAAAAACCGCATATTGGAAATTAGACCCAATGGCAATTCTTTCCTTACCCAGTATAGGAAAATAAAATAAAATTAGGAAAATAAAATATATATCATATTAACCTCATAACTGACATACCTGCCATAATTTATTTTTTTGTTCATAATTTGTATTATGACCTTTTATTTGATTACTCTATGACTTAAAAATTAGCAGGAATCCACAATATAGGGTGGATTCCTTAGCTAGCTTTCAGAAGCTATAGATTTTGATGGATTAAAAAGGAATTTCATGGAGAAGTGACAAATCCGAATTTCGATCCTTAAATTCCTACTAAAACTTTAACAAAATTCATTGAAAAAATTAGAAAGTTTCAAAACTCCAACATTGGTAGGGTGATGGATTGAGACGGAAAAAATTATTTTTAAAGAATTCGACTCCAACTGCGTCATGCTCTGGTTTTTTTTTTTTTTTTCTGTAGTTGTCAATGGTAATGAGGGTCTCCTGAACACAACCACCTTAACCTACCAACATCAGTACCATAACTCATCTTTTAGTATTATTTTCTGTGAAATATGTCAATAAGAAATCCTGCTAAGTGCACGATGTCATAAGGTTCCTTCTCTAGGAAGGGAAAGCTCTGGAGGACTAAATTTTCGCATGGGTCAATACTGTATGTGGTGAAGGTGCTATCAATCGAATAAATGTTTAATGAATTTAATGAAGGGAAAACAAATATTCATGACAAGCAAAGGAGAGAAAGATCTACAATTTCAACTGATGAGTTGGTGCAAAAAATTAAGGACACTGTTCGTGAAGACTGCCGATTGACAGTCCATGAAGTGTCTGTGATGTTTCCACAGTATTTTCAGATCGCTGTTATACGAAACCATTACAGAAACGATGGAATATTGAAAATTTTGATTAAGATTTGTCCCTAAACAACTGATAGAGCAGTACAAATTGAATCGGATCACTAGTGTTCACGAGTTTCTTGAGCGATGTAAATTGGAAGGTGAGGATTTTGTGAGCTCCATTGTGACTGGTGATAAAAGAAAAAAAGTGATTACATCATTTTGCTCATCACATCCCTGAGATAAAAAGAAATTCATTACAGTGGTGCCACACTGGTTCTCCATCTGCCAAAAGATCCAAAATCTTAATTTTGGCCAAAAAAATCAAGGCATCTGTGTTTTGGAGCTAAAAAGGAATCATTTTGATCAATTGTTTGCCTAAGGGAGGGATGATTACTGGGGTATAATACATGAGGTTATACAAATGCTCAAGAGAGCAATTAAAAACAAACAAAGGAGAATATTGACGAAGGGAGTGTGTTTGTTGCACAAGTCCAACGCCATCAAGGCATTTGAACTCATTTCGTTGGGATTTGTGGGGACGGATTAACCGAGCGGTTAATCCACTGGTTGTGATTGCGAAATATGCGTTGTCCGGCAACCAGAAAATTGGTAATATCAATTTATTGTATATCTCGTAATTATTGTATATCAAATATACAATAATTACGAGTTCACATCCTGGTGGGTGCCAGAGGGAAGGGAAGGGGGAGAGATCTGTCATCTTTATGTAATTTACTGAGACCATGTATTCGTGGTATTGTGTAATGTCTCGTTATCGGGTTTTCTTTAACCTTTTCGTTTATAAATTTCATTTTCATTAACTTATTTATATATAAGTCAAGGTTTTATCTTGGAGCTTAACTCTGGAAAATCCCCTGCCTTCTTTCGTGGCCCAGGAAATTCCCTGTATAGCCTAACAGATGAGGAACAGAGGAGGTGGACAAAAAAAAAAAAAGGTTGGGACCTGTTGAACTTCCCTGTATACTCTCCTGATTTGGCAGCTTTCATCTTTTCCTCTTCCTGAAGAAGTGGAAAACAATTTTTTATTTTATTTATTTCTTTTTTAACCGTTAAAGAGGTGAAACAGTAGGTCCTAAAGTGGATTTTATACTTATACGGCAATGCATTTTCTTCCACAGATCTATGAGATATTCCATTGAAATTGTGAAATATAAAGTCTTAAAAAAAATAAGCTAGTTACTAGGTTATCATGTGAGACCATCAATATGTACCTTTTATCTCTTTCTTTATTTTTAAACTACGGTTTTCTTATTAAAATAAAGAATTATTAATGATTTTTTTTCCCTTTTTTGAATGCTATTATGTTTGCCTGATTAAGATGTTAATACAAACCTTGTGAGATTAACTATATTTTACATTAAATAGTAGACGTTTAAAATGGTTTAGGAAGAGTAAAATGTGTGCAATTGACAACTGTTTAAAAATTAATCTTTATTAATTATCTTTATATTTTGGAAGTAAGAAAAAATAATATATATATATATATATATATTTTAGGACGTTGAATAAGTCCTCTTGTTTTTTGTGAAAATCAATTCTTTATTTAAAGTAAATGGTAAAAAACATGTCACTCAAAGTATTGCCCATCATTCGCCTCTACTTTCTCTCATCCAAGAATCTACCCTTCCAAAAACTCTTTCATCTTGTTTAGATGAAATCTATGTTATTAACAATGATTTTCTGATATTATGTTATTATTATCAACAATTATCAACATGTTTATACCTTCAACAATTTAAAATTTACTTACTTTTTTTTTTAGGTCTATAGTACCTGTGGAATGTTGTTATTTATATAGTAAACAGATGCCATCAAAACAGAAAAAAGTTGATGAATTAGAAGTTGCAATTAAGGTATTCAATTTTTTTTTCTAATCCTAATTATTTTGTCTGAAGGTATAATACAATTCTGATTTTAATGCTGAAGCATCTTAGATTTGTTACAGTCCCAATATTTTTGAAAAATAGACTTAGAATTACGAATAATGGATACAAAATTAAAAGAATTATTAAGTTTGTTTATTTTTAAAAAAATTCTTGTAGTATTGTGTGCATTTTATTATTTAAAAGTTCTTTAGTTAATGAATACATTAGAAATTACAGTATTAGAAATTTTTCTAGACACTTGTTTAAATTGCTTAACCTGTACCACTACAACCCATGAAGGGTATTAGGTTCAGTACTATTTAGGGGAAACACTGTTTCTGGGTCGGTTGTGCAAGGAGGTGATTTAAACGAGATCACACTCAACTGCCACTTTGTAGAGGCTGGGTGTGCCCGAGGAGGGTCTACCTACCCAGGGTCGCCCCATGACCAATTAAACTGAATAAATAATTTTTCTGCCATGAGCCGGGGTTTGAACCTGGGACCTATAGCATTGGAAGCTCAGTACCCTGCCACTGAGCTATCCCTCTCCCTTTGAATTGCTTAAACATTTGATAAATGTTTGAAAATATTCGATAAATGCCTTAATTTGAATATTTTTACAAAAATTAAAAAAAAAAAAATATGGCTCAAAATCAGGCTGAAGTACACTCGTGTGTGATAAAAAATGGATTCCCTATGATAACTAAAAAATATGAGAGGGAACAGCTTTAAGATTCCAAAGCCTGTACTTCAGAAAAAATTGCAAGTTTTGGTTTCAAAACGATCTATAAATTTTCTAAATTATGGAGATACAACTTCATTTCAACTAATAAATTTACTGATTATGACACTTTAATTGCTTGAAAATTGCCTTTAGTAGGAATCTTAAAAGCAACAACCTTTTGGATATATGTATTTATTTATTCAAATAACATTAATATATTATTTGCATTTATAATTTTCTTCTTATTTCTGTTATGTTTAGGAAGCAAGTTTACATATCAAAAGACTTGAGGAACGATTCCATGTTTTCCAGTATGCTCCATTAAAAACTATGTATAATCCAAAAGAAGAAGATGAACAACGTAAATTATTGTTACCATATGTTAGTAGAGATTTTAAAGTAAATATTATTAATATTCTTGATACTTTTTTTATTTTTTTGTTCTGTAAATTTTATTATTATTTTTTTTATGTCTATCCCTTTACATCCTCCTATCTATTAAACTTGATTTCTTTAATTTTCTTTGTTTTCAAATTTATAATTTGTTTGTTGCTTACTCATCATATTTTATTAATTGAGCTATATTTTATTAAGTAATGAACTAGTGTAAGCTTTTCTTTAAAGTAAATGGAGCTATAGATATTTGTCAAAATGTGAAATAATTAAATATTTAAATTAAAGAATCCAAAGTTTATAGCTTTTCAGAAAATATTAGTTTAAAATTATGTCTGAAAGTAATTTATGATAAACTGTGGTAACACTAATATAAAATTTAGTTTATGAACCTTGAAATATTGAGCTTTATGACTTGTTGGAATAAGTTTAAACCTGATGGAACTTATACACTATTTTAACAAAAACATAGATTGATAAAAATAATTAATATGAAAATAATGCTAACAACTCAATAAAAATTCATCCGTGAATCAATTTCTATCTTAAAATTCTTTATAAAATGAAGTCTGTTGTTCTGATTTTAATTTTTGCTTATCCTAATATTTGGTTATAAGTTTATTTACAAATAGATACTATCTTTACTTAAAGTAGCTTATGTTATGTTATGCTTAGACATTTTATCCTCAAACCTGTCTTTAAATAAGTTTTGTGACATTAAAGATATTATTAATTATAATTTTTTTTTCAGCATGATAAACCGTTTTTCATAAAAGTGAAGGATAGAGAAAAATTGTTTGATCCCAATGTAAGTTTTTCCATTTCTTCTTATGTAATTAATTTTTTATTTATTTATATATTTTTAATATATAATTTTGTTTTTATAACAGTATCAGTCAGTTGATATGCTAGATATTTATTTTTAATGGGTCAAAGTAATAAAAAAATAATGACATTATTGGCATGATTATTAACATGTTTTTTCTTCATTCATAGATCTTAATCTGTGAATGGTGTATATCTTCATTTCCTAAAACATTTTTTGTAAAATTCTTATACTTTCTTTTTTCTTTCAGGTAATTAACAATATTTTTGACGATTCTTTATCTTATCACAAGACAGACCTGAAAGAAGATTCTAAAACAAATATCTCTGAATTGCCCAATGCATTAGATGTCCAAAATAAAAAACTCGTTATAAAGACTCATTATGAGCAGTTGTCTCCTTACAGGCTTGCAACGATTACTAAAAATATTAAGCCATCTCCATGCAATAAGCCTACCATATAATTGAAGACAGCGACTCAGATATTCTATCACAAAATTCATTTAACCATTCCAGGCAAGCTAGTTTAATAGATGAAAAACTTAGTTCATCGTGCGTTTCCAATAAAGAAAGACCGATAGTAAACGAAAAGCATCTGATTGGTCCTCAGAACTTTCTATCAAACGTGAACATGACAATACTATTACTGAAGATTTAGATTGTATGTTAAAGAATGATCATTCTAATAGCAAATTAAATCTAATCAACTGTTCTACTGAGGAACAAGATAATGAAAATGATGATAATCGAATTGATATACCGAATGATAATGCACCATCTGAAGAATTAAAAAGTGATGTTAATCAAATTGGTTTTACTTCCGAACAAATTAATTGTTTACCTTTGACTAATCCATCTCTAGATAAATGTAATAACAACTACTTCTCTGACAAACTTCGAATTAACTCTAATGCTAAATTAATTAATGTCGTGACTGATAATCCAGCTTTAATAAACAATTACATTTTTAAACCTATGGTAGTTATTCAAAAATTAAAAGATGAAGTTTTTCGTGATTATTCATCGAATATATGCAGAAAAAATGAAACAGCGACTGTTGATGAAACAAGGAAATCAGATGAAAATATTTCATCAAACATTTCTTTGTGTGATAGCGGAAACAAAGTTCCTTTAAACTTTGACTTGTTAAATGGTAATTTAACTGATCTTGTTTCTTTCACAGAAATTGATTTAGATAAGGATGAATCATTGTCTCAGACAGATTTAACAAACAATAAGGAAGCAGAGAATGTTAAATATAATGGTCTGGAACAAGTAGTTTATTGAAATCTGTTAGTTGTCCTTTAAGGCCAATTATTAAGTCTGAAAAAATTAATGATGATGAACTAGAGGATAGTGATTATATTAAGAGGTTATCAAAGAGTATTTTGGAATCGACACTTGATTATAATGATGTAAATTGTCATGAAGAAAACAGGATTTTGTGTTCTTCTGATATTAAAAGCAGTTCTTGTGAAAAAATTTTAGTAGTTGATAGAGAAAATCAGTCGTTACAAAAAGACAATGCAGTAATAAGAAGTAAAAACTCAAATATACTAAACTCACCTAATCGAGATATCAACCTTGAAATTGTAGAAGATATTAAGAAGTCGAACTCTCCTATAAACAATGGAGTTGTCAAATCAATTGTTAGTAATGTTCGTTCAGTTGATGGTCCAATCTTACATCCAGCTGACATGAATCCTAAAGTTATTTATTTTTGTGAAAACGAAAATCAGTTCATTGAGCGGAATAAAGATAATATTAAGGATAAGAATGATCTGATCATGTTAAATGCTAATAGTCGTGAAATAAAAATAAATGATGTTAACAAAACATTTGGTACTAGTTTAGACGAAAATAAGAAATTTAGTTTAGAAAATTGTGAAACTTCACATTTAAATGAAAATACAGAGTGTTTCAGTTCTAATAAGAAGTGTCCAAATAGTGTTGTTGAAAATATTGACGATGGTATGTTACAAAATGAAGAAAATCATTATAAATCTCAAGATGATCTGTTTCAAAAAAGGGACAACTTGGAAAATGAAATTCGCAGCAACATTTCCCATTTTGCTAGCAATGACTCTATAATTACAGAAACAGGCATTCATTGTAGTCAGCAATCTGTTCAAGGTAAAGAGATTATTAGAGAAAAAAATGCAAATGGCTTACGCAGAGATCCTGATTGTGAAATTGTTAAGATCCTATTTCCATCCAACAGTAAAATTCTTAAACCTATTGGTTTCAAAAGAATGAAAACATGTGGAGGGGTCATAAAAAAAGTTATTAAAAATGGCATGTTATTCACAGCCTCAAGAAATCGACAAAATCTTAATATGTCTTCTAAGGGGAATTGTGTAGATGCTAAGAAGCTGTCTTCCAAAACAAGTAAGTTAATTAAAAGTATATGAAATTACTATTATTTTTAATTATATGTTTGCGCCAATAAAATATCTAAAGTTTATCTTTATTTCATCAAAACAGAATGTAAAACAATTTTTTTATTCAATAAAACAAATAGAATAGATGATTGACAAGTTAGAAAAATTATTGCCACTTTGTTGACGTAGCAAAAATGAAAAATCAAATTTTTTGGATTTAATCACTTTTATGTTTTTTTTCTAAAATCTTTTAATTATAAATCACTAGGATTCAGAGAAGTTAAGGTCGAGCGATAAAAATATTATTGCTATGGAGATGTTAAAAGTAAAACTCCGCATTATGTTTTGGTCTCCTAAAAAGTAGCTATGGTGAAATTAGTTACTTAAACATGATGGCAATGAAATGGGCTTGTGAAAAAGTGCTTTATTTGTAGTTTTACATTTTGCTGTGCTGTGTTTAAATATATTTTTTCATCTTTTTTTCTTAAAATGGTCTAATTTATTATTATTCCTTGGTACTGACCTCTTTTAATCAAATTATTAACATCTGGCTGAAACTTCGTGAATAGCTCCATCTCATCATGACCTACAAATATTTTATTTACGAAAACTCTTGGAATTGGGGTGTTAAAATCTGAAGATTGGCAAACTCTGTCTATTTAATTAGGTACTAAAAACTCATAAATACTCATTTGCTTTCCACTTGGATCGTAAAATAATTTGATCATAAAATAGAGAAAAAAATTGGCCTACAAAAATATTGGGCCATTTGGCTTACATAATCTCATTTTTTAGAATTGTTGGGGCTTAGGTGATGCCAAACGGTCAAATATTTTTAAAGCTTAACTTTTTTTATCGATTTTGTGATCAATTCAAGTGAAAAGCAAATGAGTATTTAAGAGTTTTAGTACCTAATTAAATAGACAAAGTTTGCCAATCTAAGATTGAAAAAGCCCCAATTCTGAGAATTTTCGTAAATAAAATAGTTGTAGGTTACAATGAGGTGCAGCTATTTACGAAGTTTCAGACGGACGTTTATAATTTGATAAAAAGGGGTCTGTACCACTGACTATATTGTAATGCATAAAGTTCCTGTATAAAGAATATGTTATTTAATTTTTATAACTATTAAATGTAAAACTAGTTGAATGATGTAGTAGGAAAATGTCAACAAGAACTCTTGGATTTGATATCTATCCATCTTCTCCATAGTATATTTAAAGTATTAACAATATTAGAAAAACATTTTTATTCATCAAAAGAATATATTATTATCTCTCATTTATTAGGAGTGGGATATAAGCCTTTATATATTATATCACAGGTAGCCTTACCTGGCTACTTATCTACTTCATCACAGTTTTGGCAATATTAATAACTAAGAAAATTAAAACATGTCCACAAAGGATGTTTATTTCTATTAAAATATCAAAGAGTTCCTTTCTACATTTTCTGAGGTGTTCAAGATTTCAGAACTATTTTCTTTCGTTTACTTTTTCAATAGATTTTTGATTTGTCATTGAATATAATCATCATCATCATATGTGGCACAACATCCCGTTACCGAGACTGGGCCTCCTCCAAGAGCCTCCGCCAGTTGGCTCTGTCTTCTGCTGCAGCTCTCCAGTTCCGTACACCAAGCAGGGTTCTCACATCATAGGCCACGTTGTCCAACCATCTCGTCCTCGGCCTTCCTACCCGTCTTACGAGGTGCAGCTCCTCCATCATTATTTTCTTTGGTATTTCAACGGTGCTCATTCTGGCCACATGCCCTGCCCACCTTAGTCTGGCCAGTTTAATATACGTGACTACGTCGATGTCTGCATAGAGAGAACTGAGCTCCCTATTTTTTCTTTTCCTCCAGACATCACCCTCCTTTACTGGACCATAAATCCTTCTGAGGACTCCTCGCTCAAACACACTCAGCTTCATCTCATCGTTTTTAGTCATAGTCCAAGCCTCTGAGCCATATGTCAAAACAGGCCGAACAAGGGTCTTGTATATGATCATCTTGGTCTTCTTTGAGAGTTACCTACTTCTTAAGTGTCGGCCAACTCCAAAGACACATCTATTGGCAGCCGTGATCCTTCTTTGTATTTCTTGAGCCATGTCATTTTTGCTATTGATTTCAGACCCAAGGTATATAAAACTTTTCACTCTCTCAAACTTAAAAGAACCTACCTCAAATGGAGAGTTCAGATCCACCTCACCACCAACTCTCATATACTTAGTTTTCCTCTCGTTGACTTCTAGACCAAGTGGTCTTGCAGCTGCTTCAAGGCCGTTAAACGCTTCTCTGAGAGCCCGTTCAGACCTACCTATTATGTCAATATCATCAGCAAAACCAAGAAGCTGTGTCAGGCGATTGAAGATTATATCGTTGGTCTGAATACCGGAGTCTCTTACAGCTTGAATATAATAAATAACAATATTTTAATTTCTTAAAAACTTAAAAAACTTGATAAGTATTCCATGGCGACCGCGGCACCTAGGAGACTTTTGACAAGAATTAAGGCTTATCTCAAAAACGGTTTGTTTTAAGCCTTCAAAGCATATGTCTCTGTGTGTCATGTATTTACCAGGTCTTGATGTCATTGTTTAATACTTTAAAACCCAACTTGTTCTGCCAGATTACAAACTTTAGAGTTTTGAACTTTCTATCTTTTTCTTTTATGACTTTTACTGAAGTTGTAGTACAAATTTAAGTATCGAAATAGGAATTTGTTACTTCTCCATAAAATTCTCTTTCTTTTGACATCTTGTTTGTCCAAATCCATGAGAGCCAGAAAAGAGATCCCATATTACAGAAGTATTACAGCCTTTCTTGTAAACTTTTAACGGAAAACTTTATCATTGAATAAATAATATTATAATATCCAACATAATAAGGCTACCCAATCAACATAACTATGGAAGCTTTAGATAATCTAACAATATCATTTTTTCTTATAAACTTATAAATAATTTAACATATAAAATTGTAAAATTAATCTTGTATAGAATTAATGTTGACCTCACTTTGGCATGAATAGGTTGTTTATCTGTAGAGTAACCCGTCTCTCCTGCCCTAATCTGGGTACATAAGTGTGTAAAACCTAAAAAAATCTGATCGGTAGATACAAATTAACCCATATTACGAAAGGTAAGAAACCAACATATTTTAAAGAAACAGAAATCATATGTTTTCCATGTGAATATTACAAAAATTCAAAACCTTGGATAAACCAGGTTTCCTGAATTTTTTTCAACATCTTCATGACTTCTGTAATGAAATTTCAGAATGAAAAGGGTGGTTCTGATTGATAATTCTCCTTCACATTGCTCAGAATCTTCTCCAAAAACAACAAAGGATTGTCAAATTGTCTACTATCCACCACCCAAGAGGTTGGGCATGTTGGGATAAGAGTCTTAGAGTATAGAATGATTTGGGTTCGATTCCCAAATGGATCAGCTAATATTTATTTCTCTGTGGTCCCAAGAAATAAATTTTGACACCAATTTTGGTTACTACAGGCAGCAACTTCTAAGGAGACATCAGGAGTTGACAAGGCCGACTTGCTGGAATAGTTCTCCCATCAATAACAATACCAGTATTTATTGATTAACATGTTATTTCAGGCAATTTAAGTTCTCATGTATAATGATGATTTCAATTAATAAAAGCTAATATTGAGCGGCTTTTGCGGTTTGGTTTGTTTTGATATTAAAATTAATTATATTAATTGTTTGGTCGTTTAGCATATTAAAATAAGTCATCAACATGTTTATTGATTTATTGTTAATTTGAACTTAATTCTTTATTTATTTATGCTAATGTACGTTTATTTTAATATTTCAGAATTACCTTATGATAGCCTGAAACAATTAAATATTTCTGGCAACTTTGTGAAAAGCCATTCTACTTCCAATTATGAACCTACCAGTAACAAAGAATCTATTAATTTGAAGAATGTCCTTGAAAAGTGTGCAGATAATATGGTTAGTGGAACTGAGAGAGTTAGGGTGAGTTTTTATGTTAAGAGATTTTCTGGTGACTTTGTCTTAAATTAAATCGCACCAATTACCCATTCATAGCACTTCAATGACTATTTTAATATCATGGTCATCTTCTTATCATATGTGTCGGAATAGATTGCGATGAAATTTATCATACTAAGCAGGTTGAAGTTGCTATGTAGTTTGTTATTAAGGGTGATTTCTCGGGCAAACTTACGATATAGGGTCTCTGTGAATAATTTAATTTTAACATACTATGGAGTGTTCAGGGTTCTTCAAAGAACTTTAATTTGCAAAGATTGAATATGGAAAGGATTTCATGGTTTTGTGGAACTCCAAAGCTTAACTCTATTTGTCCGAGTATTTCTGATAGTCTATTTATTTAATTAGTAAATATTTATGAGCTTTTTGTAATACTACGGTGAATAAAATATTAATGGAAATTATTTTGTTATAGATTTATTGATTAATGTTCAACATAAACTTCTTTCAGCATTTCTTATTGTAGTCTCATACATGGTCTACATATTGAACCAGTCGATTCGGAAGCTTTCTGTCCTCAGTACAGCCATATGGAGCAGAAAATAAATTTTTCTGTTGCAAAACACATAACTATAAAGTTTTTAACTAATGAAAGCATTAAAAACTCAGAAATTTGCAAATTTTTGAAAGTACAGTTTCAGAATTGATTATATATGGGCCAGAGAATTTAAGTGTGGTGAGAAAAAGTTGGAGCAAAAGACAAAAGAAAGTAACTCAAGGAAAGTCTTACTAGGTCTTGTGCTATGCCGTTCAAGAACCTCTTGAAAGTGATAACTGATCCATTGTTTAAGAAATCGATAGTAATATAAATCACACAAGATTTATTTATTCATCCCAGAAAAATTCAAAGTTAGCCAATTAGGGCTGTCATCCATTTTAATAACATTGCTAGGCCTCACACCACGGTCTTGAATAGGACTAAATTGGAAGGAATGGTCTGGAAAACTTTTTCTCGAACACTTCACACAGTCCAGACCTGTCCCGCAGTGGTTAGTTTTTCTTTAGTCCTTTGATTCAATTGTAGGAGAACAGGAAATTCAATTCAATTCAAAAGTAAAGAAGAAATTGAGGAGCACATGCTTAATTGACTTACAACTCAACTTTTTATGAACTAGGAATTCAAAATTGGTGGTAAAAATGTTTTTGGAACCTGAGATTACATTGAGAAATGCTGAAAGTATGTTTTTTTGTACAATATTCATTAATCTATAAAAGTATAAAAAATAATGTTTAAAACAAATTAATAATGTATGAAAATTTAAAAGTAGACTAATGCCCACTTTTTAAATTAATCATTGATTTAAATGATTTTATCTAATAGTCTGCTACATATATATGCGCATATTTTCATTAATTTAATATACTATTAAATGGCATAACTTTACTCCTAGGAGAGTAAAATTACTCAAAAATTAGAATCATCTCTTTGTTTCCGACTTCAAGGAAAAAATTACTTTTTTTAGAGATGTCATGATGTCTTATATTTTTTTTATCACCCTACATCCTAACGTATTAATATGTATGCAACAGCTAAGGGTTAAATACTAAATTAAAATGAATGTTCATAGATGATTACAGATAAGCGAGCAAACGTAACATTTTTTTCATTTTTCCTGCTTTTATTTGGGTTATTTTTTATGTCTTTAAACTTATATTATTGACCTGGTGTTTATTATCCTAAGTTTGGATGTGTTATTTAAGATTCTTATTAAATAGATATATTTTATGGGTTTACTATTATAAAAGTATGAATAAAAGAATGGCTTATATATCATAACCATATTCATTATAAAAATATAATCCAAAATATCTGCTCCTTAGCTACTCTCAAAATAACCAAGTTTTGTTTGTGGGTTTTATATATAAATTTTTATTTGTTTTGTACTTCACAGTTTCATAATTTTTTTTTCTTTTTTACTGTTTATCAATGTTTGTTATGTATCCATTAAAATACAGACTGATATAATTATTTTATGATATAAAATTAACATAAAAAAAAAAAAATAGATTTAGGATTTGTTTGAAATTATTTATTTTTCAGAAAAAAACACTATCATTGAAAAAAATAATATTTTATCACATGGTTGTAATTAACTGACTACAAATTTTATTAAAGTAAAAATAAAACTGATGTTTTAATTAATAATTAAAATTTTACAAATAAATTAAATACATATATAAATGATATCATACAAAATGTGTTAAATACTAAGGCAAAAATGCAATATTTCCAACAGGAAGAAAACAAAATAATGAATTTGGAAATAGAAGCCATATTGAACAAAGTGGAAAAAATTGAAGTAAAAGGAAAACTGTTGGAGGTGCTTAGAGAAGAATTAGAAAAATTTGAAGAGCATTGTAAAAAAAAAATTGAGAGCTATAAACATGCTTATAGTAAGTAATAATTGATAATAATAGTTATAATGGTTTACTAACTTAATAGGGGTTCAAATTATTTCATTTATTCTTTTATTAACTTCTTTGTCTGATACTTAATTTCATAATTTTAATTCTATCAAAAACACATTACAGCTGCCATGAAGTGATATCACTAGAAGTGACAGTGAAATATATTTAGAGGTTATAATACATGTTAGTGGTTAAATTTTTTTCTGATTTTATTTTATTTTTTTGCTTCATGGATTATGGTACCAATGAAAAAACAAAGAAAAGTCTGTTTCTTGACGGAAGTTAGTATATTGTAAAAATAAGATTTGAGAACTAGCTTATTCCCTAAAGATATTCAATGTCAGTTCCAAAGTAAAATTTTTATCAAATTTGATTCTTGAAATTTTTTTTGGAGTCACTTTTGAATCATATGAATTTTATTTTGTGAGTTTTTTGAGGTGAGGTTAATGTTTATTCGGATTAGGTTTTTTCAAATACAAAGTTATAGGTACTTTTTTTTTTAATGCTGTTCAATGCGTCTTTAACAAAAGTTTGAAATTATAAATTCAATATTCTTTTTTGTTTTTTTCCAGTTGAAGAGATGGATTCTCTTTATACGATGGAAAAGCAACGTTGGATTCAAGAAACAATGAATGTTTCTGAAAATGAATCAAGGATGATGGTGGATGAAATAAAGAAAAAACAGTGGTGCATATTATGTTTGAACGAAGCCAAGTTTCATTGCTGTTGGAGTACATCTTATTGTTCGGAAAAGTGCCAGGTAATAGTTATCACTTTATATTATAATCATATTATGAAAAATGACAATATTTTTTAACATAACTAATATGTTACAGTTAGCTGATTGGCCAGTTCATATGAAAACTTGCACACAATATTCTATGCGAATAGGTGATCCTGACCTACGCCTTTCTCCTGATCTAAAAAAATTATTCAAAGGCGAAAATAACATACTCAATCACAGAATCAAGGTGAATATCCATTTTATTTATCTCTCGTTACTATCACAGTTATTTAGTTTGTTACTGGTTTATGCAAAAAATGTATTAGTCATTAAAAATAATTTGAAATTTTCAAAATTCATGTGGTGTCAAATGAGATGGTATCAGATTCACATGACAAACATTTCCTCTGGTCAATAAATCTGAATGTTTGGTTACCTGATACAAAATTCAAGATGATCGATCTAGTGCAAAAGGATCCTTCTAAACTTAGTGCACTTAAAACTCAATGTTTTCAACGGATTTTGAGAGCGCTGAATCCAAATCTTAAACCTGAATAACAAAATTAAAACTACCAGATTGAGTTTTCGAGAGAGATTTTGGAATCTCTAGTTTATTTTTTGGCCTGAGGGGTAGGTTATTGCATCAATGACCATTAAGTAAAATGTAAAAATGAATTTTAATTAGAGTATAATTAAATAAAGATAGAATTAAAAATTAGGTTAAAAATCTGTTTTTCTTGAAGAACAGATTTTTCTTCTATTCTGTTCCGTGCCAGCTAACTTGAAATATGTGCAATAAATTGATAAGTTAACAACTTTCTTTATTTATATCTCTGTCCATAAACTAGTAAGCCTGTAGGAGAAATTGCATATTATATATTTATTCTCCCCCTCTCTCCAATGGATGGCTCTGTTTACTTAAGATTGAGCCTTCCATAAAGTATTGTACTCATTAAGAACTATTGAGTTGGTGCCAATGAATGAGATCTTTAGTTAATAGTTCTCTCACTTATAAAGAGGTTATAGAAGCCATTCTGTGTAAGAACTTCTAGTTTTGGAGATATTAAAAAACAGAAAAAATAAAATATATCCACAAAATATGTTTATTTTAAATAAAAAGTTTCTATATTATCCAAAGTACCCAAGAGATCTCAGATCTATTCTCCTTTGTTTTCCTTTTCATTTTTTATTTAAAAACGTAAATGATGAGTAATGAGTATTTCACGGCAACTATGATATGTAGAATTAGGCTGTTGCCGTACATTATCTTGTAGATTATAAATTTTAGGGCTTTTAAATGCTGGGTCCAGTAGATTCCTAATTAATATTACCGAGTATCAATGTACACAACAAGATTTTTAAAAGACATATCCTGCCTTGGATCTTTTAACTTAATTTGCTGCACCTTTATAGAGCTGCTAAGTTCTTCTATATGTGACAGATATAAAGATTTATTGAATCCTTTTTAGTTCTGCGATGATGAATATTTGTTCAAGATATTTTTTACTTTTTAGGCCTTAGAATTAAAATTGTCTCTCCCAATTTTGAAGGAAAATATATCAAAACCATTCTTCCCATCTTTGGCTTTAAAAATACCAACATGACATTGTTAGAATTTTAAAATTTTTATACATTTACTTTAAATCTATTATCAGTAAATTGATCTTTTAATTATTATAAACAAAATATTTCTAATTATAATTAATTTTTTGTAGGATTTTCTCGAATCAGATAGATTTAATGGTAACAATTCTAAGATGAGTGCATCTTTGCCTTCGTGCAGTAGTAGTTCTGTGACAAATCCTTCTGAAGTGGCTAGAAAGGATCCCGCCAATTCTCTGCTTACATCGCCTAAAAGTAGCACCATCTATGTGCAAAAAAATTTCTCAAAACAGGATGCACTACAGGTATATTAATATACAAAATGTTTCTTATATATTTTCAATCTTTAAAAAGTTATGCTTATTAAATTAATGATATATGAATGAAATTTACAAATATATTAAAAGTTTAATTACATCAAAACTGTATTGATTGGATTTTTTTTATATATGATATAACATGATTTTTTTTGGGAGGGAGGAGGGAGGTAAATAAGCTTTACTTACTTCCAATTAAATTTCTTGTATGGAATATTTGTTTCTCCTACTTACCTAGTTCTGCCATAAATACTCTTACAAAAGTTGAACTTTGTTTACATCTTGGGTATTATTTAGATAATTCTTACCTCTATCAGGTTATTTTCTTTACATGTCAGGATAATAATTCCAATTAGTTTGTATTTTTATTTCGCTCAGTTAACATGGAGTGGGGTGATAAGAAAACCGAATAGCTGTGATCGCCTTACACAAAGTTGGAAAATATAGGTCAGAGATTTTCAACACTTTGATACCTTTGGATATCAGCCGTATCGTGTATCATACTATAAATAGATATGAGACCCTATCTGTATGTGACAGACCTTGACCATGCCGTCCCCGCACTGTGAGAATGGAAAATGCAGTGAGAGCAGTGGCTGCTCGATTCAGAAGAAATACCATTCGAAAACAACAAATCATGTCTCGGGAAATGGGAGTCATGTCAGATCAATGTCTTGCATAGTAAAAAGTGACCTTAGGGTGGGTGCATTTCGAAGAATGACAGGACAAAGGCTTCCCTAAAATAAATTTGAGTGGATAGATGCAAAGTGCTCCTAGGCTGTTATACCAATGGTCTTCATCGAAAGATTTTGTTTAGTTAAGAAAATTTTTACAATTGAAGAAAATTTAACGCCAAATGATGTATGCACGCACGCAGCTCTAAAGAATGAAGTCATTTAAGAGTGAAAGAGATCATCACCCTTCCTCAGTGATGGTTTGGTGGGGATTTTGCTTTGATGGCACCACAAAGCTCCATTTTTGTGAAAAAGGAGTTAAAACAGCCGCTAAAAAATATCAGGACGATATTTTGGAACCTATTTTCAAGCCTCTAAATGATATTCTGTTTGCTAGAAGTCATTGGGTTTTTCAGCAGAATTCCATTCCAGCTCACAAGGCCAGGTCACCTCAGCAGTGGCTGCAAAAGAACATTCCAGAGTTCATCTTTGCTTCGGATTGGCCCTCAGGAAGCCCTGATCTCAACCCACTGATTATCGGCTTTGTTCCGAACTGGAGAGGATGGCATGCCACAGAGCACACCCTAACTTGGCAAGCCTCAAACAATCTCTGGTCCGTACAGTTGAGTGCTTTCCCCAAGAAGTGCTGTGTGCTGCTATTGATGACTGGCCACGGAGATTAAATGCCTGTATCAAGGCCAAAGGGGGACATTTTGAGTAATTTATTTTTTGTTTTACTCTGTATAGATATAAATTTTATCTTCTAATAAAGTTTTTGAAAAAAAATGATTTTTCTGTTGAAATCTGTTTATATTTTCTTGTAACAATATTTATGACAGGACTAGGTATATAATTATTTTCTGCTCATAATTTACATTCATAGATATTTAATTTTATAAATATAAATATCTTTCTTCATTGAATTTTTGTTCAATATAATGAAAGATTTTCTAATGAAAATTAAATGCTCCTAATAATTTTTTAATTAATAGAAATTTAGTATATAGAGATCTAGCTGTATTCATAAATTAAATTCAGTCTAATTGTACAAATCAATTTAATGTCAGATTATATTTTAATTATTCCAATTAATTATCGTAATAATTATGTATTTTAATCTTTTAGGGGTCAGAAAATCCTGGTAATCAAGTCATGAAAATTGTTTCTAATCCAGCAGTTTATCTTTCTGGTATGGTCACATCTCCTAATCAAACTAAGAACATGATACAGGTTGCTAAGCAAAATCCTGCAAAGCCTAATGCCCAACTTCAGGTAAAAAAAATCTTTTTGTTTACCATGTACAGAAGCATTTTAAAATAATTTTTTAGAGTGCTACCAGTGGGTAGTTTCTTAACAAGTTTTTTCGTGTGATTATATTCCTGTGTACACATTTACTAGATATATTTATATTAATGAAAAAAAAAAAAAAAAAAAAACGACCCATGAAGGGTCTTGGGTTCAGTACTATTTAGGGACAGCACTGTTTCTAGATCAACGGTTGTGCAAGGAGGTGATTTGATCGAGATCATGCTCAACTGCCAGGTTTTTCCCCTTAATTATTTAATTAAGGGTACCCACTTTATAGAGACTGGGTGTGCCCCAGGAGAGTCTCCCGACCCAGGATCGCTCCTCGGCCAATGAAACAGATAAATAAATTTTCTGCCATGAGCCGTGGCTCAAATCTGGGACCTTTAGCATTGGAAGCTTAATACCCTACCACTGAGCTACTCCACTCCCCAATGAAGTTATAAATATCATAAATAAATAAAAAATAATAATAATTTTCAGTGTTGTTAATGTACTTCATAATGTTGATTCAGTTAATATTAAAAAATAAATAAACTACAAAGATTTAAGTTATATTATTATTTGGTGCACTGTTCTGGGATTAGTGTTTAATTGCCAGGTTCTCAGATTCCACTTCAGTACTCAGGCAGGTATTTTCTATATCGAAATAGTTTGTCAGGGGTTAAATGCCGATTTTTTAAAATTTATTCCTCTGAAATACCTTTTTCCTTGTTTTTATAAAAAATAGTTAACAATTTCACATTGTAACTAGTAAAGTATGAAATAATTTGATAATTATCTAAAGGGGAAATAAGGTGGGATTTAGAACTAATGAAGATACACGAGCGTGATCAAGCTTCGCTGAAGGTAGGATGTCTCCCAAACATAAGGCAGGCCATATATTGAACACAGAGGAGGCAGCAGAGAGAAAACCAGACAGAGGGAAGACATAGGATCTAAGGCCTACTAGTTCAGAGCTGTCTCCGTAAATTGAATCTAGCTCGGTATATACCTTTTTCCGATAGATGTGGGCGCTGAGCTTCTGTTGCTCGTCCTTGAGGATGAATCCTATGGAAAAAAAAGTACAAAATTTGCCTTTAGTATTATTTAAAAAAAAACAAATGAGGAAAAACACAAAAAAACTGGAATTTTTGAGAAAAAGAGAAACGAACTAAGAGTTTACTGTTTTAAGAATGATTTTGGATGATATATTTAAAGTAACATTTGATATTTCTATTGATGTCTTGAAAACAGACTGCACATACCTTTTTCCATGTTTAATTTGGATATTTCCTCTCATATCCGGTCTTTATTTTTTGCTCTCATTTAATCTGAATCATTGGTATCTTCAAGACTGGTTTATTTTACACTTAAGATTTTCCAGAGAGAAACACTTTATTTGCATATAAAATATATAAGCTTGCTGCCCAATTATATTGGGTTGCTATGTACACAGCATACTCGTTAATCCGTAGGACAATAAATAAACTTATATATATATATATATATATATATATATATATATATATATATATATATATATATATATATACAGAAGTGGTTAGTTTATATAACTATAATAAATATATATATAATTTTTTTTTCCTTTCATTGTTCATGCTTTTTTCCCCCTTTTTTTAACATTTAATTTCTCTTTCTCTCACTTCTCTCTCTTTATTCCTCTTTATATACCTACAATATTAAGATGCTTAAAATTATAATAGAACAATAACAAAAAACAAAAGTGTATACATCTAGAATTAAATAAAATTTAATATATAATAGACATATTTCATTAAATAAATACATAAATTAAAACTCTCAGCCTTGCCATGCACGTGGTGGTGAATGATTCCCAGGAAGTCAAGGACTATATTTTCAGCCAACCTCGCTACATCCTTAATGTCGACACCTAGTTCCTAGAGGAAGCTCCTTGTTCTTTTTGGAATTTTCTGCGAGACCCAAACCTGAGGCCTCTCACGATGAACTCTCTCTCTCCGAAGGTCTCACGGAATTTCTCTTTTAGGAAAGAGATACATTTATCATATGTGTTCTTCTTTTCCCTTCCCACTTCACCCGCCTGATCGAGGTCATTGCTCTCAAAGCGGACAGTTGAATCCAAGATCAGCGCTGTCCCTCCTGTCTTGGAAAATGCGATAGTATCCACATATCTCGTAGAGCCTTCACTATCGATGCAATATACCTTGTCAAAGCAGGTGCATTTCCTTTCCCTAAGGAGCCTCATCAACTCGAACTTGACCCTATGGTGACGACGTGTTATAAGGAGGGAGTTGTTGGGGCATTTGTTTCCTAGCACATGGGCTGGTGTTTCAGACTCTCTGCCACATTTACGGCAGAGGGACCCAACTTCTCTGACTTGTCCGCTGACACCTAGGACTCCACGCAGGGATGCATAATTATTGTTTAGTTTTAGGGCATTCAACCATTCAGATCCAGAAAGTACCTACTTTTCGTATATGTATCTATTCGCTTTCGGGGTCTCTTTAAAATGGCGAACATCAATACCCTGTCACTTGCAGTTGGTCCATTCCTCAAATGAATTTTCTCGTAGCGACTGCTGTAGAGCTCTCACATTTTGATGACCCTGATCAACCCCCGATCTCTCGGTACATTCAGCAACTTCAGTGAAATAATCAAAGGTAGATTGGAAAAGGGTATCTGGTACATTGGACAGTTGCTGAGCAATGGACCAATGTTTAAGAGGAGCGGGCATACAATATTGCCATGGAAGTATTCGCAGGGAGTCTAATAATAGCCTTTTTACGCTCCTGGGATGCCCTCCAGTATGGCAGGACGCAGCTTTGTGAAGGGCACAGTTTGGAGAGGGTAAGTAAGACCTGGGAACAGATATTGATTGACAATGTTGAGTTTCTGCTCAGGTTTAAGTAAGCAAGAGGTTACCAGCTTGTTAAGATTATCATTCAATTTAGTCACTGAATCTTCATTGAATTGTAGCTCTCCTGAGAATGTATTTAGATACTTAATCGTCTCTTCATTCTTCCATGTTAGGATGTACTCTTCATTCTCAAGAGAGAGCACCGCAGTTTCCAGCTCTCCTTTATTTAGAACAATGCCTATGCTTTTTTGAGGATTTATAGCCAAACCAATTTCTTGAAATGTCCTCTGTACGCTGTCAATCACTCTTTCTGCAGCCCCCTTGTCTCGCGCTGACAGCCTGGTCATTCGCGAAACCTGTGAGCAACACACAATCTTGGTCATTTCTTAATATATCCAAATTTCTTGGAACTTTCCTCACCGCACAGATCAAAGTAGAGATGGTCGATGGCCAGGTTGAAGAGCAAAGACGACAGGGGACCGCCTTGGGGTACACCGCGCAGCACTTTGATCTGGCTAGTTGCATGGACACCATTACTAATCTTTATATTATTCGTGCTAAGGAGAGCTGATATGACATTTTTAAGATTTGGTGACACACCTCCTGCTTCTAAGGTACTCACAATGTGTTTGTGGCCAACATTGTCAAAAGCACCGACAAAGTTGAGGAAAACTATCACACAATCATTTTTCATTTTCTGTGCATCTTTTAATATTGCATCGATAATCCTCTCATTGACGTGCGTTCCTGGGAGGCCTTTTATTAAGCCTTTCTGATTTCTGTGGAAGGTGACCTGTTTTCTTAATTTGTGGTCCAGAACCTTCTCTATGATTAGGCGCACAATCGAATATATGGAGATCGGTCTCCTGGTAGAGATATTGTTTATATCATCTTTGCCCTTATATATTAATATTGTGCGCCCCTGTTGAAGTGGTTCTGGGACATAGGCCACCTTCATCATTATCTCTGCAATCATTTTGATTTTCGGTTTCAAAGAGGTCTCTATAATTCACAATATTTGAGGAAAGTAATATGTGTTAGGAGCCAGAAGACTTAAGAAACTGATTACAACAGGTCACAGGGAAAACAGAGTATCTGTTACGGCTGTGCCTGAGCTGGTGTCACTATGCACCGCTCTATAAAAATCAGGTTCACACACCTATTCCTCTACTGCTCCTCTGCCATCCTATGTCCAATGTACTGCTGGCCTAATAGTTGCCTAATGTGCTATGTCATAGATAAAGAATGTACGAGATCTTATAATACTATATATTTATACAGTTTTTATTAATCAGCTCTAGTATTAATTATTAATTAATTAGATTAATTAAGGCAACATGAAAATTAAAATTTTTATATATACCTACTTATACTTAAAAAATAAAAATACTCAAAATGAAACATATATAGTGCCCTTCTTTATTACAAGCATTCTTATCGTACTAAAAAAAATGTATCACCTTTATATTTAAAGATATAACTATAATATAAAGCCAAAGGAGGAAATTGGCAATGAACAAAAAGACATACATTAATTTTAAAACTATATAGTAGTAATGTTTTAAATTAATATGTTGTACTGTCTATTATTTTTAATTTCAATTTCCATTTAAGAAAATATCTATTTCTACTCAAATTATGGTGGTTAGTGAAAGTTGTGTAATGCATGGCACCACACCAGATTTTTTTAAGCAATCTCTTATCAAATCCATACAGATTAATTTACTTAATATTGTTGACTCTTTTTATTATAGTGTGATTTTAATTATAATATACTATTACATTAAAATTTTGAACCCATTGTTATTAATCCTATTTCAGTTTTTGGAAGTTATTTGAAGTGACTGTTGCCTTTAATTTTTAATGAATTAATATTTATATTTCCTTCATTATTAGTTGTTATATAATAATGAAGGAGATGATAAGGTCATGCCACAGCTTCTCCGGCCTGAGAATTGTTTATTTGTATGCTTGTGACCTTCAAGTTCCATTACAATATCCTATTTTGGTCAAACTGAGAATTAAATCTAAATGGTTCTTGTAAATTGATTGCCTTTTTAAATTAAGATGAGGAAAAAAATAATCAGAAACAACTCCCAGTTATGTCTCTGATATTCCACCAAATTAAAGGATATAATTGAGAACTATGCATCAAATGTCCTTCGAGTATGATAGATTTATCTCTAAATGAACTGCATGTTCTAAATTCTGTGTCATTTCGAATTGAACAATTAGAGATAGAATACATTTAAGGATTGCTCATAATTTTTCATATCAATAAATGCCACTGACTTTAACAGTGAATCCTTGAGTTAGAAAGGATTATTTATTAAAAGTTTAAAAAAATCATTACATAACTCATGTGAGGTAAATTTCTACTTTTTATAATTTAGCAGCTTTTCACTGTATTTTCATTCATTTCAACTTTTTGTGTTATGTGGACACTTGAAAATATTTAATGTGGGTTTTTGCTGGAGGGTCGGTTAGCCCAGTGATGAGTAAGGCATTGTTGTTAGGGGTGATTCTTTTATTCTCCCTGTCTCAAGTTCAAGTCTGGCTGTGAGAGGTAATTATTTATTCTGTTACACCAGCCATGGTTCCACTGTGATTCTGTTCAATATATTTCTATAGCTCCTTCCAAGCCTCTTTAAAGTAGGCACTCTTAATTAATTAATTGTTTTGTGGAAAAACCTGGCGGTTGAGAGTGATTTTGATCAAATCATCTCCTAACACAACCATTGAACAAGAAACAGTGCTTACTTTCTCACAAAGTACTGTACGGGTTGTAGTGGTACATGTTATTTTGAGTTTTTGTTGGAATGACATAGCTATAAAACTTTTTTGTTTCTTTTTATTTTATTAATTATAATAACCTTATAAAATATTTTTATTTTGTTTTTATTTTCAGAATCCTTCTCATTCATTACATGTTCCTTATCCCTGAAAGCATCATCTTTTGTGAGTACTATAAACATTTCCAATAACCCTTTTTCCTTTCTTTTTTTTCATAACTCAAATATACCACCTTTCCTATTTACTATAATTTGTATACCTTTCTGAGAGATACATTTACTCTGGTTAGAATAGGGGGCAAGCCATTTGTGGTTATCTCAAAAAGTGCACAAGGTGTCAACCTGTAATTGAATTGGTCATGCCTAGGCACTGTAATATATCTCTTTACTTTAAATAAATTATATATTTATAACCATAATGTGTGTTTGTGGAAGGTTAATACCATTATTAACCCTGTGGTATACAGGTAAAATTATTGCAGTACACAATCTTCTCATTAATGCTGTATTTTATTTTCAATTAAAAAACTATAAAATAGAACCAGAAATGTCAGATTAATTTATAATCAGAAAAATAAAGCATCTAATAATGTACTAATACTAAAATTTACAAAATATGAGAAATAAAGTTACCTCTATGGATTCATAATAGAGACTAATTATACAAAAAACTAAAACAATTTTCAAATTACAAAACAAAGGTTTAATTTTTGTTCTTTAATCAGTAATAACTACTTTCATTAATTATTATTATTTTTTTTTTTCAGGATCAAGCTTCAGCTGGGCCATCTGGTAATAATAAATCTGTGTTATTTACTGCCCCACTTGCCAACAGAAATAATGCTCTTGTATCTGTTGGAAAAACCTTAACTTCAAGCAAACCAAGTGGAAATTCTTTTAATGGCCATAACACTCCATTGTTAATGGGAGGACAACAATTAATTTTACCGAAATCCTTTCTTCCTACAAAAGTAATTAAAAAAACAGTTCCCATGTTAGCTCATAAAAATGTAAGTTGTGTTCAAGAAAATAATAACACAGTGTTGATGAATACGAAACCACTTTATATTTCAATGCAAAATATATCAAGAGACGATTCTGACAGTAGTGATGGATTAAGAGATCCCTTAGAAATTTCCAATGGATCAAAACTACTTACAGAACAATCAATGTTATCAGAGCGAAATTCATTTTCAACCAACAGGGACACCAATAAACCAGCTCAGTCTTTTTTAATTGTTGAGAAAAGTGGAGAAACTGCTCAGTACACCTACAAGATAGGTTTTAAAGAAGACATTGAAAAAATGTCTCAAGTCAATATCATGTCTCCATCAGGTCAAAAATCGACAGTTTGTGCTGTTTCTCCATTATCATACCCAGTAATTTGCAGTACTCCATCTACAAGCGCTGGAGCCTTCAGCACGCACACGAAAAATTAAGTTATACCCATTAAATTTATGTTATATTTTATTATAAGACTTAACTAATATGAGAGAGAGAGAGCAAAAAGACTTGAATCCCTAATAGTTAATTCTTTTTACACTTGGTTGTTTTATTGTAAATATAAAATAAATGCACATAAAGGTGTAAGTTCAGTTATAGTTGTACAAATTGTTTTTCTTTTTTGTAGAAAATATTTTATGTTATGTACAAACATTGTAAAGATGTAGAAATATTTTATTATATTTACCAAATATTCAAAGTCTGTGATTGATAATGTTCATTGTATAAATAATAAATCGAGCTTAATTAAAGAGTTGTAAACTTGGTATTAATTATTTTATTTATAATATTGGCTAAGTTTCTAAACTTAGTGCTAATCCATTGATGGCTTTCTATGCTGAGTTTAGGAACTTGTCAATTTCTCTATATACATATATATATATCATTTGCTACAACGTGATACCTCAAAATTCATGATTATTCAGGAGATGCATTTGAAGTTTTAAATTCTGTCGATATTTCAGTCTATTGAAGTTGTAACAATCTTTATTTCCTTCATAAATTAATATCATTCTTTGCTTATTTATTTCTAATTTACTTATTGCATTTCACAATTGTTAATTGAAATAAATTTCATTCAAGATAAAAATATTGTGCATTTTATCTTGGGGGCTAAGAAATGATCCTCTACCAGATTCATCATCGCATTTCTGTGCCATTAATTAAAAAAGTTATGATGTTGTTACAGGAAATGATTTATATGTATTTACTATTCAACAGTTTGAAACAAGTAAACCTGGAGAAATCTCTTGTAGAAGAATAGCAGGTTTCAGTGGCACTTTTGGTTAATTTTTTATATAAATTATAACCCTTTATATTGGTTTTAGTTTTGAAAAAGACTATTAAAACAAAGTTATTTGAGTTAGATTATTTTTTAAAATATTTTTCTAATATCTTTGGCACAATGTCAAGTTGTAATATCAATGTTTATAAAGATTGAAATAAAAATTAGCAATTAAATGAAATTTGTGAGTGTAGGTTGGATTTTGCAAAAGATAATGGGTTTTAATTTAAACCAAATCGTTTCAGTGAGTGTTCCTTCATTTTTTTTTTTTAATGAACTAAAGATTTTTGCTTGTACTTAAGTAAATTAGTTTGTTAGAGGGAAAATATTATATCTAAATAAGATGTAGGCAGTAATGAACATTGATATAGAGAATAGGAATCATTAAGGATTAGACCCATGATTGTTAGATTACAGCAAGAGATTTATTTTGCATAAGAAATGAACTAGGTTCACCACTATAGGAACTTAACAGCTTGGTTTAGCTGAGTTTAGGAGAAACTGTTATCTCTGAGAGTTTATCTTTTCACAAACAAAATAGTTAATACAAATGACACTTTAGGGTAGAGAGATGAAGAGAAGAAAAACAATATTCATATAAAGAGGTATTTTTACTTATGCTATAGTTGTATTTCTGACTGTAATAATAGTATAAATTAACATTATTTATTCCCAGAAGAAAAAAAAAATGCAGCAAAGATTTTATGATAAATTCGAAAACTGGATGATGAAAGAGATATAATTTACGAAGATATTTATACTATAATAAATGATACATAATCTTTATTAAGAGAACAATATTGATAGTTAGATTTTCAGAGATTTATAGTTGAAATTAGACATTTAATTCAATAATGAACCTCAATGTGGTTGAATAAAATAATTTATTTCTGAAACCTATTTATTTTAAAACTAACGTTATTTCTGTAATTATACAACTATAATCTTTCGTACCATATTTTTTCAAATCTTTATAGTAATTATGGTAAAAAGTACTAATAACTAGAAATATAACTGGAATTCCATTCATTTCAGTTTGTATTCGGTACAGCTGATTAATTACGTTTCAAAGTGACGTTTCTGGAGCATGCGCGATTGACTTAAGTTTCTGTAGGAATCGCCATACTAAACAGTGGAGTAGTGTTTTTTTATGGACGTATCATACGCCCGGTGATAGGAATTTATATTCTACAATTCCCCTAAATAGTGATTGCTGTGTCGTGACTAATATTGAACATTTTGCTAACTGTTTACATACTGTTGTTAGTGATAGGTGATGTCAGCAGGCGTAACAGATCAGGTACCTAGTTTTTGGATTTATGAAGTTTAGTTGTTTTGTTATTAGTTGAACGTTTCCAGTTTTAACTTCATTAACGCCTAGTTTTATTTCCATGAAATCGTCTCTTCCTTTAAAGCGGATGAAAGGACAAGGGAATCAAGGTATGTCTTAAAATCCCTTATATGTATGTTTTCTATAAGTCTTTTATGTTATCTCATTTTAAACGTTTTGAAATGTTTTGTTTGTACTATGTTTACCTTCAAGATAAGCTCGTTTTTCATTCAACTCAAATCACTTGGGTTGCAAAAATGTAAATTAATCGTGATTGTAAACATCTTTAGTTGAGATTGTAGATTGAATACTAATATGTTATAATTATATCTGTCACACATTTACGTTTTAGTCATTTGAATTAAGTCTGATGTTCATCATCAGATCATTTTATTGTATACACTTTTGTGGTAAACATATTGTTATCAGAGTTCTAAATATTTTGATAGATCGCCAGACTTGTATTTAATGTTTTTCAAAGGAGTCAGTTATATTGTGATAGAGATTAAATTGTTTGTATTCATATAATATTCTTTATGTTATTTTTAGGGGTTATGAAGGCCCACTTTTATGTTCTACTTTGTGCTTTGTAAACATTATCTTGAATGAAAGTATATTTAATAGTTGCTGGTATTAAACTTAATGATACATTTTAAACCATTTTTAATGATTATTTGAAATAACTAAAGTTCGTTTTGAGATAGTGTTTAGAAAATTTGTCGATAAAATTATCTTTATTGAGGAAAAGAATTTTACAGTCTTAACTTCTTTTAGTGGGATTAAGGTATTAGGGGTATGAACTACAGAAATTTATGATATTTAGAGCATGTGGGTTATTTAAGAGTTAAGCTATTGATATTCAAAGAAGTGCAGATTTTAAGGATTTGTTATTTAACACATTTCTTATATTATTTATAACTGCAGGGAGGTATTTAAAGTAGTTTTAAGTTTCTATTATGTAGTTAATCATATTTTGATAATAGTCAAATCTCTTAATTACACTACTTCAATAATATTTGTTGGCTCTTTTGACATAGAATCTTTCAATCTTTTATGAAAACTTAATATCCTTTTCTTACTTTAAACCGAACACTATATCACAAAAAAAAGAAAATTGCTCATTTGATATTTTAATGTAAACTATGAATGGTGTTGTTTCTCTCTGATTTTTTTCTGAAAAATCTTCTTTATTTCCTGGATAAATGGATATACTAAAATTTATTTATTTAAAAAAAACTGGTTATTGCCGAATGTTAGCTCTAAATTATAAGCCATTTTGTGTGGTTTTAGCCCGTAAGATAGTTAAGAAATATGATTCTAAACTAAATTATTATTAAGCATGAGATAAATTTTGTTCAAGAGTAGTTTTTTTGTATGCAGGAGGCATACTGCGCCTCCTCCAGCATCTCCGACTAGCTTCAGGGAACTGGTTCAACATCACACTATCTTTATATATTATTTCTCAATTTTTTTTTTTTTTTTTTTTCGACACACCATCTTTTTTCCTTAATTCTTTATGAAATCAAAGATTGAACTATCATTTAAAGATTATTTTCTCCTTCAGGTGTGTAAATTAAGCAGATCTAGAAATATTAGGAAAAAAGTTAGAAGTAAAGCTATCGTTAATTGAAATGAAATGAAATGAAAATATTTTTATTATGCTGGGACTGTTGTTCCTTTAGGACAAATTACAGTTACACAATAAATGCCTGTGTGGCCATTCATAAAATTAATTATTTACAATTCTTATTAGGATTAAGATTTTGGAAAAAAATAGAACTATTACACTAAAAACATACTGATATGTATAATACAAATGTAGCAAATAGCATAAGTAAAGAAAATCATTTCTGGGGGAACTTTAAAAGTTCTCTTATCTATATTTCATGATCAATCGGTTTGGGAAAGGAGTAGGTGGTTAAAAAGGAGAGAATTAAATGAGGAAACTGATTGTACATGTCGGATATCTGGAGGGATGGTATTTCAGAAGGAGACTGCTTGAATTATAAAGGATTTGTCAAACGCTGCAGTTCGGTGGGGAGGTGGATAGAGGTTGGAGGTACGAGATCTAGTGAGACGGGATTGAATGGAATATTTGAACTGTAGGCTGTGAAAAATATAGGAAGGCCGTTGAGTTCTGATGACTTGGTATAGAAAGGCAGCAAGGAAGTTCAGATGGCGGTTGGATGGATAGAGCCACTTCTACTTTGGTTTAATACTGGGTTATATGCGTATCTCTTGAGATTCCGAAAACAAATGTATCGCGCAGTTCATTAGATGTTTTAGTTTGGTCTTGAATTCTCCCGAGTGTCTGCCGTACGCCCAGACACCATAGTCGAAGTGGGAGAACACAAGGGAAGAAACCAGGAGTTGACGGGATTTATAGGGAAGGAGATAGCAGAGACGGTTAAACTGTATCAGGGTAGAGATAGTACGACGGGAAATTTAGGAGATGTGTGGTTTCTAGGAGAGGGTTTGATCGAATGTAACACCAGGATTTTTTACGGAAGTATGGAATGAGATAGGTGTGTTGTTCAGGAAAGGATTGGGGAGTATCTGTATGGATTTAAGGAGTGAGGGAGATCCGATCAGGATGGCTTCCATCTTATTGGCGTTTAGAGTAATCTTATTGTGATTTGCCCAGGCACATATTGTGTTTACATCTTCCTGTAATTTTTGGATGGTGCCAGAGGATTCGGTTGGATTGAAGAGAGGTAAATCTGGACGTCGTCGGCATACAGATGGTATTGACAGTGTAGGATAGAGGATGAAAGGTCATTGATGTAGATGGAAAAAAGGGTGGGAGATAAAGAGGAGCCTTGTGGGACACTCCTGGACAAGGGTAAAGATTCTTGAAGGGTAAAGAATTGTACCTAACTCAAAAGGTATAAACTTATGGCTGATTGTACTCCTGATAATTAGAAAGATTTCCAAATTCTCTACTGAATGTGAAGAAAAAAATCAGCAAAGATAGCCGATTGTCCTTCTATATGTTTTCAGGGTGGTGACCAACCTGGAAAAATAGACCAAGTCCGAGAATTTTCAAAATAGGGAAAAGTCAGGGAATTTCAAAATAGAGAAAAGTCAGAGAGAAGTTAAGGAAAAATTCTTAGTCGTGTGTGTGTTTGTTAACAGTCTAGCTCAAAAACGAAAAGTCATACAAATAAGAAATTGCATGTCCTATTTAAGGTTTTTATATGCTTAGGATGTTACAGCAACTTCCGTCAAAATCGGCTGACCGGAAGTGGCACTTTATATTATGGACTGAACGCATTTTTACGATTTTCTCGAAAACGGCTCTATCAATCTTGATTAAATTAATTATATCAGTGTAATATTAAGCAGTTTTAAATAAAATGTAGGTTCTATTCTGATTGATGTTCTCTAACAGTGCTTAAATAGCTAATTTTCAATATTAGCTTCCCCTAAAGTACCTTTAATTTTTTTTATTTGAAACAATTGTCCATTTCACATTCATCTCTAATATAAAAGATAGTTAAATATAAAATATGAAAGAATTTGGTATTTAACTAAGGAGAAATAAGAAATTGTAACTGAGAATAGTTGTAATTGAGGAACCAAAGGAATAAAATGAGCGCACCCGAGCTCTCCGGAAAGATTAGAACACGATTCCATACATAACATTAGCTTAATATAATAAGGACTCCGATAACATTATGTAAATATACAAATGCGGTTTTCATAAATGCTATTGTTGGTATTATTTAATATTTAATTGTATATATTACTGCAATATAAATATTAAAATTTGTATATATATATATATATATATAGGTTCTTATACAAATAAAAATATCCAAAATGAAATATAAATCAATATAGCGTTTATGACTTTTACTTTCATTTCCCCTTTGTCTGAAAATACTTATTTCTGCTAAAAAGAGAGTGGTAAGTGAAAGTTTCATTATGCAATTAACTTCTGAACGGTAATTCTGTCCATAGATGAACGTCCATTAGAACATTTTTCGATCTTAAAATGTAGAATCTAGTCAACTTCCTAAAAAATTGCATTTCACTGCGTTTAATATGTTAGTGTCATGATAGATCTCACAAATTGTCAGCTAAACTTAATTCCATTCGTTGGTTAACTGAAGGGGAACACTGGTAGGTTCACAGCTATTTTTTATAAAACAGTGTTGTGTCGGGAGATGAATCTTTGTATCCATCCTCATAAAATGTTAGTTTGAGGTTCATCAAATGGATCGCAAATTGATTTTAAATATTTTTAAGTTTTGAATAAATTCTGCCTCAAACTTGATAACAGAATATGGAGAAGAACTGATTTCGTCTTTCGTAGATTGTTCTTTTTTGGATTTAAAAGATTCATCACATTCAGCATGCTTTCTCGAATAGTCTTGAAACTTTTGAAAGATTTCGGTTTAATTCTTTAACCTAGCTACTATTGGACTCTTCCCTCTCAAGTCGGCAGGATATATGGAATTTTTCTTCCAAGGAAAACCTTTTTTCTTCTTCTTTTGCTGCTCGACCCATCTACCACTAAGAAATCCACTAGAGTTGGAGTTGATTATATATCGAATTGCAAATTTCTCTCACTTTTGAAGTTCAATAAATAAATTTCAACATTACCATAAATAAAAAAAGCTTCAATTGGAAAAATGACTTCAACAGGAAAGAATAAGATAGGTAATCTGAAATAGGATATCTGAAACATCAAAAGAACAAGTTTTAGGAATTGAACAAATCAAAACCCAAAATGAGCCAATGTCCCATCAGAAACTCAATGACACAAATTATGTATTTAGCAGCCTCACAGCAATATCTACACTAAGAGAATCCAAAATTCCTCATCAACGCATACCACATCCTCTTGACATTCATGCGAAACCTCCTACAGTCACCCACAGATCGTTCCTCCATCTGTATCTGTTCTTCTGGCTATAAAAGTTTGTGACCAATCCAGAAATATGCTGCTTGTCACTCTCCACGATGTCCTATCACTCAAGGCGCAACATCATCATGTTTCCCACAGTCCAAAGAAACTAATTGCTCTTCATAAAAAACTTACAACAATGATCTTTTTGAGATTATTATTTGTAAATATTAAAAATAAGTATAATGAAATTTAAAATAATAGTGTTTATGTGTTTAAGTCATTGATTTAATAAAAGATTTTTGAAAATTAATCATAATGTATATATATTATATATAATGTATTTTAATTTTAAAAGCAGAGCGGTCTAATAAACAGCTTCTAGGTCCATTTGGAGACGTTGAATGTGGAACATCATCTCCATGTGCGGTGGCCGTCATTTCACTCTTCACCTGATGTGGACAACTTTCACCAGCCAGCAGAGATTGATACTTCAGCATTGCAGTTTCAAGAAAGCCAGTGCGACAATGGAACCAGGATACTTTCATTTCATCTTGAGTAGGCTAAATCTCCAATTTTCTCACAGCTTCACAATGATGCCATTGAAACTGACCAGAAACTCTTAAAAACGTGGAATACATGAAATAATCAAAGGAAATCTGCAGCTACTGAGCACATTAGTGGCTAAGGACTGGACTGGATTACTCTTTTCCAGAAGTGTGAAATCAGGATGCATTTGATCTTCGTGTTTGAAAATTCTTTTAATATATAAATAATTAACAAATTTTCTGCTCTGGTAATTAATATTTTTCCGCACTCCTAAATATTATTTATTTTAAGTATATTCATGCACATATGACATTTTACTTGTTAATGAATAACGTGTAGTTTATAAACCTTTAAAACAAATAAAAATTCATTTAACTATAAAAATGGGTCCTACTTAATTATATACCTAATTAGTTGTAAGACCCATAATAATTTAATTTGTGTTAATACTATTATTTTCTACAGAAGTATACTTTAAAGATCACCCTTTAACTTAAGAACATTAAAATAAGCCTGAATTTTAGTCTTGATCTGAAAAATCTGATTGTTATTTTTTGTCTTATAATGTGATATATTAAGAAAACTTATGATTCCATTCACACTGTTGTCAAATTTATGAAGTAAAAAAGCATAAGTTCATTTTTCACATGCTCACAACATTTCACCGTTCATAGTGAAAATCTACAGGAAGCAAGCTAATCGATATCCTAATATTATTGCTTTTTATATTATGTACAGATATTGTACGGAAAGCCTGTAAAGGAAGAACGCCTAAAGCAATAGTGGGCATTGGAATCAAATTCGTGTACAGGCAAGTTTTTTTTTATATGAGAATGATGTTGTTTTGTTAGCTGTCACACAGACCCTGTATGCCAGAAATGGCCAGGTAGGAGAATAAAAAAAAAAAAGGTTGCTGTCACACAAAAAAAGTTACAGTTGGCAGTCAGTGAATAAATGAAAGAGGTTCGGTGAATTAATCATCTCGAAGGCAAGATGATGTTTATCAAGTGAGATGTGAAAGACCGAATTCACATTACATGTAACTACTAGAGAAGATAAATTACCACCAATACCTTGATGTGATTTTCAGCTGCAAAGGATGAACGGATCCAGAGGTTTTAAAGAATGAGAAAAGCAAATATTATAGTTTATTATATCTGCACATTTCAAAACAATATTCCTATCTGTTCTATGGGTGCAGAGTTTTATAGTCCTGAACAAGCACTTACTTGGGGCAGACAGAAAGAGGAGGTAGAATGAAAAAATAGAAAACATCCTAAGTAAGCCAATCAAATATGTTTTGGAAGGGAGGCAACTAAAATGGTTGTTGGAAGCAAAATCAGAGGGAATACGGTGGACGAAGACTATACCTTGAGACCAGGATAAGCCAGAGTGATAAAGAGTAAAGAAACAAGTCAATTCCAAAAAAATAATAGATATGAGAGTACAAGCCAATGACTGAGGCAGTGGATGAGGTTGGCTTGAGCTGTTCCTCCCCGCTAATGGCAGTGTAGCCAAGAGGTAGCAAAAGTAGAAATTGTTATGAAAACATTCTCTCTTTTGGCTCTGTTGGATCATCATAAACTGTTGGACACATAAAGGATCCTGTTCTGCAAAGAGTCTAGATTGCTATTGCTGATACCCCTATCTATTTTTCTTATCTATTTTCTGAAAACTCCACACTATTCCGTTATTTTTAATGATTCTGTACCCACTATCATTTCCTTTAATCGCTCATATGTGACCTTATCTATTGTTTATACTGTTAATTGTTTTTTGTCCTATTTAGTTTCATTCTCAATAAACTTCTGTTGACCAGGCCTGATCCTCATCCTCTGACTCCCTCGAGAGAGTACCTCGGGGGTTGGGCTCCCTTTAAGAGACCTGGTCTACAAGGTTTTGTTTTTTTACTTTTAAATTTACATTTAAATAAAGTATAAGTAACATTCATAGTTGTGGGTAAATGGTTGACTGTCGTGAATAATGAAGAGAAGAATAGTTGGGGTGATCAGTCAAATAAGAAAGCAAAAATAAATGGTAATATTTATTTTGACATTTGCCAACGTTTCGACTTGAAGTTCAGGCCTTCATCAGGGCTGTCTCCAAAAAGTGTTAATGGAGAAAAAAAAAATTAACATATATAATGTATAACAGATAAGTAACATTATATTATATTATAGTTTTGTTGCATACTTTATAAAATGCTTCAGTTGGGTTTTAATGGTAAATTTATGGTTGAAGTGTGACCTGGAAAATTATTCCTGGGCCATTGGTTTTTCTCTCTGTTCTTTTGAGTAAGGTTTTCTAAGGAGTTTCTTTATCTCTTGATTGTACATTCGAAGGCTGTGATCTGGAGTTGGTTAAAAAACTTTATTTGCACTTTGTGTTAGAGTTATAATTATTGTAGAGTTGTACCCATCGATATATGGTATCAATTTAAAATATATCTTCTCATTTAAAAAAAAAAAAATGTTGTATGTATATATTAATTATGAGTAACTTCTTAGTTATGGGTTTAAAAATTATCCAAATTTTATTATTCAGATTTGTATCAAGTGGTTGTTGTGTCATTTCCTTTAAATATGGGTTATTAAGATTACTTAGGATTTTCATTTAAGGTTTGTTCGAGACGGGTAAAGTCGTAATATATATTTTATTGTTATTTAACTTTCCATCTATCTAAGTTTTTTTTTAAAATCTCTTTATTTTTATATATATATATATATATATATATATATATATATATATATATATATATATATATATATATATATATATATATATATATATATATATATATATATATATTATATATATATATATATATATATATATATATATATATATACACATTTCTTATCCTGAGTGTCGAAAGTATATTTTTGTTGTTTACTTTTTTTTAATAGTTACAAATGGACCAAAAGAACATGTGAATGAGCACGAAGATTTTGATACATGGCGGGCACAGCAGCATCAGGTAAAAATTTAGTTCTGTTTTATACATTATTATTTTTTGCTACTTTATTTATTTATATAAAAACAATGTATTGCTATATAATCTAAGCTACCTATAAAACCTATAACCTGTAAAAAAGATTCCTTACATTGCTAAATTAATTGTAAATGAATCTTACACTTACATATTGGTCATCGAGAATGATAAGTAAGGTGGAAAAACTTAAAATAAAATGAAATTTCTTATCCCTAAGAGCAAGAAGCCATCAATCATGAGGCCAAACTAATATTCACAATGTATTTTCTACCAGCATCATGTATTAAGGGAAACACTGAGAATTATGAGTATAATTCAACTTATATCTTATGTTTGTTCTGACAAAAAGAAGTATAAAAAATAAAATATCATGTAAAGTTCATTTCATTCATTCTGAATGCACGATATTTAGAATTCAGCTCATAAAATTATTATATCCAAAGTGAATATTTTGGTTGTAAAATCATTTTTTTTTTATGCTTATCAGGTGGTGATTTTTCAAGCTATACCTAATTTTTGTCTTTAAATTTGACATATTTTTTTAAATATTCTGGTAAATAAAATGATAAATTAAAAATGTCACCTAACCTGTTAAGAAAATTAAATCTCAATTTTGAAAAAAATGTGTTCAGTTTATTTGTATTTGACATTTTCATATTACTAAACTTTTTGATTTTATTAGAATTTTTAAAACTATTAATTGCCTAATCATTTTAAATAAAATCGTAGTTCATGTAACGTAACATGATTTTGGTTCCTTTTGTATGATTTTACTTACTTTTAGTTACTTAGGAGGTATATAAGGATTACTCTGAAGGTCCATTTTACTCACCAAAATAACCATCACCCCTTAATCAAAATAATGAAATGTTATATTATTTTGATAGGGGGACATGACAGCATACATTTACTTTTTTGAATAAATATTTATTTAATATAAAAAATATTCAATACTTTCAAAAAGTTCCAAATGTTTTTCTATGAGTTTTTTCATTGAAATGAGAGAATATGTATAAAGGAAGGAGATGGTCCGGGGTTGCGGTCATAAAAAGGCTAAATAGTGGTAAAACTATTTTATTGAAAGCCAACGTTTCGACCCGATTTTGCAGGTCTTCATCAGGGAGGTGTGTTCCACAGAGGGGGAACACACCTCCCTGATGAAGACCTGCAAAGTCGGGTCGAAACGTTGGCTTTCAATAAAATAGTTTTACCACTATTTAGCCTTTTTATGACAGTAACCCCGGACCATCTCCTTCCTTTATAATGCAACGGTCAACTATCAAATATTCGATAATATGTATACTTTGATAGACAAAACTAATACACAATCTTTATATGTTATTTCTCAAAGATGTTTTTTTTTTTTTTTTTTTTTTGTTACATCGTATCTTCATTAATTCTTCTTCAAATCCAATGATTGACCCATCATTTTGAAAATTATCTTCTCATTCAGTCCTAAAAAACAAGCACATTCTGCAGGAAAAAAATGTATGAAGAAATAAAAACTTTAAATGATTAGTTTAAAGAAATCCTCAAATTTGGATCATTATTCGAAAATATACTGCCTACTGGATTTTGTACAAATGTTTTGCTTTATTGTTTAAACTATGAACCATTGTAATCAAGAGAAAACGAATTAATTCTTCTTTTTCATAATATATTGCATTTACTTATTTCCCTGTGTTTGTTCACTGACCAATATATTATACAAATTATTTGCTTGAGCCAACTAAATATTAACTTATTTATCATGGTGTTTTTATTTATTTTAAAATTAAGACAATTGTGTAGGTTATAAATAAATCTGTCATTTAACGTAATTAAGTCTGATGAATCCGAAAAAGTGTATACAACAACATTTGTTAGGCTCAGAAAGTTGAATCGAATGACACCTTCAACGGGTAGATCGGACAAAGTTGAAAAATGCGTGTGTTTTACCCGTGTTTTAAGCGACAACGCGTTACAGATGTTTGGGATTTTGGATTTTTCCTTTGAGTTGTTATACTTTTTTTCCATTAGTTGAACAGTACAACTTTTAAATGACTGACGATAGAGTATGTTGGGATGAGAATCGAAGTAAGTAACTGCGTACCCGGGATCTCTAGACAAATTTAAAGCCTATGTTTTAAGTCAAGTAAACCGAAATATAATGTCACAATTTCATTGGACAATGCGGACATATAGACAAAAATTGTTTAAATGTAGGTTTGGTGTCTGTAATGTATGAAACGGAAAGATCATGAAACGGGTTGATTCTATTTAATGAACAGACAAAACCTTTATTTTATTTATATAGATATTATAGTATATAGCAGTATTTTTTATTATATTTTCCAGCATTTTGACCTATATTGTAGTTCTTCTTCAGGATGTTACATCTACCACTGCCGGAAGAGACTGGTAGTCTGGTCGAAACGTTGGAAAATACAATAAAAAATACTGTTATTTAATATAGTATTGTATTCTGACCGCAGACTACTACAATGCAATACACAATATTATTATTTAATATAGTATTATGTATTGACTGCATTCCCGACTAACTTCTCTAAAAATAAAAAGGTGTTCTTTTTAAGATTTTACGATCAAACCGCTTCCCTTCTTTCCATCAATTCTTTAATGTTCTGTGACAATCCACAATCAAACTTTATATGTTCATTTATTACTTGGTATATAGCCTCATTCTCCAATTCTTAATTTTAAGTAGTAAATTTTCTAGGTATTCATTACTTATCCAAGACTTCCATAACTTGTTCCCATTGATAAAGTCAATATGAAAGTACTATCTTTTAAAGAGAGATTGTTTTCAAAGATTTTTTTAAGTATAATGTCAAAATTAATGGCTTCTGTTGTTATATCCATTGTGATAGTTAAAGGGAAAAGGTATTCAATTGAACGATTTGACTTGTGTAATTAAAAATTTCTTTTTCAGAATTATACAACTCCTATTTCTACGACAATGGCTTCAGATCCATATATGTCAAATTATTATGGCACCTCATTCCCTTATCAGGCATTTGGAGTAGGGGATGGTACTTGGTCTAATAATGACCCGATGACATTCCTTGGTGGATATGGAGGACAAATTAGCCATGACTCTTATGGTATGTCAAATTTAGTTAGTAAATCTTTAAATTAGTAAACTATTGTAACTATGGTTAAAATGAAAATGTTCTAATAGCTAAAATAATTTGAATTAAGAACATTTTTAGTTGTTTCTAAAGTATTATGGATATATCAGTTTATTAAAATTTTACTTTTTTGCTTATTTTTACCTAAAGATCCAAAAACATTTTAGTGACCTTCTTATTAGTAAGTTAAAATATAAATAAATCTTTGTAGCTAAATTAGTTGTTATGAATGTTCAGATTAAAGGATTTTTTAGATTTTATCAAATTTCAGTATCTCAAGATCATCTAAAACAGGTGTAATATGAGATAATAGAGGAAATCAGTCTGGTATTAACTTTTATGAATACATTATTGGCAAAATTGTGAAATCTTACAAGTCTGAAGGATTTTGGTTGAATGTTATTTTATTGTTTCCTAAATTTTATGTTGAACAGTTGTTTGTTATTTTTTTTTCTCTATAGTATACTACTTCCTAATACATACAATTTTTTAACTTACCTCCAGTGATATATTTATGTTTGAAAGGTCCAATCCGACGTCCTTTGAAAGGTTGGATTTGAGACAGTTGTGATTTCACTTCTTTGCCAATGACATACTAGTTTTTTTTTTTTTTTAATATGACTCCACTAATTAATGATAAATTTGAAATGAAATTAAAATATTGCTGTGTTCTGAAATTCTCTGTTTTCTATAAAAGGCATTCCTATAAGTCCAGGGTCATTGCTATGAGGATTGAATCTGTTTAATGCATAAATAATAGTAGTGGTGAACTAATGTATAATTCTTTGGCCTTTAAGGAATGGATGGTATGTTCGGAGGTGCGTTTGGGCAAGCAGGTGGCCCTGCCACTGGATTTAATTATTTTCCTGGTAATGGTGATTATTCAACATGGGGAAATTCAGCTGCAATGTCTCGTAAACCACACTACGATGACTACTATAGGCATGGAGATCCAATGTATGCTGGTATGTTTCCCTTACTGTATTATACTTCATCAGGTACATCTTTCTTAAATTATATTCTATTATTTTTTTTTTTTTTATAATATAAACAAAATAAAATTGTATTGTATTAATTTATTTATTTTTTATTATTTCTTTTGTTTGCTGTTTGATGTTTCTTGTGCTGTATCTCGGATACATTATAAGGTCTTTCGGAACATTCCTCAGTTCTGTTAATGTTTATTTTTTTATTGTCAATCAGTGTGTTGGGGCTCACCTCTATCTTGATTATATTCTTATAAAATTAACTTAAAATCTACCTTAAATCTATATTTTGCCATCGCCAATAAGCCGGCGGAAATGTAAGCATTTTAAATTCATTATTGGTTGAATATTTTAAAGAATCATAAAATTTTATTATTCTCCTATTAATAAATTCAGTCATTTAGGGCGAATTTAACAAGGCATGAAATAGCGTGTTTTAGCAATCCTTTTTAAAATTCCATTTTGGAATTGCTGAAGTCTCTTGCTTGTGTTTTTGAAATGTGGGACAATAGAGGAGCACCGTAGAGAAGAGAAGGTGAAGAATGCTTTTTTAGATGAGTAATTTTAATCTGAGGCTCAGGTTTGGGGTTTTGAGGAGGTTAAATTCGTAAGTTTTAAAGTGTCTGTCTTATTTAAATTTCAGATGTCTGTCAATTTAAATTTCCAGTTAGACCAAATTTCTTGATATATTTGATTTGCTTTATATGAATCGCCAATTCAAAATGTTTTAGGCAATTTTTTTGAAACAAAAAGATTATGCAGTCTGCTGTTGTTGAGTTTATTTGTATATTCAACAATTTTAGTTCATTTTGTATGATATTGCAGGTCTGTTCCACTTGTTTCAATTGCTTTTGTAGTGTTCATATTCTGACTGTAGATAGCGATATCATCTGCATATGCCAACACAGATGCCATCATATAATTTTTGCCAATTATTTCAGCAATGTAAATGTTGAATAAAGTTGGTGAAAGGACCACATCTTGAAGTACTCCGGTGTCAGAGGTATCGTCTGCGAGTAACTATCACCAACAAGTAGAGTAAGCCTTCGGCTGTTCAGAAACGATTGCAAGATAGAATACAGCAGCTGTTCTGGGCATTTTAAACAGTTCAACTTTCGAATTAAAATGGAATGCGAAACGGAATTGAAGGCCTTTGGACAGTCAATCGAGATCATCGTAGTCGCAGCGTTACGTTCAAGTTTTTGAGTATTCTATTTTCCAAGTATTCCTATCAGTTCTAATATGTGATCAGGTGGAGTCCTATGCGAGGGAGGAAGAGGTGCGAAGAGTATAATGGATGAATTCGATGCACATCTAATTATTTCAACGAAATCTCTTATAAATTCATCCTCTGTAGTATGTAACTTAAGGAATGTTATGAATTTTGCCTCTACTAGCCCGTTGATCAATCTTTTCTGCCACCTCATAAATAACCGGTTGATGACCTGAAGAGAAAAAGTCTAAAGCATAGCAATCTCTAAATTTAGGCAGCTGACGAGTTAAAAAAAGATCAATAGTTGACACTATATTCAAATCCCCAGAGTTTCGGAAAGCATGTGTCGAAGGATGGATTACAGCAAATGGCAGTTTGAGAAGGTAATTACCGGCTTTGTTGTTTTTAGTGTTTTACCACTGAATGTGCCTTGTACATCATTAAGTTCACCAATGATCCAATGGTTCGTCTTCTTACTACATTCTATTAAGAACCGACGAAATTCTGTAAGAGAGCTTCTAAGTCCAGTTACTGTGCCCGAGGTGTAACTGAATAGTAATGTGGTTAGTCCTGGAATCGTTGGGGGTGGTAGCTTCTTTCAGGTGATCCCATGACGAATTGCTATAACAACACCACCAAATATATCTCTGTTTCTGTCACCCACAGTGTAATATCCAGGAATACGAATTTGGTCTGAGGATAGCCTAACATCTGCAACTGCAACAGATGGTTTAGTCATTGATAATAATGCTTATATTTCTTCTTTTTTCATATTTATGCTGTTCGTGTTATAATTTAAGATGGTATGATTACTAACCATGGTGTGAAGTAAATAATGTTATGACGGTTTGAACTAATTGTGATATTTGTGACATAGAATTTGACATTATGTTGAAGAAGTTAGTGAACCAAGGTGGAGGTGCTGGTTCTTGGTCATTTGCTGCTGTAATAAATTCTGAAAAACTAGGCTGTTGTTTGTTGGTGAGGTTTTGAATGAGGTAGTGTAGTGAGGTTTTGAAAATTGTTGATCAGGTTTTTGAGAAGATATGGTTTCGGTGAGAGGTTTGCGACCACCATCGATTCTCCTCTTCAGATATTCCAGGAGTTCCAATCGTTTAAGTCATTGAAAAAAGAGGGCATGTTCTTCTTTGCAGTTGTTGCACTTCACTCTGTTCATCTCCCGTCGGGATTCCTTTATATCATGGGGTCCTGGGCATCGTACCAGACAAGAATATGATGGCAATGATTTTTAATGTGCCCGAAATGTTGGCATCTATAAAATTAAGGAATTTCTTTAGAATTTTGGTACTTCACTATGTGAATTAAGACACGGTTTGTGGCTTGTTCTTGAGAATCAACCTCTGGTGTTGTGGTTATGAGAATTGGGGATAAATCGGTTTTAGCACCGCTGGCACCAGTTCTTTGAAGGCAACGGATGTCTATAATGCCTTGTATGTGCTGCAAAGCCTCTTGAATTTCATCAACATTATGATTATGATCAATATTAAAAACTTTTTATACGGCTGGTTGCTGCCGTGAGGTGCAAATGTATGAAACTGACTGCTTTTCATTACCGTCAGCTTTTAATGTTGTCGTAATATTCGAGATTACTTGGATATATCTTAACGCAATCTCGGAACTTTTGAATGCCATATTATGTAATATGGTTTGTGTCTAGCAATTGACGTATTTCTGTGTTCAGTACTATTGGTGGTGGTTTTACTATTGGGACAGAGGTGTTTACATTATTTTCTGGTATATTATTCAATAGGGCAGAAAAAGAGTTGGAAACATTTACTGGAGTTACTTCTTGATCCTGAGTCTTGGAAACGTTTACTGGAGTTACTTCTTGATCCTGAGTCTTGGTTGTTTTCTTAGGATAGATATATCAGCCGGTTGTTTGACTTATCTTTCTCTCATCCGACTTGCATTCCACTTCCGTATGTTGGACCACCTGAACTGTGGGATGTTGGACCACCTGAACTTTGGGATTCTTGTTAACAATAACAATAACAATATAAATACTTTTACTACTAGTTGATGATATGAGAATAGATATGATAAACAAATATGACTTATCTCTTAACTGCTAAAATATGTCTATATTATTTTTATTGTTATGTTTATTTTTTCTTACTTTTTATTAATATAGGTTTACTTCTTTTTCTTTTTTTTTTCTCTATACTTTTGTTTTTTCATGGCATGTGGCGACAGTGTATATGATTAGTATTACCTATACTATTGTACTTAATCAATCCAACAGTATAGTAAAATAAGGATGTCTGTGGTATGACATGGATGAGTAAACATCACCAATGTTATAGTTTTTTTTTTCATTAAAAATTGCTTTTAATAGCACTTCATATGCTCCACAGATCATATTTCCAATTCAATGCTCATTACGCTGCAATTGCTTTGCTAGTCTGTGAGAACACTGGTCAGATATGTAAAGTGTTACTGAAGTAGAACTTGCATGCTATTTTACTCCATTGAACCCCATTCTGTAATATTACTGCCATTTGACCGAATTGCACTTACATGTTTTCTTATAAGCCATATAATATTAAAAACCTTGCTGTATCAGTTATATGAACGTCCTGCTGTTACTACGCATTCAGAGATTATATAGGTAATAATAAACTGAAAGAATGTAGACTTTTATAATTATTATTTGTACTATCAGCCTTCAGGACATCTTCCAATCTAACAATATTATAATCATCCAATGTGTTCTATCCCTGAGAGTTTTGTTTAGTTTTCTTCATTCTCAACAATCTGGATAAAATTATAGTTGCTTCCTACTGTTTTGGGTATTATTTTTTAAATTTTATTATTCTTTTTTGTTTTTATCCAACTTATACCTAAATAATGTGAAAAGTTACTAAAGGTACACTGGACAATTGTACAGCTGCCAAGAAAAAGGCAATTCCTTAAAGAAAAATAGCAAAGCATTTAGGACAATTGGTAGGCTGAAGATGTACGTGAATTCTACGCATATATTAGGAAAGAAAAAAGAGTAGGATATAAAGTGAGAAATATGCAAATGTGAAGAAAAGATGGCATTATGACAACATCTAAAGAAAAGATATTGAGCATCTGGAAAGAACATTTCTAGCACCTCTCCATCAAGGGGACCCCACGAACTTGAAAGAGATGGACCACTCTGAGGACTTTGACCCAGAAGAGGTTGAAAAACCCGTTAGAGTGAATATGGATGAAGCTGTAGAAAAACTTGAAACAAGAAAAGCCTCAGGTATGGACAATTTACCATCAGAACTGTTCTAAGATGGGAGAGATTACTTAAGAGCTCAATTTCTACAACTAATCTAGAAAATATGGAAGGATGAAGGTATACCAGAAAGAGGCTTGGAATAGGGAGATAAGTAGAAAGATTCTATGCATGAATATAATAATTACAGAGGCATAGTACTTCTTCCTGCTGCCTACAAGTTAATAACTAATATCCTAATAATGTGGATACATCAGTATTAGGAAAATATAATAGGCGACCACCAAGCTGGGTTCAGAAGAGGGAGGAGTACGCTAAAATAGATCTTCATTCTAAAATAAGTTCTTGGAAAATGATGGGAAGTAGCTCAGGATATGCATGCCTTAATTGTCAATTTCAAAGCAGGCTATGATTCCATGGACAGGAAATCACAACCTTCAACCTTGGGTTGAAACGTTGCCGTTAAAAAACTCAAAAATTGACTGCATCCTGACTATCTAATACCGATAATATCTAGTGTTATGAAGGCAAGGAGATTAAGATGGGCAGGGCACATAGCTTGGTTCAATTCGTCTTGAAGCCTCTACACAATAATAAATAGTAGGCAAATGACCATGTGGAAGGCCATAAACCAGATCGATAGATCAATGAATCAATAAAGATGCAATAGAGCTGTTATACGGATAACTAGAAAGAAATTGCAGAAGCTAGGCAGAGATGGAGAAGGCTGGTTTTAGTATGAAAGATCTACAAGTTCTGTAATGCCAACAGAAAAAAAACATCTAAAATTAAAAAATGTAATTTAAATTCTTTTTATAGGAAATACATAATTTAAAAACTATAATAACATAAAATTATATGTCATGAAAAGGATGAAACAAAATTGTCAGAGATTTCAGTCAAGATATTTTTATTGGGTTATCCTACGCTTGACCCAAACATGTGGGTCATCCTCAGGGCTATTGTACGTAAATCCAGACAAGCCAGTTCTTGATAACTCGCCCATCTCTATATGTTATGAAAGTTTTGGCTACTTAGAGCACCTACCAGTGAAATCGATTATTTGATTTATTGACATAATTTTCATCGTAACTTCCAACATATATGAAGAAATTGGATATAAATCATTATTATGTATTTTTCTCTGGTAATTTTGTTTTCCCATAATTTCACTATGTCTATTAGGCCTGTGCCAATCCATTAATTTTTTGACTGAATTTAGTTAAGAATTTCCTTTGGTACTTTTCCTTCCCTTCACACTTTCTCCCTATAAGTTAGAGATAGTGGAAGACACAATTTTTTGACATAGTTTTAATATTTGGATCTTAATCAAGTTTACTTTGACTGGAATTTTTATTATTCACAGCTTGTGATGGTCATTCTATTGATAAATATTTTATCAAAACATTTTTATTGTACTATACCATTTTTTCACTTCCTTATTTGGGAGGGTGGAGGAGTCAGAGAATTTTATTTAAGGCAGGGAAAAATCAGGAAATCTGACTGACGGATTTTTGTAGATATCCTGCTTCTGTTTAATGATTTATACTATTTCTAAATTTTGGCAGGCAAAATATAGTTTAGATATATCTTATGTATTATTCTAGCTTAAATATCACATAGTTAAAGTTGGTATTTGTTATATCAATGTAAATAACCATCATAATGTTATTAGAAGCCTAATTTTATTTATTCAGGAGGAGAGGCATTAAAAAGTATAGAACATGGTATGCAAACTCTTGGACTTGCTGAAGGGAAGTCGGATTCAAAAGATATCAAAGAAATACAACCAAAGAAAATGACATGGGCTACCATTGCGAGCCAGCCTGCCAAGCCTCAGCCACAAGTACCACCGGGCGGAATCAAGAAGAAAGGGCCTGGTAAAGCTTGTTTATATTTCCCTCAGCGTACTATTAACTGTTAGTGTATTTTATTATTATTTTTAATACTAAAAAAAAAAAATCTGACTTCTGCGATGTGTTATGGGGAAATTAAAATGTATTTTTGTATTATCTTATTTAGAAAATTAAAATCAATTCTACTATGCAAATAGTTTGTCATACTACTACTTAAACTAATAGATTTTTTTTTTGTACCGAAAAGTTTAAATAAATCTATAAAATAAAAATAAAGCTGCTTGGGTTTTGATGAGGCATTCTCAAGTTCTTAATGTTAATGGTTCGGTAGGTATTTCTTGATAAAGTTATAGAAACGGTAACTTCATGTCTCATATATTTTTTCATCATCTCATAGGAACAAAAATAAATTAAACTATTTAATTAATTAATCTAATTGAATGAAGTTAAAATCAAACTTTGCTGGATTACAAAAATTAATTCCCAGATTTTTGCAAAGATTCAAAATAAAAATTAAATTAATAATATACTTACTAGTTGTTTTTTTATGATTAGATTCGTGTGATTGAAGCTTTATAAATAATCATTAATTTTTTTTACAAAAGCTTTCTTCAAATATTTTCTTTTAATAAAAACTTATCTTCTATACCAAAAAAACTTAAAAAGATTTTGACTTTTGAATTAAATACAAAATGTTTGTATTGGTTGAATGAGCCTAGAGAGAAGTGGTTTAGATAACATGGAGCTTTACCTCAATTTTAAACATAGACACACGATACTCAACTTTGTGATGCTCTTGTATTTATTGGAATGTTAAAGAGCTATTTCATTATAATTATTAGTTAATTTTTTTTTTAATGTTACCATTAAAACTGCAATAGAAAATATGATTTGTACATTAGGTGTTATTGGATGGAGAACTGTACTGAGGTTTGTTAAAAATGTATTATATTTTTAGAAATAGAAAAACAAATAATAGAATAACAAAATAGAACATAATTAAAATACTAAATCTGGCCAAAATAAAACAATAATAAAAAAGAGAAAGTAAAGAAAATATTAGTTAAACAAGCTATATACAAAAAAAAAAAAAAAAAATCTATATACAAAACACTTAAAACTATGATAAAACACTTAAGACTATGTACAGTAGGAAAAATTATAATTATACTCTTTTAAAAAATAAATAAATGTCAAATGCTAGAGGTACAGATTTAATTATATACCAATAAAAAATAATAATAAAAATAAAAAAAGCAAACAATAGATGCGGTCAGTGGTATTAAGAGTCGGAAAATATTGTAATATCCCTAGTGGAGCTCACAGTATAGAATAGCACTATCGTTTGATGATGACTAGAAATTTTTATTGTGATTGTGATTAATAAAATCATAGTGATCATAGCTGATCAACAAATGACTTCTCAAATGAAAGAGTTTAATGTAGAGGTACTAAAAATAAACTTGAGAAGAAACTTTTATTTATTCATAATGTTTCATACTTTTATAGGTATTTTGGATTTATTTTAATCTCTTTTGTTTTAGGCATGCCACCTCCTCCGATGGTTCCAGGTAAACATAATATGGATATTGGGACGTGGGAAGGAAAAGGTGGGATGGGTAAGAGTAGCCCCGCCAGCGGAGCTGGAGCTTGGAGCGGAGCACCTCGAGGAGCTACCCCTGCCTACCTTCGCCACCCGCCCCCGCCTCCTGTCATTCTTCCACCTCCCCCTCATCCACTTCCAATGCATGTAGCACATTCTATATCACATGTAGAACCGGAAGAAAAAGCTAATTTACCTTGCCTTAAGGTAAGTTATTATTTACTCATTGTCATCTTAAAAAAAAAATATTATAATATAAAGTTTAAAAAATCATTCCTCTTATCTGTCATATATGTATGGTATAATATCTTTTGTCATAAAATGTTTCTTCATTCAATGGCACTATAGCCTGATGTGGACCTTGGCCTCCTCAATGATCCTTCGCCAGGTGGCTCGGTCTTGTACAACTGTTTTTCAATTTCTAATGCCTTAAAGGGTCTAAGTGTCCTTCATAACTGCCTCTTCCCGCCTCAGCCTTGGCCTTTCTCTTCCTCTCAACCAGTCCAGATTCCCAAAAAGTAGTTTTTTGGGAATTTCTTCCTCATTCATTCTTGCTAGTTGGCCTACCCATCTCAGTCGACCACACTTTATTAAATGAACAACATTTACTTCACCAAATAGTTCATGTATTTCTCTGTTTTAGTGCCTCCTCCACTGGTTCCCTTCCTTAATGGGTCAAAAAATACACCGCAAAATCTTTTTTTCGAAGATAATGAACTCTTTTTCTTCTGAACTTGTCAGAGTCTTCATAAAATGTTTCAATACACAATGTAGTAACAGTTCCAGTTAGTGTCAATTTTTTTTTTCCTACACCTGAATAACTCCAGTTGGTCAGCCATGCGTAATCTTGCGAATATAATTCTGTTTTCCTAGCAAAAGGGTTGTCTATTTCAATAAAAGCACATGTTATTCTCTGTAATGCAGGACATGTGTCGAGATGTTCTCCTGTCATACTACCCAAAGAGGACAGAGGACAGGTCAGGCTGCTGTTACACCGATGTGGTGGAGGTGCTTCTGCAGAAAATCATGCCATTTATGCATTCTAAAGCATGCGGTGGATTGTTCTCTTGGGAGGTCTTTTACTACTTTCTTCCAGCAACCCACTCCAACCACTTCCCTTCAATTTTGTGGGCATATTTCTCTTTTAGTATACTTTGAAGGGTCTCTTTTACTATTCTTTTAGCTGAATCTATGCCAAGAGGAATATCTGGTTGGTGCATTCCATATCCTATCCTAGCCAGTTTGTCAGCTTCTTCATTTCCATGGAGCCCACAATGGCCTGGTATCCACTGGAAAGCGACTTCTGTCCCATTTTCTTTTGATTGGTCCAAATGCAGATGGCATTTGGATTCATATTATATCCATTTTAGAGGGACATAATAGCCGCCTACCAGTCAACAAAGGAAGCGACTTTTTTGTCTTCCAGTTCAACCAATCTCTTCTCAAGGGCCAAAAGAATGGTTCTCATTTCCTCTTCAAAGTTTGTGACTACCTTTCCAACCTGGGTGGCAAGTCGAAACTCCTTTGAATAGACTCCAGCTTTATTTGCGTGCTTCCAGTATCAGTATTTATATTCTCTTCTGGAAATTGTTTTTAGGCATATTTGCCTTAATTCATTAATTATCAAAATTGGTTCTCAATACAAACACAATTTAGAGAGAAAGGCATTTGATTTTTTTTTTTTACTTTTTAGCTTTTCTTATTTAAAAAAATTGTTTAAATTTGTATTAACTGTACCAAAATATAACGAATTAAATTTGTTTTCAAATTGTTTTAATGAATTTTAGAATATAACAGGAATTGTATATTTTGCATTACAATATTCTTCTGATTATTGTATGTAAGTATAAAAATATGTATTATAAATTCAATATTATGAAAAAATCACATTTTTCTTCCATAAAATTGTACTGAACTACTCTAAAAGAAATAGAAATATATTCTAAAATATTTATTAATGTCAAAAGTTGTTGCAATTTTTATTGTTGTTATTGTTAAAAAAGAAGTTGACAAAGAAAATTATATTTTAACTCTTATTTTATTAATAATGGGAGAAGGGTCCTCTTTGTTTCATGGTAGATTTCGGACAAATAATCACCTTTGACTAGTATTCTATATGTGTTTAATTTGTCTTAGCTGTGGGAAACATGGAGACAAAGGAAGATGCATTATTCCTAGTTACTTTGTGTAGTAAAACAATTCTTCTTTATCGAGAATTGCTTCAAGAGAGAGGCAAAATTCGGATTCATCTGTGAACATTATTGTTGATCAATTGGTATCAATGAAAGCCATTCATTACTCCGGGACAATCTTTCTTGATAATGGGATAATGTTACTACTGGATACACTAAAGGAGTGTAAGATGTTATGCCAAAGACTATTTTTAATCATCTGATTAAATATTAGAGGCTCGGTAGCAAAAACTGCTTAACTGTCAAAGAAATATATTCATTATGAGAGTCACGTTTTCGTATTTTAACAATTTATGTTTTCCTTGGACGATTCAAAACTATACTTCGTCAAACTTCCATTATTTCTGTTATACAGATTTGAAAAGAAACACCGAAGCTCAGCCTTAAACATTTTATTTTTTCCAATTTAAGATTTCCTTTCTATTATTATAAACTGACATAAAGTTCATGATGATTGTGAAAAAATATATACAAATCCATATTGGATTATTCTTTAGAATGTGATCATCATTCCATGTTTATTTTGTGTTGTTTTATATAAAAATCACTAGTTATTGATTTAATAAATATAAAAGTTATATAATTTTTATTACATATATCTTGATTCATTTTTGAGTTGTTTTTAATGAACTGCCATGTATTTATTATTTGTAAATAAGTACACATATAATGTGTATAACTTATGTATATTTTTATGTAGTATAATGTATACTTTTATAATTAATTAATTAAAAATTTTAATTGGATTTATTAAAATTTAGAAAACATTTAGCTTATTTAATATTTTTCTATATTTTAGCAGATTTCTCAAATACCTCAACCACAGCAGATTGTTCAACAGCCACCGGCTTCTATACCCACTCAATCTTCCATCCCTTCTCATCCCATCTTAGATGAACTGAGAATTAAAAACAATTATAATCCTGTAGACTTTGACATATCAGCTAAGGGTGCTCGTTTCTTTGTGATAAAATCGTATTCAGAGGACGATATTCACAGGTCAATAAAGTATGAAATTTGGTGCTCGACAGAACACGGCAACAAACGTTTGGACCAAGCTTATCGTGAGCAAGAATCAAAACCGAATGGAGTTGTTTATTTGTTTTTTTCTGTTAATGGTTCTGGACATTTTTGTGGAATGGCGCGTATGACGTCACCTGTGGACTATAATGCATCTAGTTCAGTGTGGTCTCAAGACAAATGGAAGGGACAGTTTAGGGTAAGGTGGATTTATGTGAAAGATGTTCCAAATGTTCAGTTGAGGCATATACGCCTTGAAAACAATGAAAATAAACCAGTCACGAATTCAAGAGACACTCAAGAAGTTCCCTTTGAAAAAGGGAAGCAAGTTCTTCGGGTAATGCATTCGTATCGCCATACAACTTCTATATTTGATGATTTTGTGCACTACGAAAGGAGGCAAGAAGAAGAGGATTCAAAGAAGGAGGCTGAATCAGCAGCTCACCAGTCCTCAAACCATAAGGTAAGATTTAAAAAAATTCTTAGTTAATTTAATGATGTACAATTACAGCCGACTCTAATAATTTGAAAACCAGGGGACTACTAAGAAAAATTTGATTTTATCGGGACTTCGAATTATTAAAAAGTTTGAATTATCAAGAGGAAAGAAAAAAAAAAAAATTCGAATGATAAAGAGTATTTATTATATTTTTGGAAATATGTATGAGCTTACATAAATTTTATATATACATAGCCTCATGTAAAAAATATTATTAGGAAAATTTCAAATTTTAAAGAGGGAATTGTTCTGGTTCGAATTATAGAATGTTCTTGCCCCCTCTTGTTACAAAAAGGATTTTGAGTGTATCAAAATACACCATTTTTTTTATTTACCAAAGTTAACAGCTGATAAGTTTAAATTATCGAAAAATTTGAATTATCGAAAAATTTGAATTATCGAGAGTCTACTGTATTTATTTTAGATTGAATTTTCACATGTCAAGGTAGTGACTGACATGGAAAAATTAGAGAATTTTCAAAACTGTTAAAAGTTATTTAAGTCAGAGAATTTTTTTAGTACGTAAATATTTCTTTTCAAATTGGAATAAATATTCAGTTGCTTATAATGACCTAGAGGAGGTGTCGTTATAAACGACCATGGTCACTATATTCATCCACCTTTGACTGTCAATAACGGCACTGGTCGTTCGTTATAGTTAAATCAAACATGGGTAATGAATAAAATTTAAACAAAATGGAATTAAAACATTGCTTTTTGGTTTATTATTTTCAATAATGGACCATTATAATCGCACCCCCACAAAATTTTAAGTTTTTCGTTTCATGTATAATACGTATAATTCGAAAAACGAACAAAAAATTTGTTGTCCATCCCCCGTACACAGCTATTCTCTGAGATTACTGGACCGCCTTTTTTCAAATTTGGAATCAAAATCACCCGAGGATGATCCTCCTACCTCGATATTACTATCTGCCCTTTCCTTTCAAGATGGCTGCCAAAATATCTGTGTTGGTATAGACTGTAGCGCATAAACGAATGTACCAATTTCAATGAAACTTGGCTAAAGTGTTCTCCTTGATGACCTTTAAATTTATCTATATAATGTACTTCAACGAAAAGAAGCTGGAAAAAAAGTCACGAGGGATGGTTAAATTACATTTCCGAATTGTATACTCAAGTAGTATACAATATTTTGTTGATGTTGTATATGGTTATTTAAAAGTTTACGAATTTTACTTATTTCCGGTGTTCCAACGTGGGATATGTCTGCAGGTCAGATCAGAGCTCCACACATCTCTATCATCCTAGTCTCCCTCCTGTAGACCTCGGCCGGCCATTTCTTCTCGGACTCCTTCCATCCACGTGGTTCTCGGTCGCCCTCGCCTACGCTTTCCGGGCGGCTGCCAGTACAGGACTCTGTTCTGCCAATGCTCTTCCAGCATTCTCCTGCAGTGCCCATACCACCTCAACCGCTGTTTCCCAATCCTCTCAGAGACGGTCTCCTCTACACCTATTCTCTGTCTCACCACTTCATTTCGGACTCTGTCCAGCCTCGTTAACTGTAGATACCTTCTCCAAAAATCCATTTCTACAATCCGAATTTCGGCATATAAGCCAACATTCATCGACCATGCCTCACATCCGTAGGTTAATATGGACTCGACAATAGCTGTGAAGATACACCGCTTGTTCGTGTTTGAAATAGTGTCGTTCCAGAGAACAGGATGCAGCATTCTAGTTGCTTTTTTTGCCATCTCCATCTTGTTTCAGACATCCACTTCGCAGGTTCCAACATCGTCCAGATAAGACCTGAGGTATTTAAATGCCTTTACTCTTCTGCACACCTTTCCACCTATACTTAGATCGTCTTCCTCATCTCCCAGTGCCATATACTCAGTATTTTGGAAGTTTATTCTGAGGTCTGCCTCTTCATAAACTTTCTTTAATTGGGCAACCACCATCTCCAGGAAAACTTTCTTCCGGGCCATCACTACCTGATCGTCTGCGAAAAACAGGTTAAGGAGCCCATCGTCATCAAAGTAAACTCCTTAGTCCCGACTTCGTCTCATCCATTTCTTCACTACCTCATCTAAGTATATCTTGAAAATGCTTGGAGACATACAACACCCCTGCTTCAGAAAATGGTTCCGAGAGGCGCTTCACTCTGTACAGATCTCGTCCATACAAGTGTTGAATTGCTTGTACCATAGATTCATTAATACCCGCTCTTCTCAGTGCTGGCCATGTTCTTTCCCTAGGAATCCTATCATATGCCTGCTCCAGATCAATGAATGCTAAATGAAACTCCCTATTCTTCGCCCTGCATTTCTTAATGAGCTGCCGGAGTACAAAAATATTGTCCATACAGGATCTCCTGGCAGTGAAACCAGTTTGTATCACTGATGTGGTGTACTACCCTTCAATCCTATCCTGGACAAGTCTCCCGATAATCCTACTTAGTGAGCTATGTACACAGATGCCGCGATAATTCTGACATTGCTTCCTATCTCCTTTTTTAAAGATGGAGCAAATGTATCCTGTTCAGAGATCATCAGGCAGATCACATCCTTTTAGTACCATGTTCGTCACATTGGTAAGGAGTGTAAGCATATTACCTTTAAAAGTTCTTACCGGCCTTTAACATGAGGGAATAAATTCGATTTTGTGCCTGTGAGTAGTCAAATCTATGTAATGGATATCATGGCTACTACCATTAATTTCATTTTATTGAAATTTTCAGAGATTGTGCAGGCTCGTTCCTAGATGATCCTCTATCAATTTTATGAAATTCTATCCACTACTTTCGCATTGATTAGCATAAATACATTTCCTTGGACACATTTATATTTAAAAAATTATTATTATTATTGAAGACGAGGATAGTTGGGATGATTAGTCAAAGTAAAAATGGCAAAAATAAATATTATTATTTATTTTTGCCATTTTTATTTGGACTGATCGTCCCAACTATCCTCGTCTTCATTATTCACTACAGTCAACCATCAATCCACGATTATTATTATTATTATTAGTTGGCGTTACGACGCACTTATTCTTAAGTCAAAGCCTGCACTATTACAGATCGCCATTCTTCTCTGTAGCCACTCCATCCTCCCAGCGAAGCTTAGGACATCCAACTTTTCTTGTTCCATATACACGCTCTGAAAATACTTTATGTCGAATCTCATTTGGTTCCATCCTAGCAACATGCCCCATCAAATGAAGCCTTGATAACTTTATTACGGTGAATATATCAAAATCTCATATACGGTCCTTTTTCTCTTTCACCATGTGCCTTGTTCACATACACAACCATACGGTGTGTTATTCTAATTATATTCTTCTCAACACCTTTCTCTTGAATCTGATAAGGACCTGTTCTTGGTGTTTGGTCATTGTCCAACATTCTGACCCATATGTAAGGACCGGTCGGATAAGCATCTTATAAATTCTTGTTTTTGCCTCCCTACATAATGCATTACTTTTTAACAGCTTCGCTTTATATCTCTTCCTCCATATTATTATGAGGGTTCACTTGGGTTCCTAGATAGATGAATGATTGTACCCTTAAGAATCTATGCTTTTCCAACAGAATGTATTTCTCATCATTTTCATGATGTTGTGGTAGACTGCTCATTTATTTCGTATTTTCTTCATTTGACGAGTCCTAATTGTGCTGCTCCATGTTCCATCGCCTCGAAAGCTATTCTTACTGTGTTGAGAGCCCTTCCAGTTAGGTCTAGGTCATCTACCTATTCAAGAACCAAGAACAAATTCCATCCTCTATTTCTTTTTATACATTTGTTTTCTTGAGATAAGCCTGTTATCTAAAACACCACATATCTTGATTTAGTGCAAAATTGGAGGGAGGTTAGGATTTTATCAAATTCTTTTTACACTTAGGCATGTGTTTATCAATGGCAATACTAAATTTTAAAAACCGCTTCTGAATTCTCCTATTCCCAAACAAAATATCATAGCCCTTTAAATTTAAGTAATGAGGAAGAAAACCCTATTGGTTTTTTAGGTTTGACAGAGCGCTATTAATTTTTATTTATTTTAAACTTTATGATGTGATTCCATTTGAACATTGTGATATGATTAAAATTTAAGCTCTTCAATGAATAAATAAGTATGTCACAAAATCACTAAACAAATATGACATGTTGAATTTTTCTTTTCCAATTGAAACCTTCTTCAAATGAAGCTTGTTCTACAATTACAGGTTCATAAATGTTTGAAATTGTTTTCGAATGCATTTTACGTGTGTGCTCTCATACTTTTTTATGAAGAGAGGCTTTATAAAGTAGGTATTTCAATATATATTGGCATAGGCTTTGTTGAGAATTAAGTAGATCATAAATGCCACACATGTTACACTACTTGATAAGGTTTATGATCCTCTAGCCCTTATGGGATCAGTAGTATAAGTGCCATCTTTAATTAATGGACTTCAGGAAATATGAGATTTTCAACAGAGAAATGGTACTGGTTATTTTAAGATATGTTTCATTCCTGAAACCATAACCTCAATCTGGCAAAAAAAAAAAATCTCAGGAATAATGACTGTTGAGAAGTTGGCTGTTATTTTAATAATGGTGTAGGGATGGTTGACCGTGATATAATATGAGAAAGAGTTAGTCGGGGGGTTGTGGTCAAATAAATACTAAATTTTTAAAATAGTATTAAAATACTACATTTGACCGTACCCCGATATTTAATAGTGCGGTGACAGATTACCCATAGCTCAGTTCCTCTCTCCCTTATTTTGACTAGTGCTTTTCTATTTAATGTATACGTAAGATTTTCTGAGATGTGATGCTTGCACCTTAGATGTCGCTTATTAAAAGAAAATGTTTACCTGTGTTATGCTATTGATATTAAGGATATTGAGCAAGTTGCTAATGGACCTCAATATAAAGAATTATAATTAGACTTTTTTAGCTGTAATCCTTATATAATAGTCAGTGGTTCATCAATAAAATTAAATAATTAGCATCTAAGCTAAAGACTTTTGGTTTGATAAATTTACATTATATTTTGTTTAACTTTTGCTGTTTAGGAAAGGGAAAGTCGAAGTGGAAGAGGAGGACGTGGAGGAAGGACAAGCACTAATTAGTTGAACATATGTTTATGTGTATTGTTGGCTCTTACTACTGCTTAAAATCTTTTTATTCTACTGTTTGTGTTATTAAGAATTTTTACCAAGAAATTCAGATTCATATATGTTCATTGTTTTTCTTTCAATTTCTTCTCATTTCTTTTTCTTTTTTTTTTTTTTTTTTTTTTTTAATTCTATGCTAAATATAACTTTAAACTAAACCCTATTTAATTTTACAACTATCAAATACAATGTATGTCATCTATTAATTATTGTCCCTAAATTGCTTGGTTTCAAAGAAAGAAAAACAAGAGATAGTCTGTGTTTCTTGTCACTTTTTTTTTTTACCTAAAGTATTTTTTTTTTCTTTTTTACTTATTACATAAGTAATAATAATAAGAATAAGTTCAAATTTTCAATCCTGTTAGAATATTTGAAGGTCTGAAAACTATGTACCAATTTCCTGCCATTACCTACTTTTCTGTGTTAACTTTATTCTTTCAATTTATTTAAAAAATATAAAAAAGAAAAAAAAAGTGCTTTTTATATTAGTATTCTATGTTCATATGTATAGTAAATCTTTTTACTTATTTCACATAATAATTACTGGTTTTGGGTTTATTGTAAGCAGAATGTATCAATTTTACCGACAGTGAGTTGTTTATTCCAGTTGACATTTTTTGTAAAGCTACTAAATAATTTGTTAAATATGAAATAAATTATTGTTTTTTGAACACTGTACACAGAAAAGATGCATGGTTGTTATATATAATTTTTTTTCATTCAGTTTTCTAATGCCATATTTCACATTCTGTAGAATGCACTGTATAACTATTATTTTGCTTTAAATTAGTTTAATTTTGATGAAGTTAGTGATTGTTTATTAGTAGTATTACTAATATGTTAGAAAATGGATTTCCATTATGGCACAAACTGAAAAGAATGCAATAGTATTCCATTGTATTGTAATTTCATTTATATGATAAGGCCTGAAGAGAACATTTGTTGTTGATATGATTATCGTTCCTGTTATTAATGTGTTAAAATTGCAAACTTTAATGCTAGCATATATATATATAGAGAGATTATCGATATTGTTTTATGTTTATTGTTTCAATGATACATTTTGTTCTAATTTAGTAATTATTGAGAAAAAAAAAATGGAGTTTCTTCAAGAAGTGACTGCCTTTCAGTTCATTCCAGTGGAAGCTGAAGAAGTGTTGTCAGTGTTGTATGAAAGTGGTGACCTATTCGATGGATATTCAGGAGACACATTTATAAAAACTTACCGAAATTTTTTGAACATTTAGTGAAAGGTGAACTAATCAGTGATCGTATTTTATCGTAAGACTGGTAAAACTTTAAAAAAGGACTTATAAATAATATAATTTTTACATTGTAGAATGAATTAAGATTTAGTGATGACTCTCATCGTGATATCTATTAATATTTTGTTGAGACTTTCCTTATTTTAATGCAGAATAAATAAATTATTTTGTTACATATTCTCCTGACTGGAGTGTGAGAAGGCCTGAAATAAATTTATGATGAAACACTTTATTCAGAGGTGCAATGAAAGAAAGAAAAAAGTTTCAAGTTTATTTTTCCTTTGTATATATATATACATATTAATAAACATTTATATATATATATATATATATATATATATATATATATATATATATATATATAAATTACCTATTTGTGTTAATTATTTTTAATGAAAAATGTTACTGACACGATAATGAATTTTTTTTTTGGAATATAATATAAATTTTTCTTCAAATATTTTTAATCAAATATTTTTGTATGTATTGTTTATGTATTTTGTTTACTTTCATACCCCCATTTCTGCACAATATTAATTATTGAATAAAGTACATTGTATTATTATTTGTATTATTTGACGTTATAAAAAATTATATTGGTTTTTTTTTTAATTCTTATCATTTATTTTAATTTTTTGTTTTAAAAATAATTTTGTCTCTGTGAAAATGGTTGCAATTACTATGATATGACAATTTGTATCAAACGCTCTGATTCTTAAAAATTAATGCAAATGCGTTGTTACTTGTTATGGTCTGATAAAATTTTTGTTACATTTATTTATCATGAGTCATAAATATTCAGGACGAAGTAAATTTTAAAAAAAGAAAACAATTTTAACTTTCTTTGTGCTGACATTTCAACCTAAACATGTGGGTCATCATCAGGGCTGAAAATTTAAAATATATTCAGAGATATGATATTATATGACCGATAATGGTAAATAATAAACTATAGTGATTGATGGTACATGAATCTTAACTAATATTACAATACTCATATTAAAAATGAAATATGTAAAAAGTTATACAAACCAAAAATAATGTATATAATCCATTTATTCAAATTTGTAATATTTTCTCTTACTTTTTCGTACTCTTCAAGTACTTCAACACCCTCAGTGCTCGAACCACGGTTAGTAATCTGTCATGTTCAAGGACAATGGTAATAGTGATAAAGAGTAGCTCATTCGTACTATGCACAATAAATAAAAATAATAAACAGCAATATAATCCTTACCGACCTGTTGTTTTCCCTTAACCTTCATCTTGTTCCGTATTCTCCTACCCACCACACGTAGTTTTCCAATACTTGGTTAGACCTTTATATCTCTGACTCTCCCATCAAAATCCTTTCCTTTTCTCAACACCCAGTTTCATTTCTTTCATCACATGACCTGATCCAAATTACATACGACCTACCCGTGAAATCCTTCACTCCCAAAATAATTTCATACCTCAATTTAAACCTTCTCTCCTATGAATCCCTTCAATCAAACCTTAATTCTCTCCAATGGGACACCATATATTCCTAAAACTCCATTGATCCTATGGTGTCTATCCTGATCTCAAACCTACAATCCATATTAGAAATTCACGCTCCTCTGAAAACCAAAACCTTACGCCGTCCCACTGCACCTTGGCTGACCCGTGAGATAAAGGAAATGATGAGGGGAAGAGATGCAGCAAGGGGCAAATACCGTCGAATCCGTCTAGCTGTGGATTATCTGTTTTTCAAGGCGCTTCGCAATGGAACCCAATCCGCAGTCCGACTTGCTATAACCACCTACTTCCATAACACCCTGTCCAATGCTCCCGACTCCAAATCTAAATGAAAAATACTCCGCAACCTATCCCTACCAGAATCCAATAATCGTAGTCCCTTCTCTCTTTCTCCAGATGATCTCAATATCCATTTCTTATCCTTTACTAACTCTTCCTCTCATACTTTCGATATTAAATATCACAACTTCAATCCTGAAGACTTCTTTTTCTCCCACATGTCCTATGATGAATTACTTTCCACTATCCTAAAATCCCACATTTTCCATAATGATTATGGTGCTGACAATATTCCAGTAAAACTAATAAAATCCAGCCTTCCTGACCTTATTCCTGTTCTTTATCATATCTACAATTTTTCATTGCAAAACTCTATATTCCCATCCTCTTGGAAAACCGCCCTAGTCTGACCTTTGAATAAAATTGCCAACCCTACCTCACTGCACGACTTCCGTCCTATTTCTCTCCTATCCAACCTCTCAAAGCCACTAGAACGCCTTGTCCAAAATCAGCTCTCAAACTTCCTAAAAGAACTTTCCTTTATCAACCCATTCCAATCTGGCTTTCGACCTGGATACTCAACGCAATCCGCAAAATAACCCATGACTTCCAAAACTCTATTGAAAAACAAAACCTTACTATCCTCATCCTTCCAGATTTTTCCAAAGCGTTTGACACATTTGACCATCATAACATCCTCCTTACTAAATTGCACAAATTTCCTCTATCCAATAGTGTCCTGTGCTGGTTCAAATCGGCCCTAGTATGTGGGCGTCCCAGGTCAACCTCCATCTAAGATCCTTCCGCTCTCCTGTGGTGTCCCTCAAGATTCCTCTCTCTCTCCTACTCTATTTGCTATCTACATCAATGACCTTCCCCTCCTGATCCGTCACTCCCAATACCACATCTATGCAGATGATTTCCAAATATACCTGTCCTTTCCGTCCTCTGACCTATTATCTGCCACAGAAAAACTTCAAGAAGACTGAGATGGAATTTGTGACTGGGCAAGAGCAAACAAGTTGAAGTTGAATGCGGATAAGACAAAGGCAATCTTAATAGGCCCCAATCACCTCCTTAAAACTGTTCCTAATATTACAACTCTGTTCCTACACAATAATCCCATCAAAAATCTTGGAATAACCATTGATCAAACGCTTTCGTGGAAAAATCATATATCCAATATTTCCCGCCGTACCATTTCCACCCTAAAACGTCTAAATTACTCCTGTCACCTATTTCCTTTCGAAACCCGTAGGCTCCTAGGCACTTCCTTAATTTTTCCCCACTTTGACTATTGCTGTAAGGTATATGGGGATCTCGAGGCGAAACTAAAACGTTTGATAAATTGCTTTATACGATTCATCTTCGGGATCCCAAGGGACGCCTCTGTTTCCCATTTTTATGCGGAGTTAAAGTGGCTCTGTCCTTTCTACTATCGTAAGTGTTTCCTGGTATCCTTCCTCTTTCAAGTCATCCAATCCCACCGTCCCTCATACATCTCTAAGCTCCTTCAATTCAAATCCTCTGTAAGTTCCCGGTCTTCTGATTTATACATAAGGGCTCACCGAACCGCTGCTTTGGACAAATCGTTCATTATTCGATCCTCATCCCTATGGAACTCCATTCGTCAATCCAATACCCTTCCTGCCTTTAAATCCCACCTGTTCAATCATTTTTTATCCATCCAGTCCCCATAAAATTGTAAATATGTGCATAAATTATTAGTTCGTTCTCCATTATTTTTACTCCAATTTTTTTTATCTATTTTTTTATTATCAACTGATCAAAATTGGAAAGCAACTTATATGTATGTGTATATATATATATATATACATATAATTGTATATATATACATAGTAATTGAACAGCCTTGGTGAAAAATATATATATATATATATTTTTTTTTTTCCACCAAGACTGTTCAATTACTCTGTATTTTTATTTATGTATCTCTGAGGCTCCTTAGCCCACATTTCTGTCTTCCTGTATTATTCTAAAGGGACTCGTCCCAGAATAAATAAAGTATTATTATTATTATAATACTATGAGTAAATGTTTATAAAATAAACTAATCTAATAGCAAGATTGTCCTAGCAGTCTTTTTTTTTTCAAATATACCATAACATTTTCTTTGCTTATAATAGAGTTAAAATCAGACTTTCGTTAATCGAAATAAAAAATTAATTTTTTTGTTTTAAAATGACTGCGTCCTGAATATTTATCACCCATGATATGTAGAACAGTCAACTAGCTTCCTTCAATACATTTATTTATGTTTTTTAGTCTCTAAAAAGAAAAGATGATATTAGTTCTGTGTGCAGTCTTAATAATCCTATGTTGTCTGCAGATTCCAATAATCCCAACTATTAAAAGTTGAATAAAAAATTGTTTAGAAAAGAAAAAAAGTCAGATTGCCAGAATCAAATTTTAATCAAGACGCCTGGCTGCCTTATTGAATTTTCTAAGCCTGTACATACTTAGCATATGGGCCCTTCCTATGATTATTTCTGGGTATCTCTCATATTCTATAAAAATAGAATGACTGCAAAGCGCGAAGTGTAAAATTAAGCAGTTTTTAATATAATGTAATTTTTATTCTCATTGATGTCCTCTGACAGGGCTTAAATGGAGAATCTTCAAAAATTCTTCCTCTAAAGTAAATTTTTTTTATTTGAAATAATTTATTATTTCATATTATAAACTGGTGTAAAAAATGGTTAAATATAATGAATGAAGAAAACTGATTGGTAACTAAATGAGAAACAAGGGTTGGAAGTAATATGGAAAGAGCCTAGAGCGCCCAACCATTGCCGATCCTTTCCCTTTACAGATACCCGATAATTTTTATACATCAATTTTATCTTTTAAAAAGGATTTCGTCATAAATATTGATGATCTAATAATATACAATATTTACTAAAATAAGGTTTTTTTTTACGAGTTTTGTGATAAATGTTTTCAATTAATATTGTTTGGTACTATACTAAGGTTGGTAAGTGAAAGCGCACCGCACCAGATTTTTCTAGATAGGTCTGATTTTCTGTTTGCAAACCTTCTCATGTATGTTGTTTTTTGACCATTCCTAATCTAATCTAAGATTGAGAACCATGCATAATCCGTGCGGAACTCTCGTGAACTAGTACCAAAGCCTCTATTAGTGCTGTATCTTATCAATCTACTATACATATAAAAAACAAATTGCATGTGTTCGAAAAATCCTTATGTTTGATATAATTATGTTTGTTTAAAGTGTGTACCAATTAAATATCCAGCCACCTCTTACCTGTTTGACAGCTGTTATGTCAGTTCAGCATCTATCTGGATACAAGGAGTGATATTCGGTGGTGCAGACCCCTTTTCATAAAATTTTTAACATCTGCCTGATACTTCATAAATAGCTTCACCTCATAGTCTACAATTATTTTATTTACGAAAATTCTCGGAATTGGGCGTTTTCTATCTGGAGATCGCGAAACTTTAGTCCATTTAATTATGTACTAAACACTTGTAATTACTGATTTTCTTCCAATTGTAAGAACATTTGATCATAAAATCGAGAGAGTAGGCGGCCTAGAAAAATATTGGGCCGTTTGGTGTGAACCACATCCCTTAAGAACATTTCAAAATAACTAGGTTATATAGGACAAACTATATTTTTGTTGGCCACCTTTTTTCTCGATTTTGTGATCAAATTATCTTACGATCTAAGTGGAAAGCAAATACGTATCTACGAGTTTTTAGTACCTGATTAAATAGACAATGTTTGCCATTCTCCAGATTGAAAACGCCCCAATTCCAATAGTTTTTGCAAATAAAATAGTTGTAAGTTACGATTACATAAAGCTATTACGAAGTTTCAGATGGATGTTAATAATTTGATAAAAAGGGGTTTGTACCACGGAGTATGGAGGAAGTCTCCCTAATAGGGCAACGATCTAACATTCAAAAAACTTATTATTAAGTCATTTAGGCGGTAAAGTGGCCTTGTCCATTGAGAGAAACCTAATTTAGATTTATAGAAGCTCATTAGACGTGTGATAATGATCTCAAACATGTGGGATCAAACATATCTGTTTCAGTTGGTGCTGATAGCAGATTAGAACAATGAGATATACTTACATGGTTCTCTTTAATTGAACTTTAGAAATAGTGGTTGGAAAGTCATAAATACAAGCAGGATGCACCATTTTTATAACACTGGCCGAGTTTCTAGATTTTTAGATTTTTTTGGTATAGTAGATGGATAAGATAGCTTTATGGCTCCTGAGAGGTCTGCCAGTAAATTGGGATTGCACACATTATCTGCTATCCAGATTGCCAGGTAAGAGCGGTATGTAGACCACACTCGTTACCCCGCTCGGCCATCCGCCGATAATAATTATCCCGCCCCTAAGATGTTACTTGAAAATCTCAGTCTTGAACTAAGACCCGCTTATTAGAGGGAGCTGCATTGTAGCTACTGGACCACCTATGAACTTAAATAGATCACTATTTCTCTGAAGACGGGCATTCATTTCACTACAGTCAATAATTGTTATTTTTCGGGGGCGGGGTGGCCGAATAGGCTAAAGCGTGTGTAACAGCACCGCTAGTTGCCTGGCAACCGGATAACAGAGATTTGAGATGATATTAAAAGTACGAGTTCGCGTCCCGGTGCCGGAGGGGATTTTAAATTCTCCGCCCTCACCCCCGGCCCGGGAAAATCCCGTATAGCCTAAAAGGCGAGGTAGGGAAGAACAAAACAAAAAAAAAAAAATTGTTATTTTTTATTGACAAAACTAAAAGTCACCTCTTGATATTTTTAAAATTATTATGCTGCTAATTAATGAAATCTATTATAAATTGAATAAACACTAAAAAAAAGGCAACTATTAAATACACACACTATGTTCTTGTGAAGAACTCGCTCGGGGTCAAGGGTGAACCAAGACAGATAGGGTTGGTAAGTGGCAAACATTTCATAGCCTCCAGAAGAAGAAAGTTTTAAGAAAACTGACGAATAGTTATAGAGTGCGACTAAGAGGCCATCTATTTAATGTTTTGATTTAAGATTTTTTAAGTATTTTATGGAGGATTTGTTAACCTTTTAGGTCATTTCCAAAATTTTGGTTAATTTATGATATTTTAAGAACTCGGTTCTACATGAATTTAGTTAAGCAATACGTCAGAATGTAAGTAGATGGGGTAGAGATCGCAGATCGCATTTGGGTGCATACGCCTTTAGAGTACTTATCCCTTAATCCACCTCAGCTTGAGGATCCATGTTTTTTTTACGACTCATTAAACTTCTCCTGAGTTAATCCTGCACTCATTGAGCTAAAAGTAACTTCTGGATCCCCATGGGCATTCCAGATATTAGGAAAATGTAGTTAGTTATATGAGCTGTTCTAACTAATAGTGCTTAACCAATTATTTTATTATTGTATTATATTGGGTTCCTATACTGTTTCTTGGCATATCTGATATGTATTCCGATAGTCCGACCTAACTCTCTTCTATTTTTTAAAAATGATATTATCTATTTATTGATGAGTATGCTGTTATTTAGCAACTTAAAACAGTTGAGCAGCCATCCAATTTTCACAATCGCGATACTTTTCCTTATTATATATTTTATAGTTAGGTAAGATAAATTAATTTATAGCAATAGAAAAGTTAAAAGTAAAATGTAAAGTCCTTTTTTTTCTCCTAAAATGTACATGACTAGTTCATATTTGCTGTTTAAACGTGGTTGGGACTAGCGGATATATAATCAATAATAACGAATTGGTGTTTACGAAATAAGTAGTTACTAAAAGCGAATTTCACATAAATTAAATTATTATGTGGAATTAGAGAACAGTCCGTTTATAAAGACAGTTGGACATTATATGAACAGTCATATAAATATTGGTGGAAACGAAAAAAGATTTTCTCTAGATAGCTCAATATCATGTTTCAACTCGTTGAAATCTGTAATTCCTAACAGTATGACACCATATTATCCTAGGGAAAAATAATATTGCCTATATGCTTTATGTGTAAAAATATATAGCGAGACAAAATAAGTGAAGAGAGATTAATAATGGTATAAAATATAATTTATTGTATCTTTATTAGTTGAATTGTATATTCTCGTACCTCTTTGCTTAATCTTCTTTGACGCTACGTAAAGGTGAGCCATCTTCAGTTCGCTGGTCTCTCTTCGCCTCGTGGTCGCTTGGTAAGTATGTTGGCGTTGATTAATTTTGATAACTAGTTAATTTTTATGTTTTAATTATAATTAAAAATGGTAGTGATTAATGTGTTTGTCTAATTTTTTAGGTTTCTAACCACTCAAAATGGTTGCTCAAAAAAAGCAGGTAATTATGCACGTGTTTTATATTCTGTTCCATTGTAGATATAGTTCTTGCTTTTTTATTTGTTTTAATTACTAAATTGCATTTTTAGTATTTTTGAGCCCCTAAATTAATGCCAATAATTTTTTTTGTTTTCGAACACGGGGGATTGATCTGGTTTATTTGGTTCTGATATACGATACTTATAGTTTTATGATATTTATCTTATTGTTTCAGTTATTAAGTTTTCAAATTTATCATGCTGCTCAGTTAACTTAGTTATATTTTAGTTTAGGATATATTTTGTTACTATTAACATGCATGTTTAGCTTAGTCTGTTTTTTTTTGGGGGGGGAGGGGAGAGATAAATTTAAATTTAGTTATTTATGATACCATGCGCATTTTCACCCAGCTTGAAATTGTGTTGCGGAAAGCTTTTCAGAACTAGTATGTAAGTGCCCACCTGGATGATATAAGTATATAAGTGGCCTTCTTCACTTTGATCACACATATTTGGTTTTCTTGAATTTTATTCTCCTTTATGTTTATTATATCCATTATATAGTTCATTGTTTCAATTTAAACGATTTGAAATAATGGTATCTCTTAGTCTCGTAAGTCTCTAATATCAAGATTTCCACTTTTTCAATATTAAGAAGTATTGATTTATAATCATTCAAACACTTGTGCAAATTGTAGTTTTTACTGCATTTAATGACTTTATTTGTATACTTTATTTCTGCCACCGTAATTATTCTTATTGTGCTTTAATTAAAAAAAAAAACCATGCAGAATGATGATAATTACAGCAGATCATAATTTTTTGTCAAAATAAAAAGGATAACATGCCTTCAATTGATGTCTAAAGAAATATTTTCTCATGTTTTCATGGAAACCCTTTCAATTTTTATCACAGCTAGGTAAAAAAAGAATTTTAGGCGTGCAATTTTTGATAAATGTTAATTGCTTTTATTTTGCTTTAAGAATTGTTGTAGATATGATTCTCAGGAAGTATATCGAAACATGATGATGTTTCCCATGCAATCTTTTAATGCTCATTAGAATGAAAGTATTTTTGCTTGTAACCTGGACAATATTAATTGATTTGAAATATTGCTTAGAATTTTTCAAGTTTTTGTCAATTAATTATTACTTCAGTAGTACCTAATAAATTGATCATTTCTTTATTTTGTTCTATCATGTTGTTTTTGTTATTGCAGAAAAAGGCTCTTGAGAGCATCAATTCAAGGCTTGCTTTGGTGATGAAATCAGGAAAATATGTACTTGGCTTCAAACAGACGTTGAAAACACTTCGCCAGGGAAAGGCAAAGCTAATCATAATCGCCAAGAACACTCCTTCTTTGAGGTGAGACTGAGAAGTAAGAGCTAATTAGCTCTTATGGAGTAGTCTCAGTAATGTATTATGCTGGTTTTGTTCAGCAAGTTAGAAACATTGCTGAATTAAATGTTTATGTGGTAATTATTGTTACCAATAGTGATTATTTGCTATCTTTCTATAATGAACTTTATAGGTTTACTTTCTGTTTGAGATACCATAGCTTAAATTACTTGCAAAACAAAATTAATTAGTCTGGTAAAGTTCTGAGATTTCTAAAATGTTAAATGTAATGTAATTTTCCTGTTATTCTAAAATATCTGATAGATAGATCCAAACAATTCTAAATCTGTGTGACCTCTATGAAATAGAGGTTTATTTTGGAGGACTGGGTTCAGTTGGTTGTCAGTAAGAAAGAGATGTAATTAATATGAGATATAATTTTTTATTTATATGAACTTAAGGCTATTCAACCACTTGCACCATTTTAACTGAACTAACAATAATTTCATAACTGCAAAATGTTTTGAACATAATTGAGTTAAAACAAAAAAGTGGTGCACGTATCATGACTTATTTATTTATTTATTTATGCCTCCCTTCCTTGCCTTTCGGCTACACGGGATTTTGCAGGGATGGCATATCACACACGTGCATGCCATTCCTGCTATTAAACAACAAATTAATTTTCAATTTTGTTTTGTTTTTCAAATATCTTCTTTTTTTCCATTATTTTCAATATATTAGTCTGGTGGCCTTCTATTAGCAGGTTCTCTTCCTAGATTAAAGTGAGAGGGTCCCAGAGCAGCTTTCCACCCGTACACAAAATCTTTGTAATACGGGTAGTTCTGCTCCGTCACTAACTCGGGAAATTCATCCTCCGTGAGGCCATAGATTCCCATTTTTCTGATCATTTCGGCCCTTAGTCCATCAAAGGCGGTGCAGTTGACGATAATATGCTCAGCCGTCTCCGGTACTCCGCAAGTGGGGCATAGGGGATCTATGTCTTTTCCAAAACCATGTAACTTAAAGCGGAAACCCCCATGCCCAGTAAGGAATTGAGAGACCCAGTAGTCCGGGAGAACCCACTTAGCTTTCAAGCGACTTCGGACGGTGGGGAAATATTTTCTTAAGGTTGCTCCTTTCAAGGTTGTTACCCACGCCGATTCCACTCATCTATGGTGTCCTCCCGGATAATCCTCTTCCATTTTCTTGGGTCTTCTGCAATCCTCACCCGGATATTCTCCGGAAGACCTGCTGAGCCTTCTCTTTTTAACTTAAATATTAGCGAGTCTTCTCGCAGGAGAAGGTCGAGAGGTACCCCTCCTGCTAAGATCTGCACCGCCTCGTGAGACACACTTCGGTATGATTTTGTGACTCGCAACAGAGCCGTACGTTGAATTGTCGCCAATCTGCGTTTCTGACGGTGTGAGAGATTCTGAGACCACGCAGGAGAGGCGTACCTCAGAATACCCACTATCATTCCATCGTAAATGATCCTCGTAGCTGGGTATCTGAGGCCCCAAAATGCACCCCCTAGGCGACTAAGTCCATTCAAGGCTAGGGCCACCCTACTTCCTAAGTAGTCCAAATGAGGGGTCATATTAAATCCTCTTCCAAACCTTATGCCAAGGTAGGTGACCACCTCACTTGGACGTATTCTCGTTCCCTGTATACACAGATTTATAGGGTGTGCCCTATCCGTCTTTCCCTTCAGCAGGATCGCCTGGGTCTTTGATGCGGCCATTCGTAACTTCATCCCTCACACCATTGCCCGACCAGATTGGCGCACCGCTCTGCTTGTAGCTTTATTCCGGCTCTGCTGTTTGACGCTACTACTGCCGCCAAGTCATCGACGTAAGCCGTAGCAGGGAACCGCTCATTTTCGAGCACACCCAGCAACTCATCAAACACTAGCTTCCATAGCACGTATCATGACTTACCTCTACTTCGAACAGAAATTATTGTTTCTGTTTCCCGATTTCGAAAATTGGGCTATTACTAACTGTTTTTGAAAGACATTCCTAATAGAGCTAAACTTTAGAAAAAAAAAACATTATGAATTTCGGTCATATTTATAAAAAAAATCCTTTTAATATATTGCGGGTTGACAATAAAAATCTCTGAACTCTTATCAGTATATTTGGACCGCATAACTCCAGTCTCTGAGCTCTATAAAAAGTAATTTATTAGTACGTATTATCTATGAATAAGTGATGACTATAGTGCTGGTAAAGAGGGGAGAGAAATCCGGCAAGTGGACCTACTGGTCCTTTTTGCCAACCCCAGATAACATTTAATTTACCAATGGAATCGATTTATCCTACATCTCACATCTTTTGGTTTTTCTGATAAAATTCTAAAGTGAGGATCGATATAAATAAATTTTAGTTATAAGATTCTGTTAAAACTTGAATTGCTATACCTAAGCGACACAAAGCGTTCTCGTTCTGGTTTAAAATGTAGGGCATTTTCTGCGCTCTCCCACCAATTGGCAGGTTTCATCCTGTACTGCCCTGCAGATCTTTAAATGTTTAAGTCTGCAAAGGTCTATCTCCGATTGTTAATTAATTTTTGTTAAGACCAAGCAGCCAGTTGTGGTCACTAAGGGTTTTTTAATGAATTTCTTAGCTTGCTTTAGGCCTGCTCAATTCCTTCATTCCTTACTAGCTTCCTTCCATGCCCAACCAATCAAGAACTTCTTAACGTTGATTGCCTAATGCAGATTCTGGTCCAGTAGGAGGAATCTCTGTGCCATTACTGGCTAGTTCATATGCTTCCTCATTACCGGAGATCCCTGTGCGACCAGGAACATAAGCCAGCTGCACCCTCTTTATGCCACCAAGAATCTCCAGGGTTTTTCTGCTCTCCCTCTTGATAGAGGAAGTCTTTAAGATTTTAAACCTGAATAGCTGACCTACTATGAGAATTGATAGCTGTGCCGGCTTAGTTCAATAACTTCTGGCTTGTAGTTACTGCCAAGATTGAAAACACTTCTACCTGAAAATGGAGAGTACTTGCCAAGAGGTATGCTTAATTTTATGTCTTGAGTCCTCCACGTATACTCCCGCCCATGCAAGATTTGTCGAGTCTTTCTTTGAGCCGTCAGTGAAGCAGGGTAGGTAGTTAAGTAGAATGGGTAGTTTCCCTATCATCTTTGATATTGCCAAGTGTCCAATGAATTCACCTGTCTCTGTCATTGTGCTACATAATGAAAATTTTAGTAATTAAATTTTCATCACCTTTTACTTGTATTTAAACTCTTCAATTTTTTCCCCTGTAAAATTAACTAAATACAGTTTTGAGTTTTTCAATACGGCATTGATATATTTAAGTGTCACACTTATTGTAAGTGGATAATCAATTCTCAAATTTCCAACAAGTTATCAGAAGAATATGATACTATAGGGAACAAAATATTCAAGCTATTATAAGAGATTTATTGATGTTTCATTATTGATTTTATAACACCAAGCCTTAATGAATTTAGTAGATATATTTTTAATCTAAATTTTAGTCAAATTATGATGTATTTTAACAAAACTAGATTCACTGTTTTTTCAATAAATTGAATTTATTAAAAAAAATTATATCAACAGTATAAATATCTGCCATTGTTGCCAATTAAGATTGATTTAAAAAAAAAACACACAATATAATAGCTACTTTAGGTTGGGTTTTTTATCTAATTTTTCTGCACTTCAATTATTTTCATTACTTGATCTCTTAATGCCGTGAAGTGGATAAAAAGACAAAGATGCACGTCTATAAGTCAGTGTACCTGCCTATTCACACCTACGGCAGAGAAAGCTGGACTATGTTGGACAAACATTACAATCACATAATTGCTATTATGCAGAAATGCGGTTTCGATATGTAGATTGGTGGGGAAAACTAGTAGGGATCGCATTCGAAATTAAACTATCAGAGAACAGCTGGAAGTGCCTGAACTCTAACCCATTTTGGAGAACAGGCAACTAAAGTGGTTTGGACATGTCTGCCAAATGATGATTGAATGATAGGCTTTTATATCATGAGGAAGGATTTTTAATTAACAATAGTTAGCATAGAAATCTTAATGAAAACAGTAAATATACAAAAATTATTTATTTATACTAGTAATTCACCCTAATTATCAAGCAACAACAATTGTATTCAATAATTGCAAAATTCTTTAGTGTTTTTCATTTATTTTTTATGTTTAAGCATTCAAGGGTTGCTCACAACAGCAGATACTTAGTGGCAAATGTATTTGCTAGTCTTTCCCAAAATACAAATTTTTATTTGTATGTATGGAATTCTGTGTAGTATTTTTTGTTGAGGTGATTGTGCTTGCATTATTTTTTCTAGTAAATTCCTAATGAGTTTTATGTAATTACATATTTTATTTAAAAGAGGTCCACCACTTCATTATCTCCTAATTCTTGTTGAATTGGGGATTTTAACTCTTGTATGGCTATAAATGTTTTTGCTGTTATGTTATTTGCATTGGACATTGTTTTGTATATTGCACTTTTCAGAATGTGAGTATTTTTTGTCTTTATATCCACTTTTAGGTCTGAATCGAAATAAATGTTTCAGTTATAAATTTCTATTATTATTAAAAATAGTATTTTAATTTTGAAAATTTAGTATTTATTTGACCGCACTCCCCCGACCAACTCCTCATATTATATCACGGTCAACCATCTCTACATCATAAAATTGTATGTACGGTACATCATTTCCCACATTTAATATTGCCATAGAAATTGATAACTGAACCATTTATTTCGATTCAGACCCAAAAGTGGACATTAGGACAAAAAAATTCTCACATTCTGAAAGTGTAATATACCAAACAATGTCCCACGCAAATAACATAATAAATACTAAATTTTGAACATGTAGTATTTATTTGATCGTACCACCCGACCAACTCATACAATTTAAAGTACAGTATCATCACTTTTTTTCTTTTAGTTCATGAACATGAGAACCATAAATCTCCAAATGTCTCCATTTATTGTTTGTATTGATTTGAAAAGGAATCTTTTGGCACTTATTTGTCTGTGATCAGATTTTAAACTTAGTTCTAAGTTAAAACTAAATTTAAAAATTGTCAATGTTCATAACAAATTACTTTTTTGTGTTTAATTTCTCTTTGTACTGTTATATTGTGAAATTATATGGTATATCTCTATAAAGAAAGTAAACCCGGTATTAATAATGTGAAGTGTTTTGCTAATTTTGATTAGAAGTAAATTTGTATTTGTTGCATGATAAGCTTTTTTTTTTTTCAAAACAAACCATTTGAACCTTCAGTTAAGAGAATGATTGGCAGCTTCAATTTCTACATTATTCATTAAAGTATTTTTAATATTGAAAATTTTTTGTGAAAGTGTAATGAAAGATATTAAAATTGTTGTTAGTCATTAAAAGGCTCATTAACTGTAAATTTTAGATGCTTAATTTAAAATTAGTCAATTTTTATTTGATTTTTATTGTAATTTTATATTTTCTATCTCATTTTAGGAGGTCAGAAATTGAATACTACGCTATGTTGGCAAAAACTGGCGTTCACCACTATTCAGGAAACAACACAGAACTTGGAACAGCCTGTGGTAAATACTTCCGAGTCTGCACTCTCTCAATAACTGATCCTGGGGATTCTGATATTATTAGATCCATACCTTCATCCGAGGGTGCTCAGTGAAAATGTTTTAAATAAATTTTTTTAACTTATCAAGTATTGCTCTTTTTTTCCTTATTCTGAAGCTTTAATATGGTATTATAATGTCAAACAGTTCTGCCTTGTGGTTTTATTGGAATTACAATGCCTGTATTATACCCACAACGAGTAAATGTCAAGAGTTTATCTGCTGAACCAAAATTTATGTAGAAAATTAGGACTGTTCATAAAATGAATTGACCTTAATTTTGCAGAGGACAGGAAGATTCTTCTAGTTCGATGGCTTTATACTAATAAAGCTTTTCTAAATGTGAATGTTTTAAAATATATTTGAAGGAGATAGTTCAGCATAAATATAAATAAATAATTATATACAATCCATTTCAGTTGCTGAGAAAGAGACTTTAGTTTTCCCCAGCATTTAGTTTATTCTGGCTGTTAACAATATTTGTGAGGAACTTTACCCTAATTGTTTTGACCAGCCCTCTATTGTATAAATATATATTAAAATATTTCAATTCAAATTAGTAGTTCCTGAGATTAGCTCCATCGAAAGAACATTTATATATTAAGGCTAAATTTTAGTCTATTGGATATTTCTGGTCATATTACCATATTTCACTAAACTGCATAAATTTATTTTGAAATGTTGACTTATTGGGAGGACAGGAGGCAAGATTAAGCTTGCCCCTCCATAATATCCTAATTTTGTTTTGAGGTGCATTTAAACATTATATTAATTAAGGAATACTAATATTTAAATGAAGAAGAGAAGGATGGTTGGGGGGATCAGTCAGAAATTAAAAGGGAAAAATAAATAATAATATTTATTATAACATTTGCCTAATTATTATTTATTTCTGACCGATCACCCCAACCATCCTCTTCATTATTCACGACAGTCAACCATCAACCCACAATTAATATTTAATGGTTTAGAGATGGTTGATTCGGGGGGTGCTGTAAAATAAATACTAAATTATACAAATAGTAATATTTAATTTTTTTGCTGATGTTTCGACCCACCTTGCAGGTCTTCATCAGAGCGTAGGATGGTAGGATGTAGCAGCACTGCAGGAGGCAGTTGAAACACCAGCCAGTGTTGGCCAGCTCCTCAATTAATATTTAAATGGTTGTTTCCCTAGTATTTTTGTTTCTTGTTTTTGATGTTTCCATCTGCTGTCAATAACTAAATAAATATAAAAAAAAGTTGGGCTTAATGCATATATCGCTATTAGTGAAGTTAGCTAATTGTTTCCCATAGCTCCTGTACTGTCTAACACACCTTCAGATTATTTCTTATGGTCAATCAGATTTTCACTTCTGCCCAATTATAAACAAAATTAATACTTATTATATGTAACTACTCATTTTATGTCTATATTATTGAAAAAAATCTGGTGCGCGCAACACAAAACTTTCACTTACCGCTCTACTTTAAATAAAAATTACTTTCTGGCAATGCTGTGCTGTTATAAAATTTTCTGAAGTGCATTTTTAACAGAGATAAACCTTAAAGATTACAGATAACAAGTCATTAAGACCATTATAATTACAAAATGTCTATTTAATATATCGACGGTAGGCAATAAAAATTTAGTCACTCCATCTGCTTTTATAAACCACAGAATGACTAACTCCAATTTCAACATTTTTGAATAATGTCATTTTAGTGATATTTTTAGTTGAAAAAGTTATCTATGCAGACAGTGAGTAAGTTGATTCCGGAGGTGGTGATTGAAGTGTTGAAATATAGAACAGTGAATAAACATAAATTTAGGTTCTTATTTCTTATGAAAGATACTTCATTAAATATCTGTAGATAAAAGGTATTTTTAGTCTCAACAATTAAAAAAGCATATTTTAAATTTATCCAAATTTTCGCCTCTTCCGGTATAAAATCTGTTTTTACGATATATTTTGAATTTTAATCTGAAAAAAAAAAATATATCCTTTCAGATGACTTACTATTAGACAGCACATTTATACAACAAATAATAACATTAAAAAATGAATATTAACCAGTCAAAAATATGTATTGTATATAAAAAACGCTGCAAAATATTTTACAATGGTTTATTATTTTTTAATAACAATTATACATCTAAAGTATCATTACCTTCCTAGTTAAAAATAAATAAAAGGTGATTCCAATTATTGGACTAAACTTTTTTTTAATCATTAGTAATATGCTAAAACAATTAGCATTACCTAAGTAACACATTCAAAATACAACAACCAAAACAAAAGATATAAGCTTTGAAGCAGAACATATTAAAAAAAAAAAAAAAAAAAGCTGGAGGCCATATCTTTCCTCCTAATTGTCCGATTTTAACAAATTTTTTTTTTGGTTTTTAGGAGATTCTGTAAACTTAAAAAACCATGTAATCAACAAAAAAAGTGTATACTTTTTGGGTTATTCGGAATTTAATTTTACCATCCCTCGTAACTTTTTTTCCAGCTTCTTTTCATTGAAGTATGTTATATAGATAAATTTAAAGGGTGCCGAGAAAATGACTTTAGCGAAGTTTCATTGAAATCGGTACATTCGTTTAGGCGCTGCAGTCTATTTTTATTTTTTTCTCCTTTATTAACTTATCAAATTCTTTCAAAAGTTAATTTAGCATTTTTTTGTAACTCTGAATAATGTGAAATGATTAACTTTTTAATATAAACCATATTAAAGGTACTTTAGAGGAAGACGTATATGAACATTGGGCATTTAAGCCCTGTAGACTGACATCAATAAGGACAAGATCTAATTGGTATTAAAGATTACTTCATTATACATTGATACACCGAGTTTAATCAAAGTCAGTTTAAGAAATAAATTAAATTTTTTGGGAGGAATGACGGACGCAAAATGTTTAGTCCTGCCACTATGTTGAATCGGCGAGTTTCTGAAGAAAAAAAAACAGGTATTCTTTAATGTATTGAATAGGAAGTAAACATTTAGCATGTGAAGGTGCATTTAGACATTTAACAAAGTATGGGACTAACAAATTTATAGGTGATTATTTCACTATGCTTAGTATTTTTGTTTCTTGTTTTGGAGTAGGTTTAGGAGGTAATTTTCTGTTATTGCCTCACCAGTAAAAAGTTTTTTTAAATTATAATTTAAATATGTACCATAAAAAAAAAACATGATTACGTGTAAAAAAAATATATTCCTGCATTGTTTCAAACGATGATGATGAATTTGAAAAAAAATGTTTAGAGAAATTGTATGATGATAGATCTACTATAAGATTTCCTAATAAGTTTTCATTATTGAAGAAAGCAAAATGTGCGAATTTGGCAAGTCTATATCAATTAAATATAGCGAAACAGAAGTCCACGTTGAAGGTGTTCAATTATAAAAGATATTCATTATTTTTACAATGATTATCTTCTTGTAAATAAAGAATTTTTTGTGTCATATATTTTTAATTCTAATTTTACCTTATATTTTTTTTACTGATGGGACAATAACATAAACGTATCGGTTAGCAATAATGTCACTGTTAATTAAATTAGATAAATTGTGTTTCATCCATGAAAATAAACGCACCTTCAGACATGTCACTTAAGAGACATATCTAACGAAATATAACTTTTTAAAATATTTTCCCTTATTTATGGGACACCTCTTGTATAGAGTTGAATTAATGGAAGTGCTAATTCCAAATTCCATCTATGAGTTTAGGAAAGTCTGGTAGATTTTTGATGGCATCAATGTGCTCACAGGCTCTGGGAAAAATTAAGATTTTCCAGCCTTAATATCAATTAATATAATTAGAATTAATAGAATAGTTGATTTTTCAACTAAACATTGAAATAAGTGCAAATTTACGTTTATCACATTATAAATCAATTTTTTAATTATTTTAATGATGTTTCAATTGCTTATAATTAAATCTATAGTATTCTTCTGATGAAGTTTCAGTATTTACCAGTCCAACAAAAAATTTTTAATTAAGATGTTAAACTAACAGATGTTAACCAAGTGAGGGTTTTTCTGGCCTTATTTTGTTGAAGGTTATCTATAAAATTATTTATAAAGGTGAAAAAACAAACTACTTTTGAAAGATGGAACTAGTAGTAATATATCTTTCTTTATTGTTGATAACTAGATTAGAATAAATGGCCAAAATAATTGGTAGGTCTGTGGTTGTATAGAATCTTCAAGATTGGCAGATAATTTTAGGAAAAAATGTTTTTCCTTTTAATGGTATAATTATATTCTTAATATTTCTATGTTGGTTCTAATAATTTTTTATTTCCCTGATTGTGCTCATATTAAAAATTAAGATGAAAAAGAGTTGGTTCTTCCAAGGCAACTCACTCATTTGTAAGTACACATTTCCTTATGTTTTTAAGATATTGCTCAGAGGCTGACCATAATTAACTAATGCAATTATTTTAATATTAACATATATTGAGAATATTTCTAAAATATTACTTTGATTTACATATAAGTTTACATATTACTTGTAATAACACTTAATTCTACCTATAATCTCCTGTTAATGATTTTAAAATAAATGTAAAAACTCAGGTGTAATATTTAATTATGCTAATAACTGGTCCATTACTTTTATATAAACATAGTTAATAATTTCAAATTACAAACAGTGTTATTAACATTAAATTTGAGCTACTAATGTTTTGAATTTATACCTATCTAAATCAGAATTTACATATGTTGTTAGATTAAATCTAAAAATTTTATGTGAATAAATATAAATAAAATATTAAAAAGAATATTTTTGTACACAATTATGCTGACATGTCTCATATTAAAAAAAAGTACCAATTCCAGAAAGTTCTTGAAGAATATGATTTTATGAAAAACCAACTGGAGAGAAATGGTGAAATGAAACCAACTACAGAAAAAAAAAGTTCTGATGAAACAATTTTATTATTAAATGCTGAAAAGCTGAATTTTCAAGAATGCGAAAAAATATTTTTTATGTTGAGACACACGCTTACTTTACATACTATCATCCTAAAAAGTAATATAAACCATGACATCATAAATGAATCACTAAACAATATGAAGCAGAGAAGTATAAGAATGGTCCCATTTTCTTTACAAAATATGCTTTAAGAACTATTTACCAGGCAATCACAGATTATCTTTATAATTCTGATCGTATTAAAATTCTAGCCTTCAAAAATATACCAATTACCAATGACTTGCCTATCCTTTGTCAAGGGATTCGAAGTAATAGATCTATTCGAGTTTTAAACTTTGAAGACTGTGATATATGTGACGATGGTTGTATCCAAATATGTCAAGCTTTGCGAAAATCTCCTATTGAATCATTAGGTTTAGAAAACTGCAAAATCAATTTGACTGGTGCATCTTGGCTAGCTTGGTTAATTAGAGAACAATCAATGCTTAGAACTTTAACAACCTGGAATAAATATCAAAATGACCATGAGTACAAGATTGAACAAGGAATTAGAAAATTGGCAATAAATGATAATCCTGGTATCAAAGATACTGGTGCAAAATTTATAATTGGGACTTTGTTTGATGACAATTGGGTAACTCACATCCATATGCAAAATACAGGTCTAAGTGATATTACTGGTCATTTGATCCTCCGGTTACTTAGACAGAATAAGTCAATAACAATTTTCAATATAGGTCGAAATTATGCCACTTCAAGGTGTATGGTTGAACGAATTGTAGAGGTTTTGTCTAAAACATTATCTGAAGTAAATAACTTACAAATTAAGCCTAAATCTAACAAAAAACATTTAACAAATAAGAAAAAAAGTTCAAGAAAGAAAAAGAGAAGTAATGATAAGCTGTTAACTGACAAATCACAACAAACATCTGAATACAGTCTGTACTGTGAACCTTTTCAATTAGTAGGACCAAATAAAAGGAATAAAGTATACTCAAATGGGCCTAGTACCTATGATAGTGATTCATTTAGCAATCAATTACCATCTGTAATCCCTAAACAGTTTGATCCTGTTGCTCAAATTGATAGTTACAGCCATAGACAAAGTTTGAAAAATCAAAAAAGTATGCTAATGAAAAATGCAGAAAATAAAAAACAAATGGATGTGTCAAAAGTTTCAAATACAACAGGAAAAAGGGAAATCAGGAAAAAAACTACCTTATCACAACCTTCTACTTTCTCTTACAGTAAGTGCAATTTGCTTGAAACTAAAGGTTTCTCTCCTTTAAAGACAAATGGGTTGATTATGTGATTGTGTGTATTGGGTTAAGATATACAGTTTTTATTATTTGTGTAAAGATATTGTGTACACTGTATAAGATTTTAATTAAAACAATTAAATAAACCATATAATTGACCATATCTAATAATTACTGACCTAAAAAGACATTTTATGCTAACAAAATAAATATTTGTTCTACAATATTGTAACTTTCTTTCTAAAAAAATATTTAGTACTTTGTTGATCAGTGAGCTTGAGAAAGTAATGCAAATTAATAAACTAAAATATGTTATTAAAACCTATAAGACTCTACAAGAAATGAGTTGTGTGTGTAAATCTTCATTCATGCTCAGCTGAAGCACCTTCCAATATTCAATAGTCATTCTTATAATAAGATGTTTGTTTCTTTAATAAGTCATAAGAAATCACTTATATAAGTTTCATGATGACCTATGGTCTGTTTCTGGCCAAGTTCCTTATTCTAATAGATTCCCTGATAGTGGTAATTTGTTTAGGCAAATATTGAGTTATGAAATGGTATATCTATCTGTCCATCATGTGGGTACTTTTCATCCTGTAGTATGTTACATTTTTAAATTAAGTTTGTAGCTGTTCAGGCATTATACCTCCCAAATTTAACTCAGTACTTTGTTTTTTTTTAGTTATATGAAAGGCTACAAATCTATATAGAAGTATACATGGGAGTAGCTAATCACTGTCTTTCTTTTGGTTGGTGAGGTCTTTGCTGCTACTAACTGCAGGTACTTGGGTGCATTAAAGTATATAGTACAAAAAAAGGTGCGGAATATTTGACAATCCCTAATACAAAGGGTCAGGCTCTACATCTCTTCATGAGAAGAAATCTGGGAAGAATTACCATACCAGTGTTGGCTGATGGAATCAGTAGGCCTTGTACCAGGAGTGCCATGAAGGGGGTTAGATGGCATAACATGCGCCATCAAAAATTTGGAGGGGGCATATTTTTCAATTTTTGATGGGTCTACATTTCGGCGGGGTTATGAATTTTCGAAATGAAAAGTTTTATACTAAAGGACAAGAAGGCATCATGGAACAGACTGCAGTAAGTATAATTGTATATGCTCTACGATTTTTTAAATTCTACCGTCGCTATCTATTCATCTATTCGACTAGGTACCAACATGTAAGAGTGATTTTTACGTTTTAAATAACGTTAAGAAATTGTTAGGTGTATAATACAATCTATGACCTTTTTATATACATTTATTAAGACAGTTTTTATTTAAATCTTTCTAATCTCCAAAATATTCGCCCAATAATCTTGACTTGGATTATTATGGCAAAAAGCGTAAAGCTGTCGATTTACTTTTTGTTCCATTCGATTTAGAATAAGGGAATACATAATTAATGACCATTATTTGAGCTTTGAAGTGGCATGTCTAATTTGGACGAAGTTTTTTCCGAAAGTAAGATGTTTTGCACCATTGTGCATCGGTTCCATTATTCTAATGTATTCTCCTGAAGGACCCTTAACTATCTTTCAGGGTCTACACCGATTCCCTCTCATAGATTAACTGGTAGATCCGCTTTCTCATCTCTCTTAATCTTGTGTCGGAAGAAGTCTTCCTTCCTACTGAATGTACAATAAACGCAAGCATGTTCATCTTACTCTATGTAAATTTATTTATCAATAGCTAGAAATTAATTGATAAACAATCCTAATGATGGCCAATGTGAACTGCCTTAGAATGTATTTGGATAAAATACTAACTTGTTCAATAAAAATAAATAAAACATTATTTTTGAAGGAGGTATTCATTTCGACCTCCTTCTGCGGAAAAACCTCTTTAGGCACTAGGCGGATCTTTGGGCGAATCTACAAAAGAAAATCAGCAAATACCCGGGAAGATGGCAGACGATTCTAAGAGAGAACAGCTCTTAGAAGGACCCTTTCCTATCTTTCAGGGTCTATAGAAGACTGAAATGGGTAGCGGATTACGGTGTCAAACGAGGAGTACCCTGAGCACTAGCGGATCCAGGATTTGATTTTGGGGGGGCTTCAGCCCGAAGGTTTTTTTTTTCATAAAAATAACGATAATTGGATAAAAATAACTTTGGAAAAAAATAAAGAAATTAACTACCAGTATGAAATGGTGTTTAAGTGATTCCTAAAGCCCTTTTAAATGTAATTACACGAACAATAATACTTTAAGAGATACTTTTTAAATATTTTTTTCGATAAAACGTGGTTATATTTTACCATTTTTGGGGGGGGGGGAGAGGCTTCAGACCGCAAGTCCCCTCCCCCCGTAGATCCGCCCGTGACTCTGAGGAAGTACTTTTGGTTTTTAGCCACTGGTTATAGCTACATTACTGATTTAAATTATTGGTGTTTTTTGGCGCTGCATATAATTACTCTATTTGAACTTTTAAAAGCTTCTCCCCTTTATATGAACTTGTTAAGTTGCCTAATATTACTTATTGTTCTGTTAAAAGATCCTTTTCCTTCACAAACATACACTTACCTACAGTGACCTAATCACTCCTGAACTACATATTTTCTTCGATAGTAGATTTGACTGCTATTGAAGAACTTTTAAATTTCTCACACTTATGTTAATAATTTATCATCAGTTTTGGCTTTCTGTAATCTGCCATTCTTAAATGTCATAGTGTATGAAACTAAATAAAATCACAATCAACTAGAAATTTATTTTAAATAACAATATATTGTTATAGTGTCATTTTATGATTTATTATTATGATGAAATTCGTTGTTGAACGTTTCTTTTCAATTAGCAGCTCTCATATCATTTAGATAATTTGCAACAAGTTTTCCTCTAAAAATAAACAACATCATTTGCAGGTAAACAACTCATCTCTGGGTGAAATATTTGAATTTATAAAGCTCGTTGAAAATAAATAAACAAATAAAAAGTATCATATTGGATAAGCTTAATAAAAAAGATGACTATAAATGCCAAATATTGTGATAATCAGTGTAACATATGTATAAAATATTTTCATTGTTATTACATATCATGATAATTTTCTTATTTAATTTATACTTCTTGATTGATATTATAGATTGTTGATATTGAAATTCTATTAAATGTCTCATAGTTGTTTCAAATATAATTTCATTTCTGCTGTCATTCCATTTGCCTGTGTTCATAAACAAAATAATTAATTCTACTATTTTTTGTCAGAGTAAGAGGGATCCATTGTATTAGTTAAGTTTTGAAAATTCAATTTTTTTATCTTTATGATAAATTGTTTATACTCATATTTATAACAAGCAATATGATTCATTCTTATTAAATTTAGTTTATTTGGATTATTTTGGGATTTCTGCCTCTTTGAAACCCAAATCAGTAGAGAGAAATGTTACGAAAGTCTGCTGTTCTGAAATATTGAGGTTCTAATTATAATCATGCTTAAATAATTAAATAATTAAATTTATGAAATTAATTATTGTACAAATAAAATTGAATATATTTAAAATGTGTGTAAGTTTTATCAGAATAAATATTTATGATTCAATTTCTGTTTCTATTACATTTCTGCCATGGTTGAAATAAGTTTGACCCCTAAGCACTCCAAGATATATGAATAGTGTGTTACTAAATCTATTCCTAAGTACTTAATGTGCTTCATAAAAAGTATTTGATTCCTGTATGACATCTATCAGACATCCCATAATCTGATCTAGATGTTAGAGGGATATTTAACAAAAGATCCATTTGAATTGTGGAAATAAGGATTTATCGCTCCCTCAATGTAATAATAATAACAGGAACATATTGCATTATTAGACAATATTTTTCATTAAATTCATAGTTTAGTGTTTTGTGTTTTTGGGTTTTATTTTTTAATAGTAAATTTTCTTGATTAAAAATGTTAAATATTGAAGATTAAAGTTGAGATGAAAAAGATAATTTAGGTTTAAATTCAAGAACCTTATGTACTTTTAGTATTACTTCCTATTCGGTTATGTTTGTTAAGTTATTCCTAAAGGAAATAACAAAATCTATTATTGAATTATTTCTGTTCACTAAATTAATTCTTTTTCTGTTTAGATGGAATTTGCAGACCTCATCTTAGTACCAAAATTAGATAGTGTAGTTTTGCAAGCACCTTTTGCCAAGCCAACAGATGTTTCTGTGTGTATCACAGGACATCATATAATATTCTCTACAAGAAAACAAGGTGCAGAAGAACTTTGGGTAAATTAATTTCAATTATCATTTAATTAGATTTATAAATATTTTTGTGAGAAATATATATATATATTATAAGGATAAGACTCTCTTCGTATTCTGGAAACAAAAAAAATTAAAATTATAATAGCGTAGAAATTGTGAAAGCTGTAATTTTATTATGAAATGTATGTTAAATGTTTAAGTCGCTAAAATATGAAGACTTATTGAGAGTACAATTTTGTCCAATTGTTGACCATAACTATGGTATTGTGTCTGAAATTTTTGAAAAATCTTTGATATATTAAGTAAAATGATTTTTTGTTATATTATAAATAGTGAATCTTCAGTTTTTAGGGGAAAACGTAGTTTTGGTTTTTAGATAAGATTTAATATAGATGTTTTTGAGCAAGAGTGTCTATCATAGCAGTTTCAACCATTGAAATTGTGTTATCTTTCTTGAAATATTTCATTATTAAACTCAGAAATTTTCCATGATATTGCCAATTTTTATTACCATGCAACCGTTGCCATAATTTTTGTAAGGAATTTTAATGCCTGTTACTATTGACTATTTTTGATATTTGTCTTATTAAAAATACTTTTTTCAGTTGATGCATGACAATATTGATACTCTGGAGAAGAGATGTACTTCTGGTATAGCAGGAGGAAGTATAATTTTAAGATGTAAAGATTTCCGTACGATCCGACTCAGTATTAAATCAAGTATAGATTTTCAGAATCTTGTTACATCACTTGAAAGATTAAGTTCCCTTGGTAATTATTAGCATCTAATCACTATTTATTACTTATTGTTATTTATATTTTCACAAAGAATGTTTTTAGAAAGTAGGTATATAATTTTCTATTAAAGTTACACTTGGATTGATGAATAAGAATCGATGAAAGTTAGGTTTGAAATTATTAACTCAAATGTTTAGGTTTTGAGTTTGGAATGTATTTTGTGTTAATGATGCCAGAACATTACTGCTTGAATCAGAAAATCTAAATAGATCTCAACTATAACATTGTCTTGAAAATAATGCAGAATTTTTGGTTTCCTTTGAATTCTTGCAATCGAAACACCCTTAGATTATTAACATTAATTTTGTTGCTTCAAAATAAAATTTAACAGTCGTAGTCTGGAATCTAAATTATACTTACTTTTGGCTTGAATATGCCATAGTTCTTTCCTACATACTTTTCCTATTGCCTTTTTTCTATATTTTCATTCTCTAAATAATGTACTGTTTATTTTTACAATGTTGTGTGCGAGTTGAAAATGTTTTAAATTTTTTTTAGATAGGTTGTTGTTCACCGTTTATCAAGGTGTCCAAGCTTTACTTTATTTGATCTCTTTCAACTAGTTAAAACTTGTATCTGTTACCTTTTACGAATTCTTCTTGGAGTCTGAACCTGGAGAGTTGATTGCGTAAACTGGCAAAAGCTCTGTAGGGAGGTCCTTCAGTCTTGGTGATGGGATGCATGCTGTATATGTTGATAAAACTTGACCACAAAACAAAGAAATGTTAATGAAGAATTGAACAGTGTTAGAATAAAAAAATAGAGAACTTATAAGGGATGTTACAGACTTACGAGTTGTTTGGATGATCATTCAACATAAAACAAGAGGACCATATGATGTATTATTTTTAATTGAGTTTCCCTGGAGTCTGATGTCCTAATTGCTATAATTAATAGGATTGAAATTTTTTTCCGACTAAAGAAGTTTTCTTGTTCCACTAGTTGATACTCTCTATATTAATTGTATCCTTATGATTGAATGATATGCTTGTATTGTATATAGTCCATTTTTTATTTTTTCCAGCTTCTGTAAATGAAAAAATTTCAATTGTTCTATTGTATAAAAATTTGTATTAATATTTTTTAGATGACTTGAGATTACAATACGCTTTTTTTTATCGACCTATGTATCAAATTCTTGAGGATGGTTGGACAGCTTTTACTGTTGATTCAGAATTTAGTAAATTACTTAAAAGTGATGAATGGAGGATATCATATATAAACTCTGATTTTTCGGTAAAGTAGTCATAGCTTATTCTAAATCAATTTATAATCATTTAGAAATTCAAGAATTTAGTTTTTCATTTTAAATTTGATATTTAAATTTTTTTAAACAATATTTAATAATAATTAATAAAAATACATTGGATGACATATTTTTATTTTAATTTTAATTGGCTTACTTCTGTAACATCAAATCTAAAAAAAAAAGTTGGTAAGTTGAATAATACAAACAATTAGTTAATAGTGTGAATAGGATTGAATCCTATAACAATTTTTACTGAGTGGTTCGATTCATTTACTTGTAGTATTGCAACTTTTTTTATCAAGAAGAGTTAAGAATGCTTGTAATTGAATCACCAAGGACACTTGGAAACCAGTGAGGCAGTGGTTTGAAGAGCTCCTTTGGAAAAGCTTACATTTTTATATCCTCGTAGTGAAAGATATCTATTGTAGTGAGAGTGCGGGAACACAATCACATAATATGTGGTGTAATAAAAATTGGAGTGTTGAGAAATTTTATGTATGTGTACCATTATAAATAGATGAGGGAAGCTGGTTTCTGAAATTAACTATATAGAATATAGAATATAGAGAGTAAGAAACAGTTAAAAACTTTAGAGGCTAGAGCAGCTCCGAGAAATGCCCATAGGAGCACTAGGAGGTTCTAGATTGAATGTAGAAGGAACATTGCCAAGAAAAGAAGTTTTACCAATAGAAAAAGAGTTTGCTGGATTAAATGACTAAAACACTTCTATGCTCAGACGTAATGTGTGTTTTTTAATTTAGTTTTTTGGGTGAAAATTTATTGTAGTCTTAAATAGATTGTGATAAAGAGAATCAGCTGCTTGAAACTATTTATTTCTATCTTTATAACATTAACAACTAACATTTTATTTTTTTTACATTATCTCAAAGTGACAGATAAATTCTTAATATCGGGTTTATTGTATGTAAAAAGTCATTTCATAACCTCAAATAATTAAAAACTTTAAAGAATTTTCTCTTTATGAAATCATAAAATTGTGCGTTTGTTGTAACTATATTTGATACATAAAAGAGTTTGTGCCATTTTCATGAGCCTACAGTGTTTTTGTATCAATAAATAACATTGAAATTCACAAAAAACGTGCTTATAAGTTAGTCTATAACAAAAATGCACTTAGTGACTTTTTGCAATAAACCGACAATATGTCTATAATGTTAATTTATTTTAATTGATACCTTTACTCAGTGAATTGAATTGCTGCACCATTCAAAAATTGTTTCTTACAAAATATTTCACTTACCCAATTTGCCCATCGAATGTAAATAATAAAATGCAATTAGCTAGTTAAGATAGATACATCATTACATAAATATTGCTTATTTATATTAAATATTGCTTGTTTAACCAAACAAATAACTTAAGCCATTCTGCCGTTTCAGGGTGCAAAAAGTTAATTGACAATATTGAGAAAGCTTGAGCAAGCCATTGCCAAGTTATCTGTCTGAAATAGAATTTAATCTAGGTATTTAGCAATCTAAAGTATGTTTGATGAAATTAGAAAACAAAATACATATGCACAATTAGCTGACTGCCAAGTTAATTATGTTACTTACAGACAATTTGTAAACAGTTCTGATGTCATTATGCAGTCTCAGCAGTCTTCATGTTTTGAGAAAACTGGACCTGAATTAGATTTACGTACTTATTATAGAACATTCTTGTTAATTTTATTTGTCTACTATGAAATAGTAGAGCATAATTCTTTTTTAAATATTAAATTGCAAAAAAATAGTCCTTCATTTTTTGTTACTAATAATAAATGAAAAAGGTAGTATCAATTGTTTTCATATGTAATTTGCCTTCTAGAATATCTGAGTAATCGTTACAGAAAAAAAGGATAATAAAATAAATCAGTTATGATTGACTCAATATACTTCTGTACCCCACTTATATTGAAATGTACTACTTTTTCTTTTTTTCAATTTTTGTATTTTTGAATCTTGGAGTAATCTTGAATTCCTGAATAAAAAGTTCCACATGTTCTGGGGCCCATAATACCCTCTCACAAAAATAATGCAGTCATTCAAATGCCATATATATATATATATATATATATATATATATATATATATATTATATATATATATATTAGAGATAGATATATTTGTTGATGCTGAACTAGCAGTTCTTGATGCTAGACTAGGCAGTAACCATTGTCCACATGCTTGAGTCGAAATATCGGCAAGCTGAATAAAGCAATTCTATTCTAGACAAAGAAAAAAGAAAAGGAAGTCAATTGGTAGATTTGTGCTTAACACCATTCATTTTTAGACTTCTTTTGAAATAGTTGTTCTTTTATATTAATTATATTAACTTAATTAAACATTTATTGCATAGCTTAAGCAAAAATAGCATCAGTACCTCAATGGCTCCATAAAGATGGACTTGTGTTTGTGCATCCAAAAGTACTTCTTAGAATTAATCTTAAAAATATCATTGAAATTAATTCTAAGATGATATATTATGTTTACAAAAAAATCCAACCACACTGTAGGTGCCAGAGAGAGAATGTGATACCGCGTTGAATATTCATGTGCTTTGTCTTCTCTGTCAACAGAACATGCATTATCATCCACCCTATTCCATTCATCGTTGTACCATATTATTAGATACACAAGATCTAATAATCTGCTTATTATTGACTATTAAGGAATAATAATGTTTACTATTCTTATTACTTAATTTAGTCGTCCTAAGGCATAAATAATCAGGAAAGATGGTTATTTTTATGAGTATGATCCATTAACAGACACATTTTGGGATATTTAGAATAATTAAAAGTATATTAAAGCAATTTCTTTCATTGTTGGTAGATTTTTGTCTCTATGGCTGAGGTTTTAGCTATCTATACCAATGTGAAACCTCTTATCTTAGAAGCATTTAAATTTTTTGTTACAAATTAAACAAAAGTCATTAAAAATGGTTTAATTAATTATAAATAAATGGAAATAAATTTATTCTCTACTGTATGCTTTATTATAACTGTACGCTCAATGTTTACAGATATGTCCTTCTTACCCAAAAGCAGTTGTTGTACCTAAAGCTATAGACGATGAAACATTAATTGCTGCTTCTCGATTTAGAGAAGGAGGTCGTTTTCCTGTACTGAGTTACCGACATGAATGTGGGGTAAGAAAGATTCCTCAGTTATTAAATGTTTGAAAAAACAGGAAAAGTTTTCTTATTTTATCAAGTGATACTGTTTCTCTCTCTTTTTTTAATAGTAATAGGCCTCGCCTAATTAAGGGTGTATTGGTCTAGTAGAGCAGCTGTATTGAGAAGAGGGGTGAGGGACTGAGCTGGCCAACCACAGTTGAAATAGAGGCTCTGATTAGAGAATCAGTTTCTTAAAAGATTTTTGAGAATCGATTTTCATTAATTTTTAACTGAACATTCTTTGTCACTATCTGATTCAGGTTTTTCTTGCTGATCTACTAGAAATGAAATTAAGAAATCTTAAAACTCAATTCCTTTTCTTTTTTTCTAACAATATTTGTAATTTTTTAAAATTTATTTATACAATGGTTATATCTGTGACAAATTTTACTTTAAATTGTATTGAAAATTAAATTATTTAATTAAATCTGAATTAGGCTCTTAGTGAGTTAGTGTAAATACTGAAAAAAAAAAACCAAAAAAAAAAAAACCAATACTTCCCCTTCTTCATTCTCGACAATAATTTAATTTGAAAAAAAAAATCTCACACAGCTAGCTCCTTAATTGATCTACCGCTTCAATTCTATGTTGTTGTTTTTATTCCATTTAAAAAGGTGACTTTTATCCATTGGAATTTGCTGGTTGCAGGCAGCGTTGCTGAGAAGTAGCCAGCCCCAACCTGGACCCAATAACAAGAGGTGTAGGGAAGATGAGAGGTTAATCAATTGTGTACTCGCAGGTGGAAAGCGAGGTTTTATTGTTGATACTAGAACGCTCAATCTAGCCCAAACAGCGAAGGTAATATAACTCAGAACATTTCTACCACCTTAATGTCAAAGAAGGGTCAGATGGAATGATTATTATAATAAAATATTTAGTAAATAATGGCATTCTCTCTAGTAGCTTGTTTAAGTTTTACTCGTTCTCACCTCAAGGAAGATAAATGTCTGATGGGTCTTTCATCAAAATCTTCCAAGTTTTATTATTCAAATTTCATTTGATATTTCCCATAGAGTTCTTAAATTTCACTGTTTTTTAAATGGTTAATTGACCATTGATATAACAACTGCTAAAGAAGAGAAAAAAACATTAATTATGTAACGACTTTTTAAATCAGTAGATTTAAAAATAAGTGTAAATTTCACCTTCTTTTTTTTTCAGTCTCGCGGAGGAGGTTATGAAATAGAAATTTATTATCCCCAATGGAAGCGTATTAACAACCCAATTGACAAAGTCAGTAATCTTCTTGATTCACTTACTAAGCTAGTGGATGGTAGGTGCACTTAATATTTACCAAGCACTTTTAAGATTACATTTTTTATATATTTTTTTATTTAAATAATATAAACATGAAATCTGACATTAACACGTTCACTGCCGAGTGACAGTTTAAATAACGGTTCCACCACATCTTTTCCCAAAGTCAGATACTTTAAAAAAATATGAAAATACTATGATTTTGATCCTATTTGGCTTAGTAGGTAAAACAAAAACGTTCTACGAATTGACATGTAGGTGGCACCTATTAAATAACCCAGCAGTGAATGTGTTAATATATATTAATCTTCATCAATTATAATGTATATTAAACATTTGTCTTACTTTTAAAAGGAGATGTTAGATCTGAAACATGAATTTCTATCTCTATCCCACATCTGGCCAATCTAAAAAGGCTGTGGGGTGAACTTTAGATAAACGTACTTTTCAATATGTGGTGCGGTCCATGCATCACACAACTTTCACTTAATTCCTTACTTCGTGTAGAAATCCAGGCAAACAGTCGAATTTGTTTTTTTGACAGATTTTATGACAAACAAAGGTTTTTAAAAAGAGTCGAATTATAGAAAATCTAATACTTAACTTTATTATTGACTTAATTCAACAGCAATGAAAATGGATAACAAATAGTATCTAATGGGTTAACTCACATCCTTATGAAGTAGTGATTCCAACACACCTAGCAGATCCTGAGGGTCAGAATATAATCAGACAGTCTGACATTTCATTTTACCATTTTAGGGTTAAAGTTAATATCTTATAAAATAAAATATTTTCTAGAATATTTGGAATAAAGGAGGGTATAGAAACTGATATTTTTAATAAATCAACTCCTTTAGTTAATTATTTTATTCCATCATTTATAATTATCAATTTGTGTTTCTACTAACAATAAGACACTGTCAGTTATTTTGAATAAAGAAAATTTGAGGTACTTTATAGGAAGCCATTTTGAAAACTTTCAGTCCGTATTTAATCTTCTCCTTTATTTAATTGTAAACTTCTTTTTTGGTTTATATTAATATTTTTTATATGTTCTTCTTAGTATTAATGAAATACAGTTAATCATTTAAACTAAACAAAAGCAGAGGCAAAAGAAGAAACTTTGAAAATTCAGTATTTAAGCTCTATCAGATACCTATCTGATATTAAAATATCAATTAATTATACATTGATGTAATGAGTTTAATAAAAAAATTTAGTGCTGTTTTCAAGAAAATGATAAAAATATGTAAAATCAATGACACTTTCGGTAGTAGATTTTTGGTTATAAATTGCTTTAACATCCCGGTTATGTGTCTACCTTAAATCCTTAATTTCAGTTTTGTACAGATTTTCGTTTTTGAGTGAGGGTCTTCACAGATTCACTTAACAAACTAATTTATTATTTAATTATTAGTACTTGCTATTAACACTAGTTGTCTGCATGACTAAAATTCGTCGTTTATATATTGCAGAAAATAATTGATTCTTGTTTGTTTGTTGGGACTTTAAGGCGTAAAACTTCAAGGTCATTGACGTCTGTAAATTACTTTTGTTTATTGCTCACCTGAATTTAATTGATTCTCGTTCTTTTAATTCTAAATAAATTAAATTTAATTTTTACCAAACAGATAAAGAGAGGTCGGCAATTTGTGAATGGTGGTGCAAAAAATTACCAGACAAATATGTGTTTATTAACGACACAAATGACATTTATATGATTTTTGAAAACCATACAAAAAAACTATTTAGTATTAAAAATTTCAAAAATAAAAGTCTACCAAAAAGTATGTAGCATAATAAACAATCAATCTTTACTCTATTTATGTAATGTGTTTTCTTGCATGAAAAGATGTGTCTATAAACAATTTACCCATTTTTTAAATCCAATAATGTATTATATACATAATAATACTTTATTAAATTTTGAAAATGTATTATATACATAATAATACTTTATTAAATTTTGAAAATGTATTTTAGCTTGTAATGACCCCTCACTTTCATCTGACAAGTGGCTCTCTAAACTTGATGGAAGTAATTGGATGACTTATCTCAAAGATTCGTTGAATTGTGCTTGCCTAGTTGCTCAGTTTCTCGATCAGGTGATTAGCATTTTCTTATATTATTTCATTATCTTTTGAATTTATTTAAGAATTACAAACTATTTTACAATTTATTATAAAAATAATCTTTAATATATGATTGTGCTTAACTTGTAGTGATCGCTTTCAGGAGGGTGCTTCGGTTTTGGTTCATGGTGCGGAAGGAACTGATGCGACTTTACTGGTTACTTCTCTGACCCAAATTATATTAAATCCGGACTGTAGAACTGTGAGAGGGTAATTTTTTCACTTTGAAATAGCATATATATTAATTAATATATACAACATATTAATTTTATTAATTGAATTGAAATAAGTGTGTATGTACCTGAGAAAATTGAAAAAAACTTTTACTTACAAATAATTTTTCTTTTTTCACTTAATAGAAACGTCACTAGAACAGTTTGTAATAACTATCAGAGAATCTCATTTCTTTCAGTTTAATCATTTATAAATATTATCAGAAAAGTATATGATACCCTCAATGTGTGTAAAATACTGGGGAGAGGGGGAGGATACATACTGTTTGACCTAGAGCCCTTTTCTTGAATAAAAGAATAATCCATAAAGGTATTTTGTGAGGAGATTTAAAAAAAATGTTTGAAAATTTATACAGTTAGCCGTTATTTTATTTTATTAAACATATATCTGTGTAGGGGCAGGCAATAGATTTTAGTTGGTTAGTAATTGAATTTAATAACATGTTTGAAATATAAAAAGGGGCTGATCTCATACCATGAATAATGTTAACTTTTATCTTCCATATGACACCCCTAGCCGCTTCTTTAATTGTCGTTCTCCTTTAGATTAGCAATGCCATTTTCCCCTCAGGAACCAAGCGTCTTGCTCTCTGGCTGTGTGCAGGTGAGTAAGGTAGAGTGGGGGGAGGGGGGGTCACTTGCTGGTTACCTGGACATGAGTTAATTTGTACAGGCGATTTCGCATCTGATAATATGTGGTCGTTTTTGGGAGGGGGACAAATAAATGAGACTATGGGGCCCAATCATAATAATAGACAAAATAGAAAAAGAAAAATATATAATAAATCAACACGGATGTAAATCTAAATCCGAGTGTGTTTTCAGTTATAATATTGACTGAATATTTTATATCTGTTATATATATGAATTATTTTTATTATTATACTTAGTTTACAGCTATTAGCTAATATTACTATTGTGAAATGAAATAAAGAACAATATAGGAAATTTTTCAAATAAATAAAATACCTGTTCCTATATTTTCTTCTAATACGAGTATTATCTATCTGCTAAATGGATCCTGCAGAAGGATTTCGCTTAAACTTGTAGAATAAGGATTTTAAGGAGAAATCTATTAGTTCCATAATTTATTATCTGAAAAATGTTGATGAAAAAGAGTCATGAGAAACGTCTTTCATTAAACATGAGTAATGAACTGCAGTAATTATTCCAGTCAAATCTCTTTAAAAGAAGTATCTCATTAATAATGTTTATATATTTTTATGCCATTGGAAGTATGAGAAATAGATCATATGTACATCCGAGATCTATAACTTAACTAATAGTAATATGTCAATTAAATTATGATCTATGCGTTTTAATTTTAACTTGATTAGGTGGATGGCATGTAGGCAGTTTTCTTTGTGGTGTTAACTTAGAATGTATGGATTTTAATTACCCTCATTATTATTTCTAATAAATGTGAATGTATCAGTAAAGGTTTGCCTGTTGTGATGTGAAAGTTTATAAATAATTTCAGTATTCTTTTTGGTTTACTAACTGTTTTGTCATTATAGGTTAGAAACAAATATCGTAAATTTATCATCCTGTTACAGGAATATTATTTTTGTTATTTAATCTATGTTGCTAACTAATTTCACAATATGAACTTCAAATCTTTAAAACTTTTATCATAATTAATTTAATTTGCTTATCTTGAAAACTTGTACACTGTTTTCATAAATTAAAGTTATTTATGATCATTAGGTGTTATGCATTATGATTTCTTTTAATTTTCTTTTTGAACTAAAATCACCATTTTTTATTTTTATTTTGTGACTTTCACTTAATTTGGTCTACTTTTATTTTCAAGGTTTGAAGCTGTTATTGAGAGAGAATGGATTCAAGCTGGTTATCCATTTACGAAGCGTCATGCTCATTCTGCATTTTGTCCACCGCAGTTAAGGGCAAAATCAATCGCTCCTACATTCCTGCTCTTTTTGGACTGTGTTTACCAGATACATTACCAGTTTCCTTCTAGTTTTGAATTTTTACCTACTTTTCTAATTTCTCTCTTTGAGAATTCATACTACTCTCAATTCGGTATGCATATGTGTATATTTTTTTAATTTATTGAATAAATGGTTGAAATATTTATATTTTTCTTCCCTTTCTCACCTTTAAAGCTGTGTGGATTTTTTTCCCTGGCCAAGAGAAAGGGAAGAGGAATCATGCCAGTGTTTAAAGTCCCTCCCCATTGGGATTCGAACTCATAATCTTTGGTTTATCAGGTTGCCAGGCAATGCGTGTTTTACACATTCATTAGGCCACGCAGCCGCTCCCTCCTCCTTCCTCTCCCCAATAGTTGAAATATAGCTATCAAGAGTTTTACTGTTATAAGATTGCTAATTTACATTATTACACCATATCAATGTTGTGTTGTTTACATTACATAACTCCTTAAAGACTAGTCTTAGGATTATTCATTTTTTTTTTTTTTAATTTGATAAAATAAAGGAGGAATGTTAGAAATAGGGAATGACCATATTAGATATGTATTTTTATATCTCTCTATTATATAAACAAGTTTTTACTGTATGTCACATTTTATTTTATTCTAGTATTAGCTGACATACCTTCATAGGATTTTTTTTTCTTGTTTTGAGATCCTTAATCATATTTTCAGTTTGGCTACTTAACCCTGAAATACCCTGTATTATAATATTATTTATATTATATTGTGATATAATTATAATTATTATGAAATAGAAAAGGAAGCATAATTATCGAACAATGAAAATATTATAAATAAAAGGCCTAAATTATTGTTGGGTTTATATGAAACTGGACAAGTTGAATATATATTATGGTTACAAATTGGAAATAAGAATAATTGCAATTATATAATAATATAAATTGGCAGTAAGACGTGATGTATGATATGGATTTTTAAAGAAATTGAAAATATGTCCGAACTGTGGTTTCGTTCAGTTTATTTTATGTTGACCAAAAATAATACAATCTGAACTACAGAATACATGTAAATTAAAGTTACACAACTTGAGCAACGAGTAGTACAATTAAATAAACAGTTTTATAATTTTGAAAATGGAGGTTGGTCTACCTATAGTGGGTAACCCCCTAGTTAAAAGATATTTATTCGCTCGCCCTAATATTTAAACCTTTTTAAAAGATATAACTTCTGTAAATATTTAAATATACTTTGTACAAATTTACACCGTTTTGTTTTTATTTTTAAGGTACTTTTATTGGAAACAACGAAATGGAAAGGGAAAAATTTGGAGTGAAAGAGAATACAGCTAGCTTGTGGTCTTACATTAATCGTCCAGAAATATTGCAGACAATATTAAATCCATTGTATGAACCAAATAATAGTGTCATATGGCCTTCTGTCGCTCCAATGAGTTTGGTTTGTTAATTAGTTTACTCTTTATTTTTATTTTTTTGTTGTATTATAGCTAACAATTTTTTTTTTTTTTTTTCAGAATTTATGGTCAGGAATGTACCTGAGATGGATTATAGACCAGAAGCCAGACCAGGAAATGTGGAATGCTATAGTTAAACTAAAGGACAAAGAAAAGGAATTGAGAGGAGAGGCAGGTAGGTTGCGAAGGCAAGTCGAGGAATCAAACCATGCTCACTCTTCAGCGGAATTGCAGATGTCATCTTTATCGTTAGATGCTGGCCCAAGTTGACAAAAGCCAGGTTAGTTTTTGTTAACTTAATATCTGTTCTCTCTACTTCGAATGAATTAATGAGCATCTTTCAAATTCATCTCTTTTATTTAAATTGTAGAAAAAATATTAAAATTCTAAATTTAACATTTTCGTTATGATTATAAAATTAGTGAAAATTTTCTTATTTTCAAACATCTTCACTTAAAAATGTTTGATTAAACAGCACTATTATACTTAGGTTTGATAAAGAATTATAATTTTTTCTATATTTTTTTTAGTAGTTGTTACATTTTTATAAGTAATTTGATTTTCTTTATGTATTTTAGAAATTTCCTGCAAGTTCTGCTCAAATTTTTATAAAGCTAAAGTTACTTGATCATGAGCAGACTTATCCAAAGCAGCCAAAGATTTATAGAATCTTCGTGATTAAATCTTAACAGAAACTTCAAGACTTAAATTTTAATTAACACATCTGGATGAACTGAAATAGGTATCATGAAGGCAAATAATATTTCTGTAGATATATTTGTCATTAAATTTATAATCACTGTTAATAAATATATACCCTTTTTATATAATTGTTATATGCAACAAGCAATGTTTCCTTTCCTTTATCTCATTGTGTTTTCCCGTCCTTTCTTCACATCGTTTTAGATTTTATTGATCAAATTTATAGTATAGTCTCTCTCTCTCTTAATTTTTACGTGCTTGTGAAATAAAGTGTCTGATAAATAAAGTATTTATTTACATATGTTTTTATATTTGTTTGTTATTATTTAATAAATGAAATGTTTAGTACAAAATAAAAATAATAATTTTCATATTATTGTTGTATCGACCTATTTCCATATTCTGTTTTTTTGTGTTGTATGTTGTTTTTATAATTATTTAATTAAAATATCTTTGTTGTTATCAGTATTGTATCAATATGATATGATTAAAATTAAAATCAAATTTGATATTGTTTTTTTGAATAAATAAAAACTTGTGTTTGGATTATTTATCCCTGTGAAGACTAAATTTGATGTCAGTTACCTAAGTGATTTAAACGAATATGCAGTTAACTAGAAAGAAGCAAGCAGAAATGAATAAGGCTGCATAAGGTGGCAAGAGATCTACAATGTCTTTAATCCCAACAGAAACAAAAATTAATTTGACTATTGCTGTTCATTAATGTTTTTACTTGTATTGTGTTTCCTGATTTTCTTTCTCTCGAGATTTTTCAAGTTCATTCAAAATAAAAGAATTATTAATTCTATCAGATTAAAAATGATTTTAAATTTAGTTATTTCTTTTTCATAATAATGAATTATCTTAATATGAGTGACCAAAAAAAAAAAAAAAAGTTTGGATGTAAATGGAAGCCTTATGTCTCTAATACAGCTACAAGCAGTTAGCAGTTTACCAATTTAGACTAATATTAAAGGCCTGTATTTGTGAAAGGTTAGTAATTTATTGAATCTTCTAATTAATTCGCCTAATTTTATTATGATTTCAGTGGTATCAGTTATGTCATTTAAAAATCAGAATATTATTCTGTTTTAGATATAATTTGCTATTTTTCATAACATATAACATAGGTAAGTATATGTACATATATAATTTTTTGGAATCCAGTTTCAAAATCTAGATTATATACTTGATCAAAATTACCAACAGTGGCAGGTTTGCTGTTAGTATTTCAACATTTTAAAAGAAACTAATTACAAAATAAACCCTAATTTCCCCAAAGTTATATTCATTGTTCTTCCATTGGTTTAAAAACTTTGAACTGGCTATGCCTTTACATATTAATGTTAAGAAGTTAAAACGTATTTAATATATTGATTTGCATTTAAACATAATAATTTCTTCTTGTTTAGTTTTCTTATCATAAGTTATGCTTGATTAGTTTAATATTCACCATAAAATAAAAGGATGGTTAGGAATGGATTAATAATTATTAATGCTGAAACATTATTTACAGTGTTTACAATAAAAACTGAATATCTGAAGATATTGCTGAAAATAAAATGATGTTGATTCAATTTTTACTAATAATTGATAAATATTTTAATAATTGTAAGAATACAATAGTGAATCTGTGTAATTTCTCATTGAAAATAGTAAACCGATGGATGTAATGTTAGTCAGAAATAATAAATGTAATTGAGATCGATTAGAGTTGTTTAAATATTTTAGATGAATGGACCATCAAGAGGAATAGTGCAGTTCCTAGCATTGACAAATAGTTCCAAAATTCATTGACTAGGAAATATGTAAAAAAATAATAGGATGGAATAGATTCTATTGATTAAATTAGATTTTTCCTGTTATTTAAATTCTCCTTCTCTCTCTTTTTTATATATATAAATATGTGTGTGTGTATAGATATACATATACATATATACTCATATCCAGTATGAGTGTGTATATTTTGTTTTTTTCGGTATTCCTGTTTTAATAAAGAATGGTTTACTCATTATTTTCCTTTTGTGTAGCACTATCAATTTTTATCTCCTTCATTTTAAGTTGAAAATGGTTCGAAACAGTCAACTTAAAAGATGATTTGGGAAGGAGCCCCACATGATATGTAAAGGTTGGCAATTCAAACTCCAGCTGCCAGGGGTACCTGAGGTAGAGTAGAGGTGGAGGGGGGGGGGGTGCAGGTGGCCACTCCGGCTGGAATTTGACCTTGGCTCCGAGGATTGTTCCGACCACTCGTTCTCAACAGTCCAAAGCAAGTCGGTTCATATCCTACCTTACAAGAGGTTCATCATCCTCCTCTTCCTAACAGTTCTGTCCCGATCCTTCATGTGATAAAATGGGATGAACCGATTAAAAGAATAAAAATACCTTATGCGCTAAGACGACTCGTGATTATATAAACTATACCACATCTTTTAATTTTCGATCCTCTTTGAACAAGTCTATCATAGAACAAAACACTAAAGAGCTCCATTGATCTCAAGCATGACCCAAACGTTCAAGGAAATCACCAGGATCACACTGTGGATGTGATCTGTCAAAAGCGGAAGGCTGTACAAACGAATGAATTTTTTACCTCTTGGTTGAGTCCCTTAGCCATACAATTCGAATTCTTTCGTACAGAAATTTTAGTATTTAACTTAACAACAGAACTTGACTTATTTATCATTGAGCCATGACAGTTCATCACAACTATCAAAATAAATACTTTTTTTGTATATTTTTTAAGTACTTAACTTCAAATTTAAATTTAGATGAATTATTGATGGATCCATTCAATCACTGAAAGGATTTGGTTTTATTTGAATGTACACATTATTTCTTGTTATAAACGAAGGCTTTTAATACTAATAGTATAATAGAGAGAAAAAGAATGCGGTTGAATTTATATGTTAAATAAATTTAAAATTCTCTTAATTAGTTACTTAGATATTAGTAGTTTCTGAACCAAACATTCAAAAACCCATAGCTCCTAAAATGCGGGGCTGCGGTGAATTATGAATAGCCCATTACTGAATGACGAACTTCGTTCAAATGTTCATTGAATGACTTGAAGTATGGCAGAGAACTTAATCACTTCACGCTCTGCAAATGTTTGCCATTCTCAAGAACTTCCATTAGTGTCTATAAATGGTTTGTGATTTCAGTGATGTGGTATGCCTGCTTTATTGTTTGGCTTCTTATACCCTTCTGTAGACTGTCCAAAGAGGTTCCACTTAATTCATTTCTGTAAAGATTTACTGAAGGTAAACGAATATTTAATTAAAGAAACCACTGCCTGTTACATCCTTAACTACTCAAGAACTAAGGTACTAATTAATTAAAAAAAAATAAGGGTACAACATTTTTTTTTCGATGCAGCTCTCATAAAGTGGACTATTTTCGTTGAAACTTTGTGAAGAATGACTATTGATTCGAGAAAATGTCTGTGGTGCGGTGATATAACAGTCAGAATAAATATATCCATTGTCTAATAAATCAAAATCTATCTTGAATGATTCTTGAAGTGTCATCCCTTTTGATTTTTTTTTTTAATTTATTGGAAAGTGGTTATATTTTGACAGTACGATAAATCAAGAAGATAGTCAGTCCAACTGCCTGTTGACGCCTGCTAGTCTGCTTGTTTCCATCCTTGATGATGTGGGTCGAACCGTTGGTGTTAAATTAATAGGTATTACTATTTGATGCTTTTTTTTCGATTCAACTACCATTGCCGTCTCGCAAAAGTAATAACAAGCAATCAAATTTGTGATAAACCAGTGTGATTACTCGTAAATTTCCTTAAATAATAAAATTAACATGAAGTTCTGAAAACCCTCTTGGAACAAGGATATTTCAATAGAATATTTGAATGTCCAAAAAGTTGAAAAATTCAAAATTATACTCTTAACTGCGAACATTGTGATGAGCAGTAGCGGATTCAACAGGGGAGAGATTTCGTTCCAATTATTAAAATTCTGAAATTCTGTTAAACTTATTGAAATAGTAAAAGTTTGTTGAAACAATTAAAAATGAGTTGAAACTATTGATTTTGTTGGTGAACTTTATATTCTACTCCTCCCCCCCAAAACAAAAAAAAAAAAAATTCTAGCTATGTCGCGGTCAAGGAAAGTTTATTTTATGTTAAAGAAGATAACAATATTCTTGCTGAATCGATGAGTTATTGAAGTTCATTAAATTTGGAAGGTCTACAACGCAATAGCTTTTCATCGATGTGTTAAACTGGACAGGAAAGGATATTTCTTGAGACCGTGGCTACAAGTTCTTTTGTAAAAGGCAGGATCAGAACTGTGGTTTTGGTGAGATAAACTGAATTTTGCAGCCTTATCTCTTCTTTCACTCCCTCCTCCCGTATAAAAGTCAAATATATAGTTACCATTAATCAGTACTGCCAATAATATATTTCAAAATAAATATCATCATTGCATAACATTAACTTATTTTATTAAGTGAATTAAGGTCAAAAAAGAATCCTGAAACAAATAAAATTTCCATTGGAATTCGCTGCCACCTAAATTCTGCCGCTCGACAAAGCGCCACTTTTGGCTCCTTCTCCTCCCCCCCATACTACTTTAAGCCTTACTGTTAGGTATTGATAAACTTATTATAAATTTTTTGATGTAATAGACAACAATAAACAATTAATGTTCTCTTACAAACTATTATTTTTAAATATCAGATGTCTCAGACTTATTGATATTGATAGCAGTGGATACGTCCCCCTTCTCATTCAAACAACCAGATGGCATGGGCAGAGCAACGCAGTTTAATTTGCAGATGGTCCCATCCCATACTTACATACGCCAGTACCACGGAGGAGTCTTTGAATTTTCCTTAGACGGAAATGTGGGAGGATAGCAAGTCATTAACCGGGGCCGGGTGGCAGAAGAGGGGGCGCCGGAAACCAGTTCTCGACCGCCATCTTGTCACGTCACAGCCTTTCACTCACTGTCTCTATATTAGCTGGCTATAAAATCTTGAGCTTGGTCTCTCTTCGCCCTTCGGTCCAAACCGATCCTCCTCTAGGGTTTGTGCAGCTCTGCTCGGGGAGATCAGTTAAGCTCTTCTGGATGGTTGGATGCATAGGCTTCATTTCCATAAATTCACCAACATATTTTTTTAATTGTACCTTAAGAAAATCATTTTCTCTCTGGAATCTTTGTATCCTATATTTTTGAAAGAAAAACGAAGGGCGAATAACGTGCATTCCGAAATATATTAATATATTACAAAACAAGAATTCAAATTGTCGGGATCTAAGAAATTTTTTAAAATTTATTTTTGATATTTCTTGATACAATTTATAGCCAAGAAGATCAAAATTCATTCTCGTCCAATTAGGACTAATTTATAACGATGAACGAGAGTTATTGTGCCGCGATGGTCGGGTTGGTACAGGGCTGGCTGGAACAAGGGTTTTTTTCTAGTAGGGGCAATCTCGATTTTGCCGCCCCTTCTTTTTTACCCTACCCTCTCCAGTAAAATTCCACTGCCTTATGATAGTATCTTTAAAACAATTTATTTATTTAAATTTACAACTTTATTCGTAAAATAGTAAAGGTGAAGTTATAATATTGAATAAAACCTGATATCACTTGCGAAAGAACTATCCATTGGTAGTACTTCAATAACTACTTGAAGTTAGGAGGTTTCGTGGCCATCTTGTTTATATAGGCATCGGAGGATTACCGGGAATGTAATGGGATGAATGATTACGAACTAGTGGATTAGTGTAGCTAAGGAGTTTTTTAATGAAGGAATATCTATTTCCGGCCAAATCTGCAACAAATGGAATACCTAGGTCTCGAATAATTTTGTTTGTTGCATAATAAGGAGCATGGATGATTTTTGATTGGAAGGATTCGATATGTCCAAATAGGCCTGATAATAATAATGTGGATGGGCTTTTTGTACTGAATTGAAAGTTTGCAGCGTTTTTTCAAGTAAGTGTTGCAGTAGCCGAAATCTAAGAGCTGTTCGTAGACATTACAGCGTTGTATGAGAATTCCAGTTGAGGCGCTTGTCAAGATGGAGTCCTAGGTAGCAGCTCTGTTCGACAGGGATTAGTAGAATATTATCAGAGGATGCTGTAGGACAAGATGTTGTGAGTTGATGCCTCAAGGTAAAGGTGGTGTGATGGGATTTGTCAGGATTAATTTTAATTTTCAGTTGTGACACCATTCTTCAAGGGCTGTTGTGTGTATGTAACAGTATTTTATCTGGTATATTTCAAAATAAATATTATAAAATAAATTTACTTCATTGATTGTATTAAGATCAAAATAACCTGAAAGCTGAAACGAATATTTTTTTATTTAATCTAAAAACACGATTTCGTTCGAACTTTGCAGCCCCCAAAATTGTACCAACCGAAGCAAGTGCCTTGGTATCCTCCCCCTTCTTTTTTAGTCATTTATTTTGTAGTCTGAAACTTCTATAATTATTGTGCTACTTTGAAAAATTGCAGAGGAAAATAAAATATGAAATAATATTCATAAATCATAAAGAAACAACCAATATTGTTTACAATCAGTAGCGATGTGGTAATTGTTTAAGTATTTAGCTTAGATAGCTCACATAAACAAGTAGGGATCGATGAAAAAAAAAGAAATAAATATTTTTCCATTTTGAGAAGAGTTTCGGCTGTGGGTTTGCTTATATTAGGCTAAATTAGAATACGGAGTTGTGAATTTTCTTTATCAATTGTGTCATTAAAAGTTTTTATTACGGAGTTACATCCTTGTAAGTCAATATGTCCTCTTATAAAAAGTATATCAGCATCGACATAATCGGAGTGGAGCTGGTACAAATGTTTATTTTTACGTGAGTATCAAAGATCCGTGTCTGAAATAAAAAATACGAAGGCACTTATTTGTTTCCATAAACCATTACTCGGTCAGTCATGATATACATTGGTACTTCGGGTTGAAATTCGGGTTTTGAACTATTTGAAAATTTTGTTAATAATTTAATTTTTAAATGATTATTTTTGACATATTTTAGGAAATTAGTCGGACCATATTGAGGGTTAAAACAATTTCAGTCTCGTTTCTGTTTTTCAAAAAACCAACAGATTCACCAGGAACTATGTTACTTATGGTGGGGTTTATTTTACTTTTCCTCCCACCAGATGGCGCTCTTAGGTATAATCGACATGGGGTTCCTTATAACTAGGTATCTTTGTTTTATATTCTTTGACACTCCTAAGGTAATCAATAAGAGAACAATGAGAAATGGAAGACAAGTAAATACGTCAAATCATCAATCCAGGATCTGCACATTAATGCAGTAGCGAATTCAGGATTTAATTTTTTTTTTTAACTTTATATGACAGTAAATTTTTCTGGAAGAAAAAAAAATGCTTTTGAAGATAATTTTTTAATATTTTTCTCGAGACTTACATTTAGGAGCTGTAATTATAATGTATGCATTATAACTTTAAAAGAGAACGTATTGCTACTGTTAGTGCAAGAAGATCGTATGTAAAAATTTTACATTTTTATTCTATTTGTGCTAATGGTGACATTTTTTAGTCTGCAACTACTTAACGTAATCTAAAACTTTGGAAAATTGCAGAGTAAAATACAATATGAAATTATACTCTTAAATGATAAAGAAACAACAGTTATTATGCTCTCCTGTAAAACACTCAATTTTTATATACGATTTTTTGACTATCAATATGATTATTGTTTCAGTATATTGCTTAGATCACTCATATTAACAAGTATGGACCGTTGAAAAACAATTTTTTTTTCATTTTGAGGAGAGCTTTAGCTTGAAAGTGTCCCCTCTCCCCTAAGATCCTATGCATTGGTAGCTTTTTGTCCAATTTTACGGCATAATATTTGTAGTAACATTTATCTTAGGATGTGATTAGAGGTTGGAGGAAGAGATTATGGTATCATGCACAGTTTTCAGTCAAAATGCTTAGATATTGCTTCAATGTTTGAAGGAACGGATTATACCTAATAAGAAAACCGCTTTGTTATTATAATTAGGCTTATTGTAAAATATATTTCCGTTTAATGTTTAAGGAAAGGCCTTTCGGTAATATATACATAATATATTTTACATTTAAAAATATTGAAAGTGAAAAGATAACAATTGTCATCATTAGTTTAGTAATTATATCAATGAATAATCCATTAATTAAATGTAAATTAGCAAAAGTGTGACGCAATAGTTTTATGTATCTAGTTCTGCCATAAATACTGTTACAAAAGTTGAATTTTGTTTATACCCTTGGGTATTATTTAGATAATTCTTACCTCTATCATGTTATTTTCTTTACATGTCAGGATAATAATCCTAATTAGTTTGTATTTTTCTTTCGCTCAGTTAACATGGAGTGATGCGATAAAGAAAACCGAATAGCTGTGATCGCCTTACACAATGTTGGAAAACGTAGGTCAGAGATTTTCAAAACTTTGAAACTTTGGATATCAGCCGTATGTTCGTGTACCGCACTATAAATAGATATAATGAGATCCTATCTGTATTTGACAGACCTCGAGCGTCCCCGTACTGTGAGAACGGGAAATGCAGTGAGAGCAGTGGCTGCTCGAATCAGAAGAAATCCCATTCGAATACAACAAATCATGTCTCGGGAAATGGGAATCTATGTCAGACCACTACCAGGCATAGTAAAAGTGACCTTAGGATGCGTGTATTTCGAAGAATGGCTGGACAAAGGCTTCCCTAAAAAAAATTTGAGTGGATAGATGCAAAGTGCTCCTTGGCCGTTATACCAATGGTCTTCATCGAAAGATTTCGTTTAGTTAAGAAAATGTTTACAATTGAAGAAAAATTCAACCGCCAAAATGATCGTATGCACGCACGCAGCTCTAAAGAAGCCCAGGAAGTCATTGGAAGAGTGGACAGAGGTCATCACCCTTCCTCAGTGATGGTTTGGTGAAGAGTTTGCTTTGATGGCACCACAAAGCTCATTTTTTGAGAAAAAGGAGTTAAAACAGCTGTTAAAAACTATCAGAACGTTATTTTGGAACTTGTTGTCAAGCCTCTAAATGATACTCTGCTGGAATTCTTTGGGTTTTTCAGCAAGACTCCGCTCCAGCTCACTAGGCCAGTTTTCAACTCAGCATTGGTTACAAAAGAACATTCCAGAGTTCATCTCTACCTCGAATTGGCCCTCAGAAAGCCCTGATTATCAGCTTTGGTCCAAACTGGAGAGGATGGCATGCTACAGAGCACACCCTAACTTGGAAAGCCTAAAAAAGTCTCTGGTCCGAGTAGTTGAGCGCTTTTCTCGAGTGCTGCGTGCTGCTATCGATGACTGGCCACGGAGATTAAATGCCTGTATCGATAGAAAAGGGGGACTTATTGAGTAATTTCTTTTTTTGTTTTAATCCCTATAGGTATACATTATATTTTCTAATAAAGTTTTTGAAAAAAATAATTTTTCTGTTGAAATCTGTATATATTTTCATGTAACAATATTTATGACAGGACTAGGTAGAATAAATAACACCTGAAATACCTTAATCCAAATTCCCTTAATTTCCTTTTTACAGAATTATTAAAATTATTCTATGTTTTACAGCCGCTATGTCATTTGAATGAAGATATTTATTTATTTGAATGACCTATTTGTGTATTTTATTTATTTGTTTCGAACAGATAAACTTTGATAGACTAGAAATGGATTCATAAGCTTCCATTGGAACAATATTAAGAGCGGGAAGTTGGGGGAAGGATGGATTCAGGGTGGTAGCTTGCAAAATGGCGCATCACCTCCAAGAAGGTGTTTGGACTAAATTCAAGAAACATAGTGGATATGTCTATTAGATTAATTATTGACTGTTCTACATTTTACGGGTGATAAATAGTCAGAATGTTTCTAAGATTTTAATTTTTATTAACGTTTCAGCCCAAGCTTTATTAAACGTTGGCAAAAAGAAAAAGAAAAATCTTAAAAACTGATTATTTATCATCCATTAATTAATTAATAAACACTTAAATTCAATTCAGTATCAAATGTCACGTCTTATATTTACTAATAATAATTTATTGAGTAGATTTTCACACTTAACTAATCTTGAATATTGAAAAATATTACAATCTGTCTCAAAGACAACATTTGTTAGATGGTGCTTAATGCATTATTTAAAATATCCATCAATTAATTAATAGTAACAATTAAATACATATTTTGAAATCTTTCATAAAATATAACTAGCCAAAATATTATTTAAAAGATAAAAATGTAATTGCCTTATTGTTTATATTTAAAATCTCAATATTAGATCTTGAGCGTATGCAGATGAGAACAAAGTGGGACAGATCCCTCCTTTACAACGCAGAAAAAAATGCAAAATGACGTAGTGATAAATATTAACTAATTCATGAATAATTTATTAATAGCGACTAATTGGTTGTTAAAAAATTAATATTATGGCAAAATATAACATCAGTTAGCAATGCTTAATTTATTTATTAATTTCAATTGATCCCGAAAGGAAAATAAAAAGAGCACATATTGTGGTCGTTTAAGTATTTAACTCATGTCATTCGCAGAAAAAAAAAATGGACCAATAAAAAGTAATATATTTTGGGAGCTTCGGTCCGTCGATCAAGCCCCCTCTCCAGAGGATTTGGCATTGCACAGAAGAAAATGGTATGAAGCTATCCTGCGAAGGTATGCATCAAAGAAGAGAATTGGAATAGGGAACGAAGAAGGTGTGCTGGAATGGAGAATATTACAGGGCTTAGAGAGAGGAGGGGGCTTTCAAGCAGGAGCCTCCCACAAAATGGTAAAATATAATCATGCCTTATGAAAAAATTGTCTCTAAAAGTATTATTACTTATGTAATTACATTTAATAGAACTTCAAAAATCACTAATACGTTATTTTATATAATTTCTTTATTTTTTCTACAAAATAATAATAATATATATATATAAAAAAAAGTTTTAGGGCTGAAGCCATCCCCCCCTCCAAAAAAATTAAACCATGGATCGGTTAGTGTGTCTATGTAATAAATTATGAAGGTATCACCAGGTATGTTAGCCATAAAGAGACTTTCTGTCTCCCATTTTTTTAAATTTATTTATTTGTTGATAAAATTTCTGTTTTAAATCCCATCACCAGATTTGTTTTTATTGTAAACTGTTCTTTTTGTACATAAAATGTATTTTATGCAAGATTGCCTTCTTCTTTAACAAGAAATACGGGAAATGTGTGATCAAGGTGGAGAAAAGGAGCATGTTAACTAATGGGGTATATGCAAATGTCACAGAGTTTAATGAAACAACTTTCGAACGATAGACTTGCTTTCAAAACTACGATTTCTAAGGTTTGATGTGGAAAAGGTAAAAAAAAAAAAATGATTGGCGTAGTACTGAGAAAAACTCAAGATCTTGAAGATTTGTATATAACAATTTTGTAAAAAAAAGTCTTATTTCTGATTATGTTTATTTTTATTGAAGTACAACCAGCTCGTCATGGATTCGCTTTCCTCCTTAAATATCTAAGTTATGTGATCACGCATGTTTTTGTATTCCAGCTTAATTAGTTTTGTTCTGATTGAAGAAAAGTATTGGTCACGCTAACTCCGAACAAAAAAAGTTGAATTTTTTCTATGGATTTTTTTGTTCCATCCATTTTACGAGTGAAAACATACCTATTAAGTATATATCACTACTGTTAGTACAAAAGATGGTGTGTAAAAATTTACAATTTTATTCTATATTTGATATTTTGTAGTCTGTAACTGATATAAGTACTCTGCTACTATGAAAAATATTATAGAACAATCAAATATGAAATTATACTAATACATCATGAAGAATTTATTAGTTTTTATGCTTTTCTGTAAAATAATCAATTTTTAAATACAACCTTTTGCACTAGCAGTAGCAATATTTTTTTTTTAAATCCGAATTATCAAATATGCAATCTGCAAATGCGAAACTCTTTCGCATTTTACTATTAGCTGATGAACAAAATTCGTTTATATCAAACACATTGAGGCATTACTGAATTTCCGAAAATGGCTTCTCTCAGAGATTTAATTCTCATACGAAAACATTTTAGATCTTGTAATAGAGATATTTTAGCTAATGAAAAAAATAAAAAAACGGTGAGGAAGCTATACTGATCTTAATTGACAGACGTTTTTTGTTTTATGTGTGATTATTTCATTAAAGAAAAACAAAGGTTTTATTTATATTTTTCCTAGAAGTTTATTCAATCCAATAATGATTTTCAAAGCTCTTACAAAAGATTATATAGGAATCTGTTGTACTCTTTCAGGATTGAGTCGTTCGTTAATAAATAAAAAATACCATCGATTGCACCCCCATAAGGGCTGCTAATAGAGCGGCCACCACCGATAGGGGATGATGCGGGTCACGTGACCCTCACACACCGAGATAAATGGTCTGGCAAATGTTATGCCCTTCGAGGGCCACTTCACTAAAGCCATTAATTGACTCTTTGGGACTTATCGGGGTCGAGTCTTCCCATGCCAACAATTATCTAATTTTCTTAAATAGCACAAGCTATTAATTTTTTTTATTATCACTATAAAAATATATGATTATTCCTTTCATACATACGCTTGGAATGGAATCTACGCTCTACACAAGTTTAGTTTCTCTCCTAGCTCTGCCTCTGCAAGCTGACCTTTCACCGACTTGGGGTTAACATCTGGCATTTGCAACATGGCACTCATTGCAATATTTCGCCATCCATAACTGTTCTTCTAGGAGTACCTTGGGTAGACTTCGTCCAGTGTTTGTGGAGTAAATTAAATTAAGTTTGTCTCAGTATTCCGTTGACAATTGTTTACCTTTTCTCAGGCTCATTTAGACTATTTCAAGTTTATTATTTGCAATAACAATTCAAAGTAAAATTTAATAATTTATAAAAAAAAATAAATAAATAGTATGATCTTTTACTTGAAATAAAAAATAACTGCCGAAACAATGACTTTAAACATTTATATCTTGTCTTTTACGTCTGATGAAACCCTCATAATCACGAGAGCATGTTTGATTTACAAGGAGAGGCTATAGTCAGTGCAGAGGTACGCCATCAAAATTTTCGAGGGGGGCACATTTTTACGGGGTTTTGAGTTTTTGAAGGGGACACGTTTCGACGTGGTTATGAATTTTCGAAATTATAAGGTTCAAACCAGTTGACAAGAAGAAAGCATCGAACAGACCACTGAAAGTGTAATTATATATGATCTATGATTTTTAAAATTCTACTTCAGCAGGCTATGTTTTTAAGAAGAGGAGAGCAATAAAATATTTAGGTAGGAGGGAGATGAGGCTCCTTTCGAATGATTCAAGCCCTTCAGGGCCTCCCTGCGAATGATCTTATTTTGAGGGTCTCGTCAACGAACCTATAGATTCTAAACATGAATGGCACCTGATGAAAGTAGCTGTGTAAGTTCAAATTCATTATTCGCTACCATCAGGTCCTGACTATGAGAATGATGTCATCAAAGAAGAATGGCGAGAATTGTCAAACAATCATTCCTGCTTATATATTGCATTCGTAGGAGATGTTTATAAAAGGAGATATACTGAGATATAAAAAAATTAATAAATAAAAATAAAATGACTTCAATCAATTAACTGCTGGTGGCCAACGTAATTGTATAACCCAGAAATTTTACAAGCTTACAAGCTTATTTTACAAGTTTTTGAATTTGTAGTAAGTGGTGGAATAGGAGTTGTTTGAAGGAGTTTATGGACGTGGTTTGACGTATGGAGATGGGAAAGGAGTTTCATAAGGAGGTTGCACGAACTTCTTACTGAAAGAAGTGGTTTTATGGGAGGAGATATATAAATCTATAGGTTGAGATCTGGTATTGAGAGAGTGGATAAAGGAGCGTAAAGTAAGGAGTTCTAAGATGAAGGGAGAGTTTTTGCTTCTGAGAACTTGAAAGTATAAATTGCCGTCGGGAAGTAGGATATAGCCACTTCAACTCGGTGTACCAACAAGAAATATGAGAACAATACTTGACCAGGAGTATTGGATTATACAGCGGTAAACAAGTCATTTCGGAGTACTATGGTGTGCTTGGATTTTATAAAAGAAATATTTCTTTAACTCGTACTTTAGAACGATGTGCATTCAGTTTCTTCCGTTATAGCTTCCAATGCTTCCGTTATAATTCCAAATGGATTCACGAAGTAAGTCGTTATAAGGCAAAGAAACAATACAAGAATGATATCACGTTTTTGGAAAATGCTTTAGTTTATTAATAATTTCTGAAATATGACCATGTTGGTTGGAAGATAAAGTTATATAAGAGGAGCGGAGGTAGTGAAGGAAATATCGAAGCTGGGAGGAGGCAGATCGTTGACCCTGCGGTAGTTTCCGCGTGGAGAACCGGTTCCTCTGCCCTGCCTTCCTAAGCCCCTTTATCTTCGCCCATTTCAGGACCTTTGCAATCACCCCACGGGTCGCGCGGCCGACTCCTTATCGGTCGCATTTCTCTACCAGTGCTCTACTCCACTCCTACCTTGTTTCTATTGATGCCCTATAACGTTTCCAAGCAGGCGACCCGAACACAGAGCCCTACATTTCAATTTTCGATCAGTTCTTATTAAGACTAAGAGTATCGGCATCGAGCGATTTTCAATCATTAAATCATTTCATCATTCACTGTGATGCCATAACATTATTCACTTATTTTACTTTTAACTATTTGGTGAATAAATATGCTTTAGAGTGGAGGGACGTAACTTAGGATGATTGCGCCTCAGTTCAATCTCATCGAATATCTCAAGTGCAGAAAAAATATTTTATTTAATCCCTCTGTTTATTAGTTATTTTATTTTATTATAAATAATATATGTTTTTGAGATTTGTAACTGTATTAGCTCAAAATACAAGTATATGTGAATTTGTATAATGGCATGGACAGACGTTTAGAGAAGGTCCCTAGGCCATCTGCTTTTTAGACAAATAGGAGGATTGTCAAGAGTCGAAGAGGATGCAATGTTAGAAACTAGTGGGTCTGTGAGTGTGTGTGTGTGGACCTGAAGTTTATTATGGAAGGGCAGTTATCTGAACTGGGCTAATTCTGCTGCTTATGAAAAATGCTGCAAATTATTTCACAATGGTTGATTATTTCCAAACAATTATACATCTAAAGTAACATTACCTTCCTAGTTACAAAGAAAAATAAATAAAAGGTGATTCCAATTATTGGACTAAACTTTTCTTTTTAATCATTACCAATATGCTAAAAAAAATAGCATTACTTCAGTAACACATTCAAAATTCACAAATCAAAACAAAGGTTATATAACATTTGCAGTAGAACATATAAAAAAAAAAAACATACATAGACCATATAAATCGGTATATCCGTTTAGTCGCTACAGTCTATAGCAACGCAGGTTTTTCGACCGCCATTTTGAAAGTAAAAGGCGGATAGTAATGTCGATGAAGGAGGATCATCCTCGGGCGACTTCTGATATTATATCCAAATTTGAAAAAAATCGGTCCAGTAGTTTCGGAGGAAATGCGCGTACAGCGGACTGACAAAAACATTTTTATTCGTTTTTCGAATTCTACTTATCGTGAAACCTCAAATTTTGAGAGGGGGTTAAGTTTTTGAATTTTTTGGTCGATCACAACAACGGTTCATTATTGAAAATAATAAACCAAAATTAAGCTCATTACAGATAATTTTGACAAATTTGACAAAGTAGGGAGCATTGAGGATTTTGTGAAGGATTTAATGTAATATAAATGTAAGGATTAGATACAAGACGATATTGATGATTGAGTGAAGCCCCAATGCTCAATTCCAAATAGGCCTTATTATTGTCAAGTAGATGAGTCTTCCATAGTTCATTGTGGAGGATTAGAACGTTCAACAAGTGTTGAAGCAGTCAGAAACATCCAGCAATTTTTGTCATTTCAGAGCTGTAAGAGAATTCCATAAGAGTCTTACGAGCTACTAAAACCTCGAAACACTTTTCAAACCTACTCCTAAAAATTATGAACAAGGCATAATTACTGTCTGCATAAATGATTATAGGATCATTTTTATGTAATAGTGAAATGTATGTTGAGGAAAAATGTTGTCGTCAAGTTATTTTGAACATTCAACTTCCTATTCTGAAAATGAATAATATTACTAAAAACCAAAAGCAGTAATGGATGCTTGACCAGGATATTAACTACAAATACGCAATAATTTTCCATCATGGTCCATTCTCATAAAATACAATAGAAACAATAAAAAAAATAGTAACATTCTATTATCTATAATAATTATACAAATTGGTTAAATTTTTTGGATCATATAGATCTATAATTTGGAGACAGTACCCTATATCGAATACAGATACTCTAATCTTGACGATGGCCAGTTAAGTATGTCTGAAATGTTAGCTAGTATAATTAAAAAAAAAAACTTGTTTTTTTTGTTATTTTGTTTTCGCATGGCTAGTCCACGACAGTTTCTGTTCACTATTTTTTCCTGTATGTGTCCTTTTAATTTATGTCAGACTATCGCTACATAGCTCAAGATTAATAAACCAAAATTATATTAGCCCTTATATTTTAATAACCTATTCTTATAATTTATCTCTATAAGTTTTAGTATGTTTTAACACATAAAGTTATTTAAAACAGTAAATTAAACATATGAGAACCGTTTTCGTCTTGAAATTTGTTTAATAACTTTACAAAATCCTTACTCCAGTAATATTAAGTTTAAAGTTAGTTTTTTTTTTCTTAAAAGATTTTTACCAAAACTTTATATTCCCAATACAAAGATAACTTGATAATGAAGAACTCCATTCTATCATTATATTGTACTTGTTAAAAAAGTTTTATTTGTATAATAATTGTATATACATCTAGTCAGTTTTTCTGTCATTAAGTTAAGATTATGTGCTTTTAGTACAGTCAGTTACAATAAGTAAAAACGTGAGAATGTACAGATAGAAATACAAAATACGGACTCAATGATAATGGTATGTATGTTAACTTATATAACTAAGCAAAGTAATGTTTATAAATAAACAATTGCAGGTAATTGAAATTCACCATGTTTGAGATTTCATTACATAAAATTGGTAATGTATATTTCACTTTGTTTCAGTATAAAACATGGGAAGCGAATTCTAGCAAACAATACCAATACAATGACAATATAGGCAATGAAACAATATTTAATCTGATTGTTAACGCCCTAAAATAAATATAAAATTTTATCATTTATAAAATGTTGGCTTTCAGACATTTTATAGGAAAATAAATCATATTTTTTAGAATCTGTTTCGAACAATTTACACTTTAATAAAATTACTTTGTCACTTTTTAAAATGTTTGTATTTACCTTTAAACTAGCTTATATTTAGCTCATTATTATATAATTTGTTTATTTATAATATACAAATATAAGATAGTAGAAAAAATATATATGTATAATATTTTTATTTATTATTTATTTATTTATAATATTTTTATGTAATATCATAATATAGTAAGAGGCTGAATTTTTAAAATTTTGTATTACTTAAAATTGTAAATGTAAATAATAATATTCAAGTATAATTTTATCAACAAATCTGAAGGATTTTTTGCCTGTTATCACTTCTTTATCTTAATTACAGAATATAATAATTTATTAAAACTTTTGGTTATAATTATGATCCATAATTAACATATTTAGGTCTGATAACGATAATAGGCAAGCAAAAATGAGTGAAAACTGGGACTAATTTTATTATTTTTTTGTTGATAACCAACTATAGTGCCTCATTATTTAATATCTACTACAAAAAAACTTAATAAAGAGGAATATATGAGTGAATACTCTTGTTCAGCGTCAGTAATACCAATTAAGTATTGTATAAAGTATTAATTGCATATTATTTCAGTTTATTTATTCTTTTTCTGTTACTTTTTGTTGTATAAGACTGTACAGGCTATTTCGTTCTTTTATATCCTTCAAAAGAGACTTGTTCCACAATAAATTAACAGTTCATTATTATGAAAACAATAATGGCCGTTCTTTGTTTGATGGTAGACTACAAAGCTTTTGATAACATAGAATAATTAAAAAGCTGAACAGATCAACTTGTTATGTGAATGCTGGGAAAGTAGGGATTTTTTTTTTTTTAGTATAATTGTAGAATAGAATAGAAAATCATGTTTATTCTGGGACTAGGTTCCTTAAGAATAACAATATTGTTCATACAAATTACCAATAAATTGTAGTATGTTTAATGCATAGCATTATGTTCATTTTTTGTGAACCTTAAGTTCTGGTAGTTTTCAGAAACTGAAAACATCGTCGGTTTATTATGTAAAGTAACAAGACCACTTACCTTACACCGCAAGGTTAAAAGATCTCGAAATACCCCAGAATATATCAGTATTCCTGGGAAGTCAAGAAGAAATCCTTACCAAAGTTATGAAGTTCCTAGACAATGAAAAAATTAACTTGTCATATAAAACATATATGACAACTTTATAACTAATGATCCTTTGTAGATTTATTTATTTTCTTAATTCTAAAAGTTCATTTATTTATTTATTTCAATTCATTTATTGATTTCATTGCTATATTTTTTTAGTTTATTTATTTATTATCTACAAGTGTCTATTATTATCATTATTTATTTATTTTATTATTTTTTTTTATCCTTTTTTTCTTTTTATCCTTTTTTTTCCTTTTTCTTTTTTGTACCAACCACCTGAACAGTATAAAAGTAGTGTTATTTAGTTGATCGGGCGCTGATGACCTGGATGTTTTGCGCATAGACATCGAAACAAACAAACAAGTAACAAGAACGTTTTTGATGGAGCAGAGCTTTTGCATACGCTTTTGATGGAGCAGAGCTTTTGCATACGTTTTTGTGAATTCAACCGTATTTATCGACACATAAACCCACTGAGGACTAAATGAAACAAACGCTTTTATATAGCAAAAAATGTATAGAATCGATGATATCATACACGCGTGGTTAGTCGATTTTGGTGAAACAGTTTCTGTAGCATTCCAGACCTATCTGAAATATCTAATTTCAGTTTCGTAGTACTTTTCGTTTTTGTGCTAGGCTATTCGCAAACAGAGGCCATTACGCGAAACTTTTTTTTTTTTGGACTCAAGAAATCTCACAACGTGTATTTGCGTTGGAAAGTTGTATTTGAAGTTTTTCGCGATCACAATACTTTCCCTTCCTACACAAGCGGATCCAGGATTTAATTTTTGATGGAGGTGGAAGGGCTTCAGCCCGAAAGCTTTTTTATCATAAAAATATCGTTAATAACTTTGGAAAAAAAGAAACTAACTACCTATATGAAATGGTGTTTAAGTGATTCTTAAAGTCCTTTTAAACGTAATTACACGAAAAATAATACTTTAAGAGATGATTTTTTAATATTTTTTTTTCTATAAAACATGGTTATATTTTACCATTTTGGGGGGGCTTCAGCCTCAAAGCCTCCCCACTGTAGATCCGTCCGTGCTTTCCTATATATTTTATATATAGGTAGGTGAAATTAAATTAGTTGCACTAAGGCAGATATGGACAAACGCTATTCTGAGTATCCAGTACCAAGTATTTTACTCAAAAACTGA